TCTGATTAGCCTCGACGCCTTTGCGCGGCATCTGGCTGAACCTCCAGGCAGTCAGAATTTCTCCTCACCCCCATCCCAACTTTTGCACCTTCCTCGTCGCTTACTATCGACTCTCGAGTGAACCGCTTGTTTCCTCCTCGTGCTCCGATCGCGTCACAAGTCCAGTGTCTTCTGCGTCCCTCTCTCCCGTCTCGTCCCGGCCAATCAATGCTCCAGGGGCACCTGTTTGTCCGCCCCCAGCGTCATGGCCAGCGGTAGGCCCCCCGGCCCTCATCCAGCCGCTGGCCACAATGATGAACTGCTGCTGGATGAGTCGGCTCCCATGTACAACTCGGGACAACGCCCACCGGTCAACGATGACCACTTGTTGCGACAATACGACATTGACGACTCCGAGACTCCTCACCCGCGTCCCTCGGTTTCCTACGACCAGTTCGTCGGCGGACAGGTGCCGCCGCAGTCCGGTGCTCATGCAATGCCCGCGCATCCCCCGACCCAAGCGGGGGTATACATGACCGATCCTTACTCCGGTGCCGACATGTCCCGCACCTACTCGCAAACCTCTGGTTTAAGCAACTACCACCGCTACTCCCTCGATGAATTTGACGATGACCGGTCGATGCACGGATATTACGATCTGGACTACCAAGATGATAACCATTTACAACCCGATAGCCGTGTTCGGCAAGCAAAGGAAAGAAACAGTATCCTGGGTTTGGGAGGCGGGCTGATGGGCAGAGCGAAGCACATGCTGGGCATGGGTGCTGAGTACTCGGAGATGGATCTGCCCCTGACGGAATCTGGAGCCAGAGCTGCGCGGGTGGACAGTGCAGATCCGGACGAAGGCGCCGCGGCCAGAGCACCCAAGGCTTCCAAGAAGTCGGATTTCAAGTTTGGATTTGGCCGCAGAAAGGTCGACCCGTCTACGCTGGGTCCTCGCATGATCGTTCTGAACAACCCGCCTGCCAATGCTACGCACAAATACGTCGACAACCACGTTTCAACGGCCAAGTACAATGTCATTACCTTTGTTCCGAAGTTCCTCTACGAACAATTCTCGAAATACGCCAACCTGTTCTTCCTCTTCACCGCCGTTCTCCAGCAGATTCCGAACGTGTCTCCAACGAACAGATATACTACTATTGCCCCGCTGTGTATTGTGTTGGCGGTATCGGCTATAAAGGAATTAGTTGAGGACTACAAGCGGAGGATGTCCGATAAAGGACTGAACAATTCGAAGACCCAAGTCCTGAAGGGGTCACAGTTCCATGAGACTAAGTGGATTGATGTGGCCGTGGGAGATATTGTCCGGGTCGAGTCGGAACAACCATTCCCAGCTGATTTGGTTCTACTAGCGTCCTCAGAACCTGAGGGCTTGTGTTATATCGAAACCGCTAACTTAGACGGGGAAACGAACTTGAAGATTAAGCAAGCAATTCCGGAAACCGCACATTTGGTCAGCCCCGCGGATCTCAGTCGCTTAAGTGGACGGGTTCGGTCCGAGCAGCCAAACAGCAGTCTGTACACCTACGAAGCAACTTTGACAATGCACGCCGGTGGAGGTGAAAAGGAACTACCATTGGCACCGGACCAGCTTCTCCTTCGAGGCGCCACCCTCAGGAACACTCCATGGGTTCATGGCATTGTCGTTTTCACAGGTCACGAATCGAAGCTGATGCGGAACGCGACAGCAACTCCGATCAAGCGAACTGCAGTGGAACGCATGGTGAATGTCCAAATTCTCATGTTGGTTGGCATTCTAGTTTCACTTAGTGTCATCAGTTCCGTTGGTGACCTGATTGTTCGCCAAACTGAGGCTAGCAAGCTCACGTATTTGGACTACGGCAGTACAAATCCGGTCAAACAGTTCGTCCTTGACATCTTTACGTATTGGGTCCTCTATTCGAATCTTGTCCCTATCTCGCTTTTCGTGACGATTGAAATTGTCAAGTATGCCCAGGCCTTCTTGATCAATTCCGATCTTGATATCTACTATGACAAGACAGATACCCCGGCCACGTGCAGGACATCCTCTTTGGTTGAAGAGTTGGGCCAGATAGAGTACATTTTCTCCGATAAAACTGGTACACTGACTTGCAACATGATGGAGTTCAAGCAATGCACGATCTCGGGCATCCAGTACGGTGACGACATTCCGGAGGATCGGCAAGCCACCGTTGAGGATGGAATGGAAGTCGGAGTCCATAGTTTTAAGAAGTTGAGGGAGAACCTTCGCTCTCACCCTACCAAGGATGCTATACATCATTTCCTCACTCTGCTCGCTACTTGTCACACGGTCATTCCGGAGAGATCTGAGAAGGAGCCTGGGAAGATCAAATATCAAGCCGCTTCTCCTGATGAAGGTGCTCTTGTCGAAGGTGCTGCAACCTTGGGCTATGCCTTCTCCAATCGCAAGCCCCGGTCAGTGATCTTCACCTTTGACAACCAGGATTACGAATACGAACTTTTAGCGGTCTGCGAATTCAATTCTACGAGAAAGCGCATGTCGACAATCTTTCGCTGCCCTGATGGCAAAATCCGCATCTACACAAAGGGCGCGGATACAGTTATTCTGGAACGCCTGCACCCCGACAATCCGATGGTTGAAGCGACCTTGCAGCATCTGGAGGACTATGCTTCGGATGGTCTCCGGACGCTTTGCTTGGCTATGCGTGAAGTTCCCGAAGACGAATTCCAGCAGTGGTACCAGATCTACGACAAGGCTGCGACAACAGTTGGCGGAAACCGTGCCGACGAGCTGGATAAGGCTTCGGAGCTGATTGAGAAGGATTTCTATCTCCTGGGAGCCACGGCAATTGAAGATCGTTTGCAGGACGGAGTCCCAGACACTATCCATACCCTCCAGACGGCAGGAATCAAGATCTGGGTCTTGACTGGTGACAGACAAGAAACCGCCATCAACATTGGAATGTCGTGCAAGCTTATCTCGGAGGATATGACATTGTTGATTATCAATGAAGAGAGTGCCGAGGCTACTCGAGATAATTTGACCAAGAAGCTCCAGGCTGTGCAAAGCCAGGGCACCTCTGGTGAAATCGAGGCGCTAGCTCTGATTATTGATGGTCGATCATTGACATTTGCCCTTGAGAAGGATATGGAGAAGCTGTTCCTAGACCTAGCTGTCATGTGTAAAGCTGTGGTCTGCTGGTAAGTCAACCTCACTTCCGTAGGCGGCGGGTCTGAGCTAATGTTCTATAGTCGTGTCTCTCCCCTTCAAAAGGCCCTCGTCGTCAAGCTTGTTAAACGCCACCTCAAGTCTCTACTTCTCGCCATTGGAGATGGAGCAAACGACGTGTCTATGATTCAAGCAGCACACGTTGGTGTTGGTATCAGTGGTGTCGAAGGTCTACAAGCTGCTCGTTCTGCGGATGTTGCTATTGCGCAATTTCGGTTCCTGCGCAAGCTTCTTCTCGTCCATGGTGCCTGGAATTACCACCGGATAAGTCGTGTCATTCTGTACTCGTTCTACAAGAACATTGCTCTTTATATGACGCAATTCTGGGTGAGTTAGCCTTGATTCGGGCGAAGCTGTTCGCCATTTTGTACTGCTACTGACAACCTCTAGTATTCCTTCCAAAACGCTTTCTCGGGTGAGGTTATCTACGAATCTTGGACTCTGTCATTCTACAACGTGTTCTTCACCGTGCTCCCTCCATTCGCAATGGGTATTTGCGATCAGTACATCTCCGCTCGATTGTTGGACCGCTACCCCCAGCTGTACCAACTCGGACAGAAGGGTATGTTCTTCAGGAGACACAGTTTCTGGTCGTGGGTTCTAAACGGCTTCTACCACTCCCTCCTGCTGTACGTCGTCTCGGAACTATTCTTCCTCTGGGACGGTCCCACAGGAGACGGCAAAACCTCCGGTCACTGGGTCTGGGCCGAAGCAACCTACACCGCGGCTCTAGCCACAGTGCTTGGCAAAGCAGCCTTGATCACTAATATCTGGACTAAATACACGTTCATCGCCATTCCAGGCTCGATGCTACTATGGCTCATTTTCCTCCCGGCCTACGGTTACGCAGCACCAGCCATCGGCTTCTCACAAGAATACTATGGCACGATCCCTCGTCTCTTCAAAGACCCCGTCTTCTACCTAATGGCCGTCATCCTCCCCTGCATCTGCCTACTCCGCGACTACGCCTGGAAGTACGCCAAGCGCATGTACTACCCGCAACACTACCACCACGTGCAGGAAATCCAGAAATACAACGTCCAGGACTACCGCCCACGCATGGAACAGTTCCAGAAGGCGATCCGCAAAGTCCGTCAAGTCCAACGTATGCGGAAACAGCGCGGCTACGCATTCAGTCAGGCCGACGAAGGTGGACAGATGAGAGTGGTAAATGCTTACGATACTACCCGGGGCAGAGGGCGCTATGGTGAAATGACCAGCTCCAGGGCTCTGGTGTAATGATGACTTGATTGACTTAACCTGATTGATTGATCGATGGAAGCTCTTTTTTTTTTGTGTCTTTGTATTTTCTTTCTTTTTTCTTCTTCCTTTCTTTCGCTTCTCTGTAATTCTTTGAAGTGTCCCCGTCTCGTCTCATTGCATGAGTCTCCATGTATTAGTTGCATTTTCTGGCGATGAAATGAAGTCTCCTTTTTCATCTCTTTTTGGAATGGATGGATGTGGCTTGGTCCTTTTGTGTCCTTCCTCTCTCCCTTTATATTACCTACCTACCTACCTTACCAACTACTTCAATGAGACAGCGTGAAACAATGGTGGCGGTTATCTTAGTGGCCGTTCTATCCTTCTTACTTAGCGTTCTACTAGTACGCAGATATAGTCATCCCGACAGATCTCCAGCTACATACATACTACTTGCTAGTGAACGATACCACGGTTCAGAACTCAATTATACGTCACTTTACCACACCAACCACGTGTACTATTTAAAAGAATAAACCAGGGCCAACAGCTCAACCCAAAAAGCAAAAAAAAAAAAAAATAAATAAATAAAAATAAACTGGCATCACCGGGTACACCTCTCCTCCGGCCTCCTCCACCCGACCCCCAGCCCCTCCATAACCAACCTCTCCCTCTCCTCCCACGTCTCCCCGTCGCCCTCAAGATCAACAACCTGACCCCCCGACGTCCTTTCCCTAACCCCACTCGAATCAAACTTCCATCCATGCGCCTTCTTCACGTACCGCCGTAGATCCCGCTCGAAGGTCTTATCACCTGACCAGCCGAGCACGGCACACCCGACCGTTCGCCAGGGGGAAATAATGATGTCTACTCTGCGGTGGGGATTTGGGTTTCGTTTACTTCTTGTGTAATGTTCTTCTTCTGGGGTTTCTGATTGGTTCTGAGGGGTATCAGCGTCGTCGAAGTGAGGATCCTGCCATACGACGAGGGCTTTATCTAATGTATCGAAGTTCTTCCCCGTGCTGTCGGCATTACTTGCCCGGTAGGGAAGGGTTTGTTGGTCGCGGTTAGAGGTCATTAAGTGGAGGGCTAGGGTGTGGGTGATCCAGCCGGAGGATTCAAGGCTGGCGACTACGTCGAGGACCAGGTTCTTGGTTAGAGATTCGTCCGGGTGGGTGAGGATGAGGTCGACGTCGCCGCAGAGGGGTTTTCCACGACGGTAGCCGCCTACGATTATGCATTGGATGCCCTTTTCTTCGTTGTCGAAGGAGGTTGGGCGGACGAGATTGGCGTGTTGGGTTACTGTTGTGGCGATCTGTTCGACTTCGGGGCGGGGGATTCCGATTAGGAACTCGTCGTAGTATTTTACTCCGATTTGTTGGACGCGCGTGAGGCTGTTCCAGCCGTGTTCGATGATGTCGTCGAGGTCCGTCCAGTGGCGGTAGTAGTAGAGTTCGCGGGCGGTTTTGGCGCCGACGCCCCAGATGTTGTAGAAGGTGTTGAGGATGCGGAGGGTCGGGTCGTTGTCTAGGAGAGATGCGGCTGAGAGGGTGCCCGTTGGGCTTTCTTGGTATTCGTAGAAGAGGTTGGCGATTTTGGTGTCGCAGCCTGGGAGGGTGAGGACCTCGGAGGGGCGGCGGAATTCGTGTGGATAGGCTGCGATTGCCGCGATAGAGGTGCTGTAGGCGCGGACGCCGATTTCGTCGAGTGTTAATTCGCGAATTTGTCGGATTTTGATCAGCTGGTTGATGAAGCCTTCGTTTGGAGGGTGGAGGGGTGCGGAGCGCAGGCAGGCGTAGAGGACGTGCTCCTTCACCCAGTCTGGGGCTGGGGGAAGGGACTCGGTTTCCTCGTTCTCCGAGGTGGTAGTTCGGTATAATTTGGGCGGGTTGTGAGTCGAATCGTGAGTACGCGAATGATGATATACGGTCGGTGGCTTTGGTGGCGGTCGTAATGCGGCATCTTGCCTAGCTCGTTGGAGGATATCGCTCCCTAGGGAGGTTGGTTTCGGGGGCTCTGCGGGACGTGGAGCCCGTCGGGCGATGTAAATCGTAAATGGATCGGTAGGAAGGAGCTCTTGCGTCTTGAGACATTGGTCCAGCCAGTCTAGTTTGACGACGCTGATGGTGTCTGCTTGTGCAACGGAGGATGACACAGAAGACGCGTCAGACGGATTGGAAATAGTAGATTCCGCGGCGGGGGAATCAGTCTGCGTCCGATGGAGATGCCGCGAGGGGTCGTGCCGACTTTTCATCCCATCTTCTTCGTCTTCTGTCTCCGTGCTGAGGTCGATAATGTCGGCCTGGTCTGCAGGCTTTTTCGACTCAGCTGCATTGACACGACGCCGCTTCCTGGGGGGCTCGGGTTTACTGATAGGTTCGGTCCATAATCCTCGAGATCGTAGTTCTAAAGCCGCTCGCTTGCCTTGTCCGATTCTCCCGAGTACCAGTCTGGCTTCGGATATGTCGTAGGTCAGAGGTGCTTCTCGCTTAACCAGCTTCTCCTCTATGCCGTGAAGCGATTCCAGACTGAGATGGGTCGGAAGCACAAAGATAGGCGGGCAGTTTAGAAAGCTGGGACCAGATTCCCCTGCATCGTCATCCTGTGCAGGAGAACTTGCTGTAGTTTCGGACATGACCAAGCTATATATTCATTGTGGTTGGGTCCAACGAGAGTTGCTATATAGAGGAAGTGTAAGAAACCACAACGTGAAGCCACTGTACAGATCACTTCCAAATTATTTCATATATATAGATCCCTGAATATGCGACTGTGATTTTATGGGAAATCATCGGGGCGTTTAGCTTGCGACAGCGCTAGATGTGTCTCGTGGCCGAAGACAGGCTGGATAGTTGCATAGAACGACGACTCTCAAGCTAAGAAGACACTCCGATCGGTCGTTGTAGAAATCGAATACGAGAGTACCAGGATGTTGTCAATAATGAAGGTAGATCATCGTGCTTGCTGTGTTTGGTGCGCTCTTGTCTAAAGCAAAAGGAAGAATGAAAAGCGAATCTTGCGTCGTGATGGCTGACGTCACCTTCGTATCTCCGTTTGTGCCTGAGGCATAAAAGGCATAGGTTACCCATTTGGGATGTCGCTGTATACACACAACTCTAGCCATCTGAACACAGTCAGTGGATGGGATAATTTCAATTTTCTTCTCCGAGATCTCTCCAGATGCATATATAAAGACACACGTGTGGGAGGTCTTATGCGTAAGCTTTTCTGTCCGGATTTATGTCAGAAGAAGCAGCACAGTTGTCTCACGTGGTTGCTAAGGGGCACAGATATCCTGCGTCATTTCGTTCGTGTCGTTGGTATACCTACACGTCAAGAGAAATTTTGATCTAGCCACTTGCATACCCTAGACAATCATGGTTTCATGACGTCGGAGATTTTCTCCATTTTCGGATCATGGATGCTAGAGCATCTGCGAGCTATGTGGTTAATCTGGCAGCCCGGGAAACTATCAACAGACGAGGATGGCGGGACTCACTTGCGCTTGAAAATTCAACCAGGCACAGACCCCCAAACTGCATGCTACAGGGGTTCTTTTTTACCATGGAATACTTGGGCTTCAGTCCGTACATGACTTGTCTAGGATCCTTTCATCGATTACTGTACAAATGTTTACTATGGTATCTAGAGTGGAAATGGAAGAACATAGGCAAGTAACCGATGCCAGATCATCCGACAATTTCTATGTATAACTATACAAGGAGTTCTGGAACCCCAGCAACTTGACTGTCAGTGTAACCTTGAAATGTCGCGCCTAGCTATCTTTTAAACACGACTCAGACCAAGTCAGCCTCATTGAACTTTTGCCAGGGGTCGCGACAAATAACCCTCGGTTGGCAGTACTCCAATCGGTTGAGACAACCCAACTTATCGTTTGACTTCCCACACCCCTGGATCCATTCTAAAGTTTGTCCATAATGTCTATGACTAGACAAGCATTAAGCTAGGTGTATTGGGGACTTCTTATGTCTGGGGATGGGGTTGAGCAATCGACTATACACCCATTCCAATATGGGCTACGAAAGAGCGGACCGTCTTTTGAACAACAGGAACATGAAGAACACTTTGGTGGAGTGCTCGGGCCCTTCATCATGGACGATATATACCCGAGGCGCGAGCAAGAGACAGAAAATAATTTTTAAGTTTTTGGTCCACTCACATAGACCTGATACCTTCTGAGAACAAACTTCCCGGCACCTCTTGCTGAGCACATCTGACATTGGTTCGTCAGGGCACTATAGCAACATCGTTTGCTATCTTCCATCACTGAACCATCCTTCACCATGTCCAAATCCCTCGCATTGGTCGCTCTTGCAACAATCAGCCCCAGCGCATTATGTGCCCCTATCACCAGCAGGGACATCCCATTCGGGCAGATCATCACCACATGCACCACCCCCAACACCGTCGCCCTAACCTTCGATGACGGTCCATCCTCATACACTCCCCAATTGCTTGACCTTCTCAGCGAATACAAAGTCCGAGCTACCTTTTTCGTCCTAGGCGAAGCCAGTCAATCAAACCCCCAGATTATCCAGCGTATCAGGCAAGAGGGGCATCAAGTTGGTTCCCATACGTATGCACCCCCAAGCACATCAATCAACCCAATCACACAGGAACTAACAGCTACATAATACAGCTTCGACCACATCAGCCTCCCCACGTTAAGCTACGACCAAATCGTCCAAGAAATGACGAGCCTTGAATCCGTGCTTCAAAGCACCATGGGCGATATTCCAACCTACATGCGGCCTCCCTACTTCGACGTCAACGACTTGACCCTGCAGGTTATGAGTGATCTCGGATACCATGTTATCACAGCCAGTATTGATACTAAGGACTACAACCACAATAGCCCTGATCTGATTAGTCAAAGTTATGACAAATTCGTCACTGAGCTCAACAATGGCGGTAATCTTTGCTTGGCTCATGATACTAAAGAACAGACGGTGGTCACACTGGCGAAGATGATGCTCGATGAGACGAAGTCGAGGGGGTTGACTGGTATTTTCCCAATCTTCTCTCCAGTATATGGTTAACTTGGGTGGCTAACCTTTTGCAGTTACTACTGTCGGCGATTGTCTGGGTGAGCCAGAGGCGTCGTGGTACCGTTCCAGCCGATAGAGGTTTAAATTTCACGGTGTGGTGGGTTCAGTCCCTGAGTCGAACGCGATTGCTTCCGGTTATATCTGGCGAGGATGGGTACTGGTAACTATGGTGGTATATCTTTCTGGGTTGTGGCTATCGGAGCTTTTCTTCATGTTCGGATAATGGGTATACCATGGTGCCTAGGTAGTCGATGGTAGATACATAGCGAGCCGACAGATCTGATTGGAAGAGGTTGAGCTTGGTTTTAATGGCTGCGTATTGGTTGTCCGAGATACACACGAGACATCGCTAGGCTTTATGTTCTTAAATCTCGAGATATAGCTAGTTAAGAAGTTAATCACAGATGAGAGCGAGATGGCTGTCACTAGTCATTCCCAAGTGAGGGCAAACCTATTCTATTGAACGTGTAATTCCTTTGGCTGTTCGACTAGATATTTCCTATGAATTCGTATATTAAGTGCTATCAAAAACGAATAACTTTTAATCTCTATCATACTATAGAGCATAATAAATCCACCGTTGTATAATCGTAAAATGCATGACAATTGCATACTCATATCTCATTATCACCTCACTACCCTACCCGACCATCACCGCAGCAGACAACACAAGACCACTTTCCTTTCCTCGACAAACCCCCACATCACCGCGCAGGGCCCCCTCCCACCGGCTCCACCGTAACAGACGCATCACCCTTGCCCGTAGCCCCATAATTAACAGTAGTCGCACCTTCTCTATCTTCATCAAGAATCGGCGTTTCAAGAGCATTAGTAGTGGTCGGTCCATCCCGGTAGCCTTCCACATCAGTGACAATAGTCTTTCCATGTCTCCGGGCAATCCACCTTCTCCAGGGCTTGTAAACAACCACACTGAGCCCGCCGACTATTATGAATACACCACAGATACCGCCGCCAATGGCGTCGTAGTAATCTCCTGCTACTTGCACGCCATCCCAGAATTTGCCGGTGGGGTTAGCGACGTTCAGAACGAGGGTGAGCAGTTGGATCACGCCGATGACGATGGCTACCATGACTGTTAGGCATGTTAGGACGATAGAGTAGTATAGGAATGCTACTGGGTCGCGGTGGTTCTTGGATGGCTCGACCTCGGTGTCTTCGCCCATGAGGGGCGCGTCAGAGGAAGTGTCGCTCTTTGGCGGGAGGAAGTTGGCGGAGGGTTGGACGTAGAGGGAGAGCATTAGGGCTCCGTCGGTGGTGTCGAGGAGACACATTCCCGCTGGGAAGAATTTAGTAAAGTGATAGAGTAGGGAGAGGATTTGTGTGCCAAGTTAGCAACTTACCCGTGAATAGGACGGGGAAGATCAGGATAACCCAAAAGTTAGTGCCCTTGGCAGCCTCGACAGACGAGATGCCAAGAAGGGCAATCTCAGAAGATGTGTCAAAGCCAAGGCCGAACAAGATTCCAAGCGGATACATTTTCCAAGGTCTGAGCGAGATTAATACTCTTACTTGGCAACAGGTGATGTGGAGTCTTACCTGTCAATAAGCTTGAACATGCGCTTAAGTACTGAGAACAGCACACCACCACCCTCGATCTTCCAGACTTCATCTTCTTGGCCTTCGGGTAGATCCAAGACCTTCTGCATTTGTTTGTATAATTTGAACAAGATGTAGGCATTCATAAGACCCAGTAGAATCAAGAAAGCGGCACTGACTGAAGTGCCGATGATACCGCCAATTGTGCTGAAACTGTCGAATCTTGATGAGATAGCGGCAGCAGTCGCTGCGACTACGATGGAGGTAATGATAACAATGCTGAATTGGTGTTAGTTTAGTTTGAAGAAGGGTGTGTCTAGGGGAAGAAACTCACGTAGAATGGCCAAGAGAGAAGAAGGTGCCTACGGTGACGGGCGTTTGGCCCGTTGCCAGTAATCTTCTCGTCATCAGATCGATGGCCTACACAGTATTTGTTAGGACGTATTCCGAAAGTGGATATTGGGTAATTACCGAGATATGGTCCGCATCAAAAGCATGTCTCAATCCGAGAGTATAAGAAAGTACAGCATTAGACACCAGGGACCTGGAATGACTTAGTCAGATAATACTATCTCCATAAGTATAGCCTTCAGATCACATACGGGTAATAGCGCTGGAAACAATATTAGCTCGTAGCCTAGAGATGAAGATATATAGTCGAGATGATCATCAGAAGGGTCATACATACCAACACAATTGCGGCGGCAATCCACACCACAACGTTAATGAAGGCAATGAACAGAATAATGGCGATGGCAGGCAGAGGAACCTTCTTCAGTCCCGGCAACCGACGATGCGATCGCTCGGCCTGCTTGACGAACTTCTTGATGTTCCATTTGCTGCCTACAGCACCAGAGTGGCCATTTCCCTCCGAAGCATGGCTTGGGTTAGGACTGGGAGGGGTCGAGTCCCGCATGGTTGACGAATAACAGCCACAGGGACTCCCAGAAGAAATTGCTTAAATATGATTAATTATGAGATATCCTCCCCGATGTCCGTAGTTGAAATAGGATCGAGTGGCTGAATAGGACGATTTATCTGGATAAGATTTGTTGTCCGTCGGTAGGCGTGCCGTGGGGAATGTCAAGGCTTTTTGGGCGCGGGAGGGGAAGAAAACCTGATAAGGCTCACATGCGATAACTATAAGAGATTTAGATGGTCGAATTATCAATGCCAACCGAGCAGTGGATCCGGTTTGACGAACTGAGGACCAGAGGAGAAGGATTACTTATGCGAAGCCCATTTGGCGAGTCTTGCAGTGGACCTCCTTGCAGTCCCACAGGGTCCTGTTGGAGTTGTTGACTAGCAGTTAGTTCCTTGCTCGGCTGGTGTGGTACCGGGGACGCCCGGGGTGTCTTACTTAGAAGAAGTTGAATGCAATGCAATACACCCTTCTTTGTCTATTGAATAAAGACGGATAAGAAACGAACAACCCGCAGATATCAATAATTTAATGATCTCTGTGAGACTACGCTCACATGGATGGATGCAAGCCTGATTCTCCTGGTCTGATTCGGCTCTGGAAACGACAGCCACGTGACGTGCCCGCATCTTGAAGGGCGGAGCACGCCGACCAGCTGCATCTCCGGCTTCATCTTCTAGTCTACACCCCCGTGCAACTTCCCCTCACTTTACGTACTGAAAACTCAATCATGTGAAGACAGCAGATTTCATTTCATGCAGGTTTATTGTACACGTCTGATCCCCGTGAGGGCCGGCTCTTGATGAAAATTTCGGTTCACCTGATCATCCATTTCAAAAGGATCGGTCGGGACGATAGATCCGTTTGCGGGTGAGCATTCAACCTTCCGAATATTTTCGTGCTCGCGGTGGTTTCTTCTCTCTGGAATCCACCCGCCTTGCGGTGGTCCCTGCGCCTAGTTGGCCGGTTTGCCGACATCGCTCGGATAGCTCCACTCAGCCAGCCATGCCTGTTGGCGGGATTCCGCTCAACGGTGGAGTGTTCCTGCCAGTCCGAGAACGGTCCTGCACGGGCGATTAGCTCATGTTCAGTACTAATATACTAAACGTGCAGAGGTCCTTACCCTTTAGATTCCGGGATACTTCTTCAGACTGCTCCGATGCGCAGATGGCTCGGGCTCGGAGGCCCTCTTTAATCATGATCATGATCATGGTAGGGCTGAAGGTGTTGATGGTGCTGGTGGCATAGTATTTGCCCGACATGGTGTCAAGCAATCAATGATGCTGTTCACGCTGCAGCCATAACAGTAGGTGATGGTGTCCACTTGGTAACAGTGGTCTTGCCCAAAGGAAAGTCCGTACGGAGCATGTTCCATTCGTTCCGAGTGATGGGAGTCACATCAGATGCAGACAGTGGTGTCTTGGGACCGCGCTTGGTTGGCAAGTTGTACCTTGTTGGCGGAGGGTTTTGGCGACGAGCTGCCCGGATAGCACGTAGTGGTGACTTCCGGGGACGCTCCACCTTCACCCGGGGTGGGATATTGGTCTTGGCGGGAGGTGCAACATCTGCCTTCGCGGGAGGTGGGATAATGATACCTTCCTGCTTGTATTGCTTTCTGAAGGCATCCGCCACCTGTGCTAACAGCGCATCAGGCACGTTCAGCTGCTCATAGACGCGGTGGAAGAAGGCCTTGCTGAAGGGACGACCATGGAAGTCATTGATGGTACGGTAGAGGAGTTGCGCGCAGGATGAGATGTACGACTCTTCGGGCGGTGTTCCCCGATGAGAAAGGATGCACAGCCGGCGCTTGAGGGTGTAAATGCGGTCCACGTTCAGCAGAGTCAGACCCTCCCTGCTGAAGATCACTTCATTCTGCATAATCGATTGTTGAATCAGGTAGTCATGGGCCTGGCGCTCGTGCTGGCTGCGGTTCAGGGCATCAGTCCAGCTATGACCTAGAGAGAACTTGCTTGCTCCCTTGGCCACCGTGCGGAACACAATTCGCCATGCTGTCTCATCCAGAGGGGTTATGGGAATGACGATGAGATCGGATGGCTGGCCGGTTGGGTAGGGCTTCCCGCGGCCAACAAGCAGAGTGACGTGCATCATCCTCTGCTCCAGTTTGGAAGAAACATATTCAAGGGCGGGGATGATGGAAGGAGTCAAGGTTTCCGAGTCGAAGTTGAATTCAGGTGATAAGGGGGAGGAAATCATATCGCCCTTGAGGCTCCGTGTGGGTGAGTTCGGCACATACACGCCGGTTGGGCGAGGTAAACGCATGACACCCATTATGGTAAGTGAAAGAGGATCACTGCAATAGAGATAAGCAGAAGAAAGAAGAAAAAAAAAAAGTAAGAGTCAAAAGCACTTCAACTCCAGTTACTGGAAGTTGTGCGTGAGAGAAATCCAAAAGGAGCTTGTATTGGGGAGATCGTGGGACAATAAATCTTCATCAGTCCCCAGTAGGACAACAACAAAGGAGGGGAAGCCGGCAATAGAGACGCCAAATCCCTCAACCAACGCTCCACAAATTAGTGCTGCAGTAACCCCTCTTTTTTGTCTATTTTGAGAAATCTAAGGATAGTAAATCTCCCGGCTCTGTGAAGGACGAGGGCCAGTCATTGCCATCCAGCTTGGATCCGGGGGGGCGGCACCCAATGGGTCTGGCGATATAAATAACCTTAAGCGCCGGGCGTGCCGTGTGATGGGCTCGTGCATGGCCCTTATGCAGGTTGAGCACAGAACACGCTAACACTGGAAGCTGACTGGTGGACCAATTTATTTTAGCGTCGATTAATATTACTAGCCAGAGTCCGGATCACTTCTTTCTCTTTGGACCCCATCAATACCAACCCAAGGCTGAACTGGACTTTCACCAACGGTTGTGATAGCCCTATCGGTCCAACGGCAGTACCCCTTCCAACAGCAACATATCCAACATCTCGCTGCACCAACATTGACTGCAAAGAATCGCCCTCTTTCCCGCACATTCATTCAATCCAGGCTTGTCAGCCAACACCCCATGCGCCTACCAGGCCACCCCGCTCCGGAAATCACGCGCCATAGAATGCCGAAGTCTACAGTGCACGCTCAGCTGGCCCCCACCTGATAAGACCTTGCAGGAACTATTGATTTCCTGCATCTGCACAGCGCTAACCCTCCATCTGTGAGAGGTGGGCTTCCAGAATGGCGTGGTCGTGGTTCCATTACCCCGCCTAAGGCTGTCGATAAGTGTGATATGGTCTCGGCTGGACTGGATGGGATTGTGCCATGTATGCTTGCTGTCATGGAAGGATTCACGAGCAAGCCTTCCACCATGTGGGACTCTTAGCCGACGGACGTGACGAAATTTGATGGCCTTGCATCGGAGCACTCGGGTCCTTCCTCGATTCCACATGGCCTGTGGATTTACCGCCCAGTGGGATGAGGGATTTGGCTTGTGCATTAGGTAGTCAATAGTTCCATCTCGCCTGCATGGTCGTACGTGGCGGGTGTCGTGAATGGAATACTCCGTGGGAACGTTATCACACTTAGCTGAGCATGTGGCGTGTTGATATTCGAAGATCGGTATTCATTAGATTGACAGCCTTTGTTTCCCCCGGAGATTTAGGTGATGCTGGCTGACAGATGCCGGCCATCTTCACTGCTCCGTGCATTCGGCCATGTTGTTGGCATTTTGGGGGTCATTTCTAGGTAGATGTGTTGGTAACTTCCAATCTACTGCTCTGCTCTCTTCACTCCAAGGTCATGTGAACTACCACGCTAGTCTAATATTTGCGGGCTCAACTTATACCCTCCTATATCCTCGTCATTCTTCGGTTTTCAGTCTTATGTTCCACTGCACATTTTGCTCTCTACTTGTGCTACCCTCTTCCGCTGAAATAGGCTGCATCATCTTAGTATCTCTAGAAGCTCTTACTCCGGCCTTCAGCTGGAGATTCATGTGAAAGAATTTCCAGGATAAGGAGAGAACTGTGAGTACTTGAAGCGACACGCTTTGCATTTCCAGGGTTCAACGTTATAGGATGGTCTCTTCAAGTCCAAGGCAGCTAATATCTGACACCTTTTCCGAGATACTTCTAGCGCCTCGGAAGCTTCTTTACATCGAGCTTACCATACCAAGTTCTGGAATTTCACCCTTATTTAAGATGAATTTATGGCGATTAATCTACATGCCGACATAAATCATGTAACCTCTGGGTATTCTCCTGCTCTCTATGTCTGACAGACTAGTATTCATGCAATATAGATTCATCTTTTACGGGCATCATCACTGTATTGGCAGGAGCCTAGAGATCAGCAGGTGAGACAAATGACGTGAATACCTTTATGGTACAGGAGTTAGCATTCCACTGTATGTTATTGCATCGGTGGTTTGCCGGTTGTTATACTTTTCATCTTTGGGGAGTGGCTGTGTTTAAAGTACTTCTAATCCATTGTTTTCCTTCTTTGTCCCGAGACTATCAACGGGTTCCTCCAAAATGAATCGATATTCTACCTTGAGTGCAGGCCACTTCATGACGGCAACTTCCTTCATACCCCCGCGATCTGCCTATACCACATGCTTTTGCTCACTTCACCCCATGGTTCCCCTCCTAACACCTCATTATAAAAACCCCAACAAACCATCATTTGTGGCAGCTCCTGACTCCATCCTGCTTTCATCCTGCACATCTGTCTCTGCCTTGTACTCAGATCATCCCACATCCCTATTCACCAACGAGTCACGTGTCAAGATGACAGCGTCAGACGAAGGCTGCCTAGTGCGTCTCAACGAGGATCTTAGGAGCCCCATGATCAACAAAACTGTCGATAAGTTCGTGAGACTGCTTGTGACGAACTTTCTCATGGAGCAGAGTCTTGATTATCTATGGCCCTCAGCAGAAGATGATAACGACGCGGAGGATCAGGCTCAATATCAGAAGAGGGAGGAAATGGTGCCCTCAGTCATCATCGCATTATACGTCATCGCCGCTATACCTACGCCTAAGGATCTAGGGATTGAATGGATCACCGAAGAGGAGCACATGATCCTCAGGCAAGCCTACAAAATAGAGACGGAGAAGCCTATCGAGGAGCGAGTCGTGGATATCGGCGCGATAGACGAATACATAGGGTACATCTGGTATATGATAGTCGTTTCAAGGGATAGAAACGATAATAAACCCATTGAGAAATTCTTGGAGGGGCTGAACGGTTTGCCTTCTGGTAAACCTGCCTTGGGGGTGATGTATCCTCTCCACAAAGATAATTTGGAGCAAGTGGGCATCAATTACAGATCCCATCTCGAAAGATTTCTTGATGAGTGAGGAAGTCCAGAATACGGCTGGAGATGTCCTGTTTGAGTTCAACATTCGTTGAGTCTTCGTCCGCCATTTGCGCTGTTTTTTTTCCTTATATCGCACATACCAGATTTTGTTTGAGCTAAATAGTCGCCCTAGCAATGCCGCGAATTGTTCTTTTTTGATGATTTTCATCAGACCCTTATTTAATAAAATAAGTCCACCAAATCATAAAAGACAAAAAGTAACCTCGTAAGGACCCCCTACCTGAAAAGAAGTACATTAGTGCGGTAATGTTAACCGAGGAAAGAAAAAAAAATCAACAAAAAAGAATGACCAGACTGGGGCTCGATCCCAGGACCTTATCGGTGTTAACGATACGTGATAACCAATTCGTTGAAAAGAGTTTCAATGTTTAATTCTATTAACCACTTGTAAAGTTGTTTCCTCTTCGGCATTGGTTTTGCGATATTCATCTATCCAAACCCACTTTTAGTTTTCCTGCACTCCGACATCTACGCACCTACCACTATGGAATGGTGCTAATAGAATGTGGTTGTCCCGGTAATTGATTCTGGATTCATTCGAGCGCAACCAGCTCGATTTTTAAGCCTTTTCATAACCATTGGGAAAGCGATCGTCGATATATTGAGGATCTGGGAGTATTTGGTGAACTATAGCCCAATGTTGGAAGTACTAGTCGGTCCTGCCTTGCCTGAAAACTGATTTGACATATATCATCTGGGTTAGGTAGGACTTGGAAGAGAAACATGAACATTAACAGGCGTGACGGGATTTCTTACGTGTTGATCAAGATAGATATGTCGCAGGGTCATCCACCAGCTCCGGTCTTCATGACAACTGGGTGGTAGCAGAATTTTACGCCCATGTTTTCCATTACTTGTCTTGTTTCTTGACATCTAAGGGGAGATTCCAAATAAATATTGCGTGTTCAATGTGGGTTCTTCGATTCGAACTTGGACTAAAGCCTCCGATGGATGTTATTCAGTAATTGGTCACGCTCTATTGGGCATTTCCTTCGTGACTTTTATGGTCTTGCCACGTTCATAAATGTGAGCCATAATTAATTCTTCTGTGCAGGCTCTAGGTTTGCAGCTATAGATGTGCACGTGTTTTCTTGACTGTACCGTGTATCGAGATCTATGTTGAAGGGCGCTGGTATCCTGAATTCAATTTTGATGTACGTCGGGTGCTCTACGGGTATGTAGATGTCTATAATACCATTTATATGATTTCTTGGGGATTTTAGTACCATATAGTGACTTTTTACAGCTTTGGGTAACCTTTGTCGACCATTGGCTACCTTTGTGTAGCCCTCGTCGCGCATGCCCTCGGATCCGTGTGACTATTTAGTAGTATATATTTTAGCAGTTGACCGGTACCCGACACAACGAAATCTAGACCTCTAACGTCTTTTGATGTAGGCCACACAATGAGATACTGCAGTATAGATAAACCAAAAGGTGCATATTAATTACCCAAGATTGAAAATACCACATCCAAACAGCCGGAAGCTCCGCTAAACATCCTGAACTAAGTAATCATCCTTGAATCGATTACTTCTCGATGAGCAAATTTGCACAAAAGATTGCATAGGCTTCTATAGCAAAAGTTAAAGCGCTTTCTCAACAAGTTGGCCGGATGGTGTAGTTGGTTATCACGTATCGTTAACACCGATAAGGTCCTGGGATCGAGCCCCAGTCTGGTCATCTTTTTGCTCATGCTCCTTTTTTGCCCCACATACGGTTTTCCATATTGTGAAGCATACAGTATCCACACTCACCAAAACAAGTCTACAAGACCACCCAACTAGCGACAGTAACACTCAGGAGACCTCCCCGAGCGGCTCATATAACTGTGCGGTCCTCGCCAGCCTCCATCCCAGGTTTCTTGAACACTCAGCCATAGTTCACCATGCACCATGTTAGCAGAAGAAAATAACATTAAGTCATCACATCAGGTAATGGATACAGCCGAGGCAACTTGACGCCTATCGGTTGCAGCAAGGGCAACAGCACATTTGAGAGAGGAGTGGGCCATAGCATTAAATCCCGTCGGCGAGGAGGAGTTTAGCAGCGCGCACATTGGCAGAACAGAAGTAAAATGAGTCAATGACCGCATATTGCTGGGGACACCACCAGAATCAGATCAAAGGGATCAATAAAGACCATGGCTCAGATCCCTGTAATCTTGGCCCGAAAGCCACTGGCGCATGATGCTCCATATGCCCCTGCCTCGGGCTTGCAGATGATAACACTCTACAGGCCTCACCCTGTTCATGTGATGTAGTTTACTCTGGGTGGGGAGGGCTTGGAAAGCTGGTAATCCGTTTTTCCACGTCTAAGCAGTCATTTCGAAGCTAGTTTGATTTTTGAGATGAACTGAGCTACACTAAGATGATCCTGTCCTCCATCTACTATGCGGCGTGAAAATGACGATGAAGGTTCAGGCTAGAAGTAGGATCCCAATATACACGATACAGTACAAAGGAAGAGGAATAGAGCAATGGTTAGAAATATTGTCGGAACGCTACGTCCAGTGCTTCATGTTGAGATCAACATAATAATAGGATGTTCAGGTAGTAGCCACTGAGGAGTGAGTCGCAGCAAGTTTCAGTTCAAAACAAATAGCAAGGTTCTGGTTGCGAGAATACTTGGAAAGTGGACATAATTTAATGCTTTTCGGTTATGCTTTTCTCGCCATTCACGAAGTCAGTGCCGAGGGGTTCTTCAGTTGCTCCGTCATTTTTGATTTTTCCTTCTCTTGTACTAAAGTGACACGCATTCAATGTTTCATCTGTCGACCCTGCATACTGATAGATCTGGTGGGCGCAGCTACCCGTCTTGCCAATCTATCATTCTGGTCTGTTTGCTTGCTGCCCGCGTACTCAACTATTTTCTGCTCTTTTAGCTATTATGAATGGCCAAAGCGTACACCGGACAAGCACATTTAGATATCTTAACCATTGGCCTTGTATTCAAACGCGCAGCTGTCCTAACATGTTGATGCCAATGGTGACGAGAGGTGTTAAGAAAGAGCTTTCTTGTCTTCGTCCCTCCGTCACAGTCGGTACTGAGATTATGTGGGTATAATTTTATGGAACGGATAATCAGTTACTATTGCCGGCAAAGGCAAAGTTTTCGGTGGCGTCTACCTGTTATTCGACGTTCGGAGCAACAAACTATCCGTTACCAGGAACTCCCCCCAATGCCCCGTGGTTAACAATCTCCACTTTGTAGATTTTCGTCAACTCCCCAAGTATGTACCCAACACCCAACCACCCATGAAACTTGCCCGACGGCGAGGTGTTTTAATTTCTCCGACGCATAAATGCCTCCCCGTTAGAATGTGGATATCTCCTTAACATATCTCGCTTTGTTATGGTCCCCTAAAGCCAGCACAATAGAAACAGATCTGTAGTATATAAATACAAGCTACTGACCAGCAAAATGCACTCGGTCGTTGTCTCGAAATCTCCCCAGCTATTTGATATCAGCTCGTGAGCGAACCCTCTCTCTCAAGAACCGAGATCTACCCTTCTCTTTTCTAAAGTCCTACATCCACAACCGACGACAATGTCTCTTAACAGAGCCCTAATCTTCAAAAAAGTCCCTACTGGCTCCCTCCCAGTCCCAGGAGAAGACCTCGCCACCGAGCCAGTCACCCAGTGCGATCTCAACAGCGCCCCGGCAAATGGCATCCTGGTGCAGTCCCTCTACGCAAGTTTCGACCCCTACATGCGAGGCCGCATGCGCGGCGCCGAACGAAAATCATATGTACCAGCATACAAGCTCGGCACGCCCGTTGACACCTTCGCCATCGGCAAGGTTCTCAAGACTAACAACCCAGCCTACCAAGAGGGCCAGCTTGTTATCGGAGAACTACCTATCCAGGAATACGTTGCCGTCGAGGAGACATCCATCAGCCGCGTGCGGCCCCTGGACAATCCCCTCGGGTTAGAAGACGTGCGTGTGTTCCTAGGCCCGCTAGGAATGCCCGGACTTACGGCCTACTCGTCACTGTACAAGATCGGGAAACCCAAGCGCGGCGAGACGATATTCGTCTCTGCGGCAAGTGGTGCCGTGGGACAGCTTGTAGGACAGCTGGCCAAGCGCGAAGGCCTCCGAGTGATCGGGAGTGTTGGGTCCGATGAAAAGCTCGCGTATATCCTGAACGAGCTGGGCTTTGACGCAGGGTTCAACTACAAACGCGAGAAGCCCCACGAGGCGTTGGCGCGGCTGGCGCCAGAAGGCATCAACATCTACTATGACAATGTGGGCGGCGACCATCTTGAGGCGGCGCTTGATGCCTTGAATGATTTTGGACGCGTGGTGGCGTGTGGGATGATTTCGGACGTCAGTGGGGAGCCGTACCCGGTTAAGAATATTCATGCCGTGATCACGAAGCGCTTGTACATGCAGGGCTTCATTGTGGCGGATGCTGAGTTCGGTCCTGCGTATTTCATGGAGCATCAGGCGAATGTGCCGAGATGGATCAAGGACGGCTCGATCAAGTGTCTCTTCCATGAAACTGTTGGCGTTGAGAACGCTGCGGAGGGGCTGGTGGGGATCTTCGAGGGGAAGAACAAGGGGAAGGCCTTGTTGAAGTTTTGAGTAAAGGGACCAAAACGATAGATCATGGAGTTCTGTCTGGGGCTCTGTAGGTAGTAACTACACAAGTTCCGATATGAAATAGAATTAAAAAATCACTCTACAGTCAGTGGCCCACGCTTTACTTAGTTACTGAAGTGGCTTGGTTCAGTCGACCATTTCTGGATCCCGTGAAGTCCCAGAGCTCCCCTCGGAACAAACTCGTCCAGCAAAAGACGAGCCAACTATCTGAAGTGGAGACGTGAAGAAGAGGATCCGCCGGTCGGGGAGTTATTCCCCCGACTTCGACCCATAAAACAAGGTTTATGTGGTTCGACTAATACTGTTCCGTCGATCCAAACCAAAGGATGTCATGGTGTCATGAATATACTGTATATCCCTTCGAACCTTCACAACCCTAGTCTTGAATATAAAAGGATCTGTTTCAGTCTCCAACGTCCTCACCTCCGTAAACACAGTTCCTACACACAGTTTCCTACATAATAAGGAATGTCAAGACCCAAGCGTATCTTACACGTCGTCACCAACGTCGGGCACTACGACGATCCATCCCACCCGACAGGTCTGTGGTTGACTGAGCTCACACACGCATGGGATGTCTTCGAGGCGAGCGGATATACCCAAACCATCGTCAGCCCAGCGGGCGGCCACTGCCCCCTTGAGCCTCGGTCTCTGAAGTTTCCTAATGTCGACAGGACGGCGAAAGCGTGGCAAGCGGACGTGGAACGGATGGCGTTGCTCCAGAACACATTCAGCCCCGAGCAAATCAAGTCGGCCGATTTCGACGCGATCTACTTCACGGGGGGCCACGGGGTGATGTACGATTTCAAAGACAGCGAAGGCCTACAGCGCATCACGCGGGAGATTTTCGAGCGCGGCGGGGTCGTGGCCTCGGTGTGCCATGGATGCTGCGGCCTGTTAAACACCACGCTTTCTGACGGGTCGTACTTGGTGGCTGGGCGCAAGTTGACGGGGTTCTCGTGGAGGGAGGAATTGCTGGCGCGCGTGAATAAGCTGGTGCCCTACAATGTGGAGGAAGAGCTGAAGAAGCGCGGTGCCCGCTATATGAAGGCGACACTGCCATTTACCTCCTATGCTGTGAACGACGGTAACTTGGTGACGGGGCAGAACCCTGGGTCGGCGAAGGAGACTGCGAAAAAGGTAGTTAAGGTTCTAAGTGGGTCGTGACTAGCAAGTGTAATGTTTATCGGTGGTGGGAAACCCACACAACTGGGACTGAAACAATCCTAATATAATAATCGATTTTCAAATTCTATACTGAATAATACAAAAGTCTCAACACAGACAACAGCCCTTCCTCCACTCTAATGTCTGGATAGCGTATCAGATGCATATCCATGAATGAACGAGAGTATCTTGTTGCCAAACTCCAGGCTCCTGGGGACAGCAGCCAAAAGTATCTCCTTGTAGGCCAAGGAGACGCCCAACCCAAGCATAAACGGCAAGCTCAGCCAATATTTGCTGGTCCCAGACTTTGCGCCACCTGGCCGTGTCTAGAAAAGCATTAATTTGTGGTCCTTAGCATCGGTAAAATTGAGACGTAACGTACCTTCTTAATCCAATGGGACTTGATTGGAAATAAACTCCTGTACCAGAAATAGGCTTGAGTCCAAGGATAAGCCATCGCATTCCAATTCTTCTCATTTATATACCACTTAACACAGAGTTAGATATACTGTAAATCCCGTGAACACGCAATGATGGAAGAGAAAGCAACTTACTGATTGACAACCAGCATTCCAAACTCGCTTTTGTAAGGCACCTTGAACCGCCTTGGAATACTCGTCTTCCGCAGTCGGAGAAAGCTCGACGGCGTCTGCTCGTTTATCGAAGACTGGCTTAAGGACACGGAGTGCGTAGTTGACGGAGCTTCAGCGTGGTTAGTTGGGAATCGAGTCCGCGAATCAGTGCGCTTACTTTTCTGCAGCCATCAATGCCGAAGTATGGCCAGTCCCTGCGTTGGGCCCGAAGAGCATGAAGAAGTTTGGGAAGCCACTCATGGCAGAGCTGTTATAAGCTTCGGGCCCATCATATCTCTTCCAGTGGTCATGCAGGCTTCCATCGCGGCCCACGATGTCCATGAAGGGCGTGAATTGGTTTGTTTCGAAACCCGTCGCTAAGACAATGACGTCGGCAGGAATGACTCCATCGGAAGTTCGCACGCCTTCTGGAACGATCTCAAGAATTTTGGCCATTGTGAGATCAAGATTGGCACTGTGAAGGGATTCGAGATATCCGTCATTGAAAATCCGTCGCTAGTAAAATCAGTGTCAGTGTCTAGGTCTTGCAGCTTCACCGAGTCTAACGCACCTTGCATCCCACCTCGAAGTCCGGAATCAGGATATCGTGGTACTTGGCTGGCGCGGTATCTCTCATATATTTTTCGACCTCCCTTCTGCGCTTCTGCCGCAGCCTTGCGGCACGAGCTGTCATTGGGAACAGGCGAAAGCCATTCTCAGCCAGCAGGAAAATATGCAATCGATGGAGCTTCATTGCGAAAGGAACGTACTGGAAGATCCACTGCAAAACCTTGGGGTAGGTGAAATTGGTCGCAGGGAAGATCCAGTGTTGGGATCGAATAATCTGCGTCACATGCTTCGTCTGCTTGACAAGAGCAGGTACAATCTGCGCTGCGGTGCCTACATCGACGTAAGGAAAATGAGAGAAGACCCCCAGTAAAGCAGTTTTAGTGCAGCTCACATCCATTTCCAATAACCACGACCCTCTTGCCCTTTAGACTGACGCTGTGGTCCCATTGCGCCGAATGGAACATGGCACCTTCGAATGATGAAGATCCAGGGAAATTGCACGATCGCGGCTGCGCAAAGTGACCTGTAGCGGAAAAAAGGACCTGGCATTCGTGTGCCCATTCTGCCCCAGTATCGACGTTGCGCAGCAACAGAAGCCATCGCGATGCATCTTCACGCCATATACACTGTTTGACCTCTGTGCAGAAATTCATTTTCTGTCTCAGTCCATAATCGGCAACAACGCCATCCTGATATGACTTGATCTCTTTCTGCGAGGGCATCAGCTTGCTCCAGCGAGCGTTAGGCGCAAATGAGAAGCTGTATAAGGCACTAGGCACATCGCATGCACAACCTACGAACCATCAGTATCGTCACGGCGGAAGCGGGTTGAGAAATAATCATTCTCGTACCGGGGTAGGTATTGATATGCCACGTTCCACCACAGTCGGCCTGGCGCTCGAAGTATTGGATGTCCTCTAAGCCATACCATCTTTTCAGCGTGGCTCCCAGCGCAATGCCACTTGCTCCGGCCCCAATGCAAGCCACTTGGCTGTAAGAGGGGAGAGAGCTAGCGTGGATAGGACTTGCGTCTGGCATATTTGGGTAACCATCCGATCTGGTGATTGAAGATGCTTGTATTGAGTCCCATTGTTATATATTATCCAATCGCAAGCGTTTCGGGAGCCCAGAAGAGTAGGAAGTTGCCTCGGCAGTAGGGTTATACCTTCCAGTGATGATTATGTCTGGCTGCTTCGGACGAATATCAAACCGAACATACCCAACGGGAGCAAGGTTATCCCGCCGCCCCGGCTGGGACCATAGAAAGCATAATCCGCATAATTCGCATTATCACCGAGGACCGAGAACAATTTGCCTTCAGGGGCTGATAATCTAAGCCCAAATCGTCCGAGATTTGCCACATCCTGTATATCGAGCGGTAATTGTATGCATGTAGTTGCAATTACAGTTATAATTCCCTGCAACGTGCATTTCTACATATCTCGGGTGCACGTCATCCTGCCTGACCGTTATGACAGTAATTTAAATATTGTTGGAGCTCGGTTGTATGGCTGCGGCGCTAGGTTGCATGTAGCCAGTGCATCAGATAACCCACACTGGGCGACTGCAAATCTGAGCCCACCGCAGGACTCGTAGATAGAGAATACGAAACGTTTCTGACCGATTTTCTAGGCCACCTAGCAGGCAGTGCCTGTCAATATTGACTATGAAATACTCTTTACCAGCACCTTTCGCTTACCGATGTCCATAGTTTCAAGAAGGAGCCTTGGAAGCCTTCAGAAAAATCTCCTCCGTATGCTTCCACACCATATCATCAACACCCTTTTTCCGATACTCCTCGAGGAGCCTCCGATTGCCCACCTCAGACCCGTCCCAGTTCAGTATCATAGCACCCCCTTTGCCATCTCCAGTGGTACTCTTCGCAGACGTAGAGAGCTCTCTACTCGTTGCCGCAAAAAGACTCCGCTCGCCGCTCTCCTTCTCCGACACCATCCACGGCCGACCTAGAAACATTACGGCCTTGACAATGCAGCCTACGAATCGGCCCGATTCGCGAGAGATCCCCGAATTCACAATCCCAGGATACGTGTGGATAAATGTCGTCGACGGATACCGCGACGCAAACTCTTCGACCATTAAGGATGTCATGGTTGTTGCGTGGACATCGCAATTCTCGACCCCGTAGTGATTCTGCAGGTCGAGATCGTCTAGATATAGCTCTGTTTCGTGGCCACCGCCTAGAACGGATATAACCCGGGAGAGGTTACGACTACCCTCAGAACCAAGGTTGCAGCTGGCGCGGGTCAACTGCGGCATTAGGTTGTGGATGAAGCGCATGCGAGCGTAGTAATGGAGACTGAGCTTTTTGTCGAGGCCTTCCGCAGTGTCTGTATGTATGGCGAATTAGATTAGATTGCGAAGGTAACTATTTAAGGTCCAGGGACGACTCGACTCTTAGACGCACCTTCTCTACTACGGTTGAGCGTAAAAATACCGCAGCTGAGGAATAACACGTTGACATGGTTGACCTGGCTTCGTATCACGGCACATGTCGAGTCCACCTCCTTCAATAGCGATACGTCCGCTTTGAGAAATCTAATCTGGGAGCTCGGATTCACCGACTTCAAGTCGTCAATGATCTCTGTTGCGCGAATCTCGTTGCGGCCAACTAGATAGACTGTCGGAGATAAAGTATGGCGGACGAATTCACGCGCAGCGTAGAGTCCAATTCCACTCGTACCACCGACTGGAACATCAGCTACAGCGTCTCAAGAGGGGTTGAACGCACCAAATACAGCAACGAGTCCCGTGCCGAGATCTTCTAAATTGCTGTTGTGAGCGCGGACAGCTTCAAGGGATACCATGTTCTCTGGACTCTCGGTGTTTGGTGTATGAGATACTACAGGTTGACTGATATTCACCAGTCCGGCCACGGTGATAGCTTCATGTGAAGTAGGCTTGGTTAAAGCATTGCAAGAAGGCTTAAAGTTCTGAAGTGGCATTCCATTACTGATGAATTTAGTTCCGGCTTGACAAGCCCCCATAGATACCAGTAGTGGGTCTGTGGGCGGAGAGATTGTTCGCCCGACTGCTCTTCACCCCTAAGTAGGTGGACCAACTAGTTCTATTGCAATCACCTGCATTCCTCGGATCTCTATCTCGGTACAAGATGCTTACTGTTCCCATGTGGCCGTAGGTACGTAGTATGGACGCTAAATCTAGCCATCCGAACCTGATACAGACATTCTACTCTATTGCCCCCCACCCCCAAAGCCAAAAAACAAAGAACAAAACTCCCACCGCAATGGCATTCGAATCCCTCGCATTCCACACCAAACTACGCATCCTTCGATGGCTAACTCGACTTCTAGCCTGGCTAGATCGCAAAAGACATCCAGTTTCAACAATTACCCCGACCTCCCAAATATCCATCCCGTCCACCCTGTCCGCCTTCCCGGGCAATTTCGACCTACACATCTACCACCCTCCCGGATACAACCAGTCCTCCACGGAGAAAGGAGAAGCCCCCTACCCTGTAGTGATCGTACTACACGGAGGCGGATGGTGCGTAGGGCACGCGCGCCATGACGAACGCTTCATCGAGACAGTCACGCAGCGCGGTAGAGCCGTCGTGGTAGCCGTCAACTACCGCCTTGCGCCAGAGCACGCCTACCCGGTACCTTTACTTGATTGCGTGGACGCCATGCTCTACATATGGAAGAACGCTACAGCAATGGGAGTCGACAAACACCGCACGTTCATCACGGGGTTCAGCGTCGGCGGGCAGATGGCGTTCGCGTCTCAATACTGGCTTGCGCAGGCCATCGCCCAGCATGAACATCCGCAAATTGATCGCGCCTCGCTAGGCACTGTCAAAGCCATAACGGCATTCTACCCGCCTATGGACCTCACGAAAACCCGTGCTCAGCGCGCAGCATCGAACCCGGCATTTATGGCATTGAAAAAGAAACCCGCCTCCTCGTCCAAATTGATAGGCGATATCTTTGACCGCGCGTATTTCTGGAACTTGCCCGATACGATAGATAAGAGCCAGATCTGCATTTCGCCAGGACTAGCTCCGTTGGAGATGATGAGCAGGGCGTTGCCGAATCACATATATGTCAAACTTGCTGGCTTAGACCCCTTGTTGGCGGAAGGGAAAGCGGCGGCTGCTCAATTCGAAGCCGCGGGGAAGCATGTTGAGTGTGAAGTGGTCGAGAATGTGCCGCACTATTGGGACCATTTGGGTAAGACGGAGCATGAGAAAACGCTTCGGTCAAGAGTCTATGAGAAGGCAGCGGACGAGATGGAGGAGGTGTTAAGAAATGTGAATAAACTGTAGGTAGGTCTTTCCTACTGGTTGGGTGGTTTTGTTGGACTTTTGCTTGTCTCTTTGATCACAAATTTTACTTGACGCGTATACTTACTACAGATGCAATAAATCGCCTATAATCTCTAAACAGAGCAATTACTCTTTAGTACTATAGAACGTTCTAGACAAGGCAAATTGTTCGGTCCGAGGACCTGGGAAACCGGAACCTCCACGTCGTCCTTGATCCTGCTCGTCGCTGTTAAGTATTCTTCTATACGGGGCGATGCATGCTTCAAAATCTGCCAGTTTTAATCGATCGCGATCAAGTAAATGGTTTCGGGTCGTAGGTCGCCGTGTGCGAGATTAAGCGATTCTAGAATAGCAACGGCTTGAGCGAGGTCGTTCATCCATGTCTTTCGTAGGAGTAGTGATGTTCAAGTTTCTCCACTTTTGTCACTACACCTGTCTGCTGGTCGCGAGTATGATTGTGTTGTATTCTCGAACAGAGAGTTACATCTAAATGACAGACACTGCCTGCTGGGTGGACTAGAGAGTCGGGTGAAAATGCTTGTATTCGGAAACGAATTTCCCTGGGATCAAAACCTATGACTAAGAAAAGGGTCCAACGTAACTTTAACCTCCGCTTCCGTCGGGCAGATTGAAACGCCGACTCAAATAAGCTTTCGGCACGATTGGCTGATGCACCGCCACTTCCTGACTTACTTAACAGGCATTCCATTCCTTACACGTTTGGACTCAAAGCAATTCGCTCTCATGCTACCAACCAAGATGCGTTCTGTCTACATTACAGAACATACGGCGCCCGATCAATACCAGCTGGGCGATGTGCCCTCGCTGGTCGTGGAGAAGCCCACCGACATCTTGATCAAGGTTCATGCCGCCAGCATCAACCCGATAGATGTGAAGAAAGCCTCGGGGGCAACGAAAATGGTTCTGAAGGATAGGTACGAACTTAATCTCCATGACAATTTTTCTTTTTGGTCTAATCTTAATGAGCAGCTTTCCGTATAAAATTGGCTACGACTGTGCCGGCACGGTGGTCAACATTGGATCTCAGGTAACACGGTTTCAGGCCGGTGACGAGGTCTTCGTGCGATTACCAGAATGCCACCGCGGATCATGGAGCGAGCTCGCCCGATCGACTGAAGACTTTGTCGCATTGAAGCCGAAGAATCTGTCTATGGAAGACGCCGCGTCAATTCCATTAGCGGCCATGACATCCCTGCAGGCGCTGCGTGGCTACGAAGGCGATCTCGCGGGTAAGACGGTTTTCATACCCGCTGGTCGTAAGTTCCCTATTCGGTTATCACAAGCTAGTCACTTAACTAACCTTGACACAGTTGGCGGAACTGGCATTTTCGCATGCCAGCTCGCAAAAAATATCTTCAAAGCCGGCAAGGTGATTACCACGGTTTCCACCCAGAAGGTTCCCAAGGTGAAAGAGCTGTTGGGAGAGGGGATAGTAGACGAGAGTAAGTAGACACCGGCCCTGGTCTGATTGATATTACCAGAAGACTCACAAATGATTTCAGTCATTGACTACAGAAAGTCCGATCCTAAGGAAGTCATCCCCAAGGGATCTGTCGATTTTATCTTCGACACGACGGGTAGTGCAATGGAATATCTGAGTCTAGTCCGACCGAAAGGAGCCATTATTACGGTCTCTATATTGACCTCTGGAGACGTTCTTCAAAACTCAAGCGTTATGCGCCGGTCGCCCGACAAGAACGATAAAGCAACAGTGCCCTTCCCTCTTCGGATTGCATTGAACGTGATGGATCGAATCCGAGTAGCTCGTGCATCTCGTTATGGGGTCAAATACGCATCCATCTTCTTGGAACCAAATGCTGCTGATTTAAATTCAATTCGGGGATGGGTGGAGGCCGGGAAGTTGAGAACGGTTGTGGGAACGAAGGCAAGTTTTAATGATATTAAGGCAGTCCGGGATGCTTGTCAAGTAGTGTATGATGGGAAGGGAGGCGTTGGCAAGTCTGTGATTGTGTTTGATTAATATAATTTCGCTGTATAATTAGGAAGTTCTTCAGACAGGCTAATTCTACTACAATTTTCTGAAATTCTTGCAGGGTCTTATTGGGACACCAGCTAATTGCATATTTTGAAGTCAATTGACGCATACCAAAATACAAACCCACCCAGTGTAGAAGAATAAGAAGAAAATTTGCTCCCTTCTTCAGGTAATATAGAACGACAATGTGTGCTCAATACGCTCTATTGCCATTGCATGAATACGGCCATAATTTCAAGATATTGTGAAGACTAAAATAAAAAAATATAAAGACCGAGCAAAACTGCCATTCGGAAAAATAAGAGTAGCATGGGAAAAATAGGGTTCAGCTAATGATGCAGTTCAGTCTCCACTTATGGCGCCTTCAAACTATGTGGCGGATGGATTGTTGGTCCGATGCCCGTGATAAATTGACAACTGACAAGCCTTGGGTGGGTCCGCACTCCAAAGTGGATCTTCTCAGAATGAATCTCGTATTATTCGTCACAAGCCATATGAGGATAGGAATCGAAAAGCAGAAGCAAATTGATAATCGTGGCCGACGAAGACCTCGGCAGTACCTAAGATCCTAGGCTTTTCAGTTTTCTTTCTCTCTCTAAGGTTCAGATCTAGAGAATCAATACCAACAATGGCTATATTTTGAATCGCTTTCCTGGATAGGACGGGAAATCAATGAAATAAATATTGACAAAATATAGTTCTTTGAGGATGAGCACAGCTATCAAGGAACCCCTTAAGCTACCATGCGGGTTGGTTTTTCCCAATCGCTTAGTGAAGGTACCGCAGATGATCACTCTACGGATTCTATAGTAAGTAATACCCTCGTCCAGGCTGCTATGGCCGAAGGACTAGCAGAAGGAAGCCACCTACCAGGCCCAAGGATATCTCGAGTCTACGGCGAATGGGCAAACGGCGGATGGGGTGCTCTTCTCACTGGTATGATTCAACGACCCCGAAATAATTCGGCTTAAAATCTAACACCATAAAAGGAAACGTACAGGTCGATGTTCGTCACCTAGGAGGCAATGGCGATCTAGCCACGAGTGAGTCTCATGAAAACGATCACCATTCAATGGATACATGGAGGCTATACGCAGAAAGCTGTCAAAAACACGGCACCCCTGCCATCGCTCAAATATGCCATCCAGGCCGGCAGTCGCCGAGAGGGGCCGGAGAACGAGGCTTCTTCGAAAGAACGATCGCTCCAAGCGAAGTGCCACTTGATGTAGGAAGTGGTTGGGTCGCGAATGCTATCAGGGATCTTATTTTCGGGGTCCCAAAGGCAATGTCGCGCTCTGATATAGACCGTGTGATTGCCCAGTTTGTAACATGTGCTCGCATTCTCGCTCGTTGTGGCTTTTCTGGAATCGAGATTCACGCGGCGCATGGTTACCTTTTGTGTAAGCTTTACTTTCTTCAGTTCATGCTGGTATTATGAGCGTGCGTACACGGTTGACTGATACTGGATATAGCGCAATTTCTCTCACCCCGAGTAAGCGTGATATACCCACAGACGAAACTACAGTTTACTTAATATGTGTTCTTACTCGAACAGAGCAACATCCGTCAAGATGAATATGGCGGCAGCGCAGAGCGGCGAGCGCGTATTGTCCTCGAGATCATCCAACAAATTCGAAATGCCGTTCCTGCAACCTTTTGCATCGGGATCAAGTTGAACTCCGCTGATCTTAACACATCAGAATGTGAAGACACAATGACTCAAATTCGTCTTTTCGCAGACGCCGGTATCGATTTCCTTGAAATATCTGGTGGATCATATGAAGACCCAACTGTACGCATCCACGGAATAATAAGCAATAATCCAGTTCTAGAAATATAGATCAACCCACTGACAGGCTAACAAAAGCAGATGATGGGCCGCGGTGTCCGCGACGAATCCAGCCGCGGCAAAAGCCAAAGTACCGAATCCCGCGAAGCCTTCTTCCTAGACTTCGCAAGACAGACAAGAAAGCAGTTCCCAAACTTGATTCTCCTTCTCACTGGAGGATTCCGGAGCCGGAAAGGAATCGAGGGCGCGCTGACTAGCGGCGCATGCGATCTGGTCGGCATCGGCCGTCCAGCAGTGCTGAAGCCAGATTTCCCGCGGCTCATGATGGACGATATGTACACTGATCAAGAAGCGCGGGTGGTATTCTCCAAAGTGCAAGTACCTTTCTTGGCGAGCCTACTCAAAATGCGCATGTTAGGTGGAGGGGCAGAGACGGTAAGTTTACATCCGCCGATGGTTGATGGATTAGTGCTGATATAACGAAGCGGTATTTCCGGGACCAGATCCAGCGTATAGCTACGGGCTTACTTCCGTATGCGCCATGAGCTTTGATTCCTTTGCGTAAATAAATATCGGATGTATTTAAGCAATTAGAAATCACTTGTAAATAAAGGGATAATTCTGACACAGATACGGAGGATACAAAGATAGTTTATCAAGGGCCAATAAAGCTTCTTATCTAAGATGTTGAATATACTTAGGAACTTTCTCTAACTCAGGAATATGGCAATTGTGTCGGGAGAGATAGCGTACCCTCTCGGGATAAACCTCCGGGAAGGCATTTTCATACAGCTCCCAGCTTTTACAGTGAATCTTACATAAACTTTAACGCATCCTTTCGGATTGCAGGAGGGCCTTTCTGAAGGACACCATCGCCGCGTAAGACAGCTTCATGCTGTTCTTTCGTAAGCACCCTGGACAAGATTCAACACCGCTTACTGCTACTTGTGGAGGACCCCTCGACACGTCTGAACTCTGTGAAGGCCTCGTAGACCGCGGTTCTCGTGTTTTCTTGCTATTCTGAAAGGAATTCTGGGCGCTGTCTAGGTCTCCTTCGAACTCTTGTGAGAGTTCATATTAAACTAACACCTTTCCCACTAAGCTTATGTGATATATTTCGGTATAAAAGATACCAAATATGGAGTAAACAGCTAATAGCTTTATACAAAAAAAATACTATATAGAAAAAATACACCGAGCCAGCCTATTAGTAATGAATAATTATTTGGACTATCCAATTAATGGTCAGATAGATTGTTACAACAAGACTCTCGAAATATACTCATAATATTATTATAATTATTAATAATTATAATTATGTTAGCTTAGTAAAATCATATTTTCTAAGCCATTTCTTGGTGTTCTGAACCTATGATACTAAATCTGGAACCTGTCCGAACTGTGTGCCCCGTGGATATAAACAGTTGGCTGAAGTCAACCTCAACGAGAAAAATAGAAAGAAAAGCCCATGGGAAATGGATGCGTGCCTTCACAGCTTGTTATGAGAAGCAAGTAATTCTCGATATTAGATGGCCAAAAAACTAGAGTGACGCTGTCTGGGCACTTTTCCAAGACCGATAATGATCCAACAATGTCTGCTCTAGTGGTCTATACACAATATTCAAATCATTCACACTGGGACGATTATCAATGTCGAAGGAAATCCCAAGGTTGAGTCGCAGCCATTTCTGGCTGAATCCAAGTACTGGCCCAGACATGCGTACTAAGGCATTCGGGATTGTATTCTTCGGGATCGTAAAAGACTGTGTAACTGACCGAATGATGCGAGCGAGCTCAACAAAACCATGTGTTGTCTTGTCGGCCAGAATATAGCGGCCATGAGAATCTGGATTCCGGGCCGCTCGAATATGCGCAGTTGCGACGTCTCGTACATCCGCAATTGCGAACCACAAATCAGGCACACCCAGAAAGAGCTGCCCGCGTAGGAGCTGATCCAGTAAAGCCAGACTGCCGGACTCGGAGGTGGGGGATAAGGATGGTCCCAGGACCAGCCCCGGGTTTATGGTGACTAGCTTCCAGCGCCGGGGCGTTGGCTGGGCTTCGTACAATTTCCAGGCCTCTTTTTCAGCGACCACTTTCGAATAGGAATAGGAGTTGTGGGTGACCGAGCTCGTCGTGTTAAAATAGTCCGCGGAGAGCGTCTTATTCTTCATTCCTAGCACATCGGCATTATCACCGAAGATGGCCGCGACAGACGAGGTCAAGACCACCAGGTTGACGGACTCGCATTTGTCGACTGCATCAAGCACATGCTGCGTTCCTTTCAGAGCCGGCTCAACAACCTCTTTCTGGCCGTCGCGAATCTTGTTCTCGATGAAAAACGGCGAGGCGATATGATACACCACCGAACAAACTTTCATTGGGGCTTCAAATGAGCCAGCGACAAGCAAATCTGCTTCGAATAAATGCAGCTTGCCTGGCCATCGCTCTTGCATGTCGAGGAGGTGTCCGATTTTCTTTTTATTCTTAGTGCTGCGAACGGTTGCGTGGACCTGGTCGCCATTTTCAAGAAGTTGTTGGACAACGTGGCTGGCGATGAAGCCGCTCGCGCCTGTTACCATTGAAACGTTGCCTGTCATGTTGATGTGAATGGAATAAGGGGTATAACTTGCTTAGACTTTTAATCCTGTAGCACGACAGGCGAAAAAGAATGCCAGTCGAACCACAGGGAAGACGATTTCTTCCATCCTTAATACCACCATTTGGAATCGCCTTTAAAGGTTATGGCATATAAACCATGGCTCTAGTGGGTCGACCCATCTCATTGTCATTGTTGGATTTCGGGATTGCCACTTCCAGGCAACAGTGGAGACAGACAGTCGGGGCCGGCTGGATAGTCACTCCGATAGCTAAGAAACTCTATTTACTGTGGGGCTTGCGAGCTTCGTATTACCTTCGATAAGGAGTAGCAAGATGCATTGTGGCGAAATTTATACTCTCCGCGTTCGGTAGAGAGAATGAAAATGCCTAAATACGGAGATACATGGCCGAAAATGCAGCAGTCGACTCATACTTTCTATTCTGAGCATTAGCATTCATTGACACCCCAGACTTACAGACTATACCCCTACCAAAGGGACCGACTGGCCATTGCGACGAGAAAAACCGAATCATGCTCCTGGTATAGATGCTCTGCTTCTGATAGCAAGCAGTATTCAGAAATATATAACCAGATTATATAACATAGTTTTATTTACTTTATTTATTTTACTTTGTTTTCCTTATTTTTTCTATTTATATGAATTTTCTTATACTTTTTTCTTTCCCTCCTTATGTTCGATATTATAGTTTACATACACCAAATAACTTAAACATATTTGATCGGCTCTCACATTACTAATTTATATTTCCTACCACTGTTTCTATACTGACTGTGAAGAAAAGAAAAGAAAAGAAGAAAAAAAAAAAAAAAAGAATTTCCCTGTAGACTCTGTTTATTTGGTTAAAGGTCTGTATAGCCACTCAACAACACATCGGGGGCTCGATCCAACTACAATAAAACCAATGCGAATCAATCCAACATGAATGCAGACAGTGAAGTCGAGTAGACAAGGATACGGAGTAACCCTGTAACAGACCTCCTCTGATCTACTTTGAAGGATCAAACCACTACCATTTACCCTAGTCCTAACCACATATCTTTGCTCACGTTACTGTATTCGAGCCTCAAGTCCTCCTGTCTTAAAGGCACACACGAACATTCTTTTTCCACACTTTGGGTACAGCTTTTGTTTGTAATACATAAAATGTAATGTTCTTCCATCAAGTTGGCCGGATGGTGTAGTTGGTTATCACGTATCGTTAACACCGATAAGGTCCTGGGATCGAGCCCCAGTCTGGTCATCCTTTTTGCCGAGCATTGCTTTTTGCACCACGGCTAATTGATCTTTTTCATGCTACTGGGCAGCATTGCGCCCAGTAGCCTTTTGTTTCTTTTATTTATTTTATTGTTTGCATATGTTTGCTAAGCTGGTTGGGATCTCAACTCTTGATTTTCATCCCAATGTTATGTTGATATATGCCCCAAACCCGGCTAAAATAAGACTGCATCCCAACTGGAATGGATATACATAACTTCAAACTCCATCCAGCAAACGATTGAGTAGGTACTAAATGGTCCAATCAAAGGTATTGTGTTTACCGACTTGCCTTCTTTCTATACTGCTTGTGTTCCCATGTGCGTAGTTCGGTATGCAAGTCTTTCCGATCGACTGATGGTCCGTGGGGAAGATCTCGGGGAGTTACATGCATGCCAAGCCCTTCTATGCAGCAACTCTAGCAGCCTTGGAGACCTGTGCCGATCAAAAAACGGCAATGGTATGTAGCTGAGCTCGGTTTTGGACAGGATCAGGTTGGAAAAAAAGCAAAAAGCAATGACCAGACTGGGGCTCGATCCCAGGACCTTATCGGTGTTAACGATACGTGATAACCAACTACACCATCCGGCCAACTTGTTGATGTATGATTAAATTGTATGTTACAGAAACCAGGAGAATGAAGTTGACACATTTTTTTGCATACGCGCAAAAGAAGCATTGCCACGGGGTAGCTTGGCTCCGGAACAAGTGACTTTGTTATGTTACCCTGTTTTGGCGAAGGAAGCTGCCCACGACAAAACTACTGAATAGCTGCCCAAGTACTATGGTGCCAATGCCCAGGTGCCTGCTTCTACCCCCTTGATGGGGCTTGAATAAGGTGGCTTTTGTTGAAGAGTGGCGAATGATGTTAGGGCAGGGGCAGAGAAGCACTGAGATCTAGTGTAGAATCACATTTGTGCTGGTCTTCAATCTCTATACAGCAAGACTAGTATTCTGGGATTGTAAAATATAGTGGATTGGTGTAACGATTGTCAGCAAGTCCGACTACGTCACCCATCGCAGTAGATATAATTGATGTTCGACCAGGTATCCCAGTCCAACCGGTACTGTGGACTGGCAAATAAGAGACAAATCGATAAGACTGATGGTGGCGCCCGGGCCTTAGCATACGCTCAGATCTAGAAGAACTAAGCCGGCGATGCGATGTGAATTTCCTGCTTTGCGATACTTTCTTGCCCTTTTGCCAAGCAGTTAAGCTTTTCTCACGGCCCAGCCATATTGTTGGACCAATTCTATCTCTGTTTATGATGTAGGGATCGGCGGGTCAAAACTTAAGCAGCAGCCACTGTAATCTAGTCATAAATAGATACTGGTTGACATATATTCTTCAAGATATAACCAAAAAACAGTGATCGATCTTATCAAGCATGGAGCTTCTAGCCATATTAGGTCTGCTCTGGGCCATTAGCAAGGCTTGTGTGTATGATGTATCCTTGCTTCACACCCATACTTACCAGCCTACATAACAGTAATCGCAGCGTCATGGACAGCATTGCAAGCGCCTGTCAGAGGTCCACGTGGCGGTACAGCAGCCACGAAGCACATAATGGCCATGGCCGTGCGGACTTTCTTTGAGACTGTATCGATAGGCCAGTTCCGGTAGGTTGCACCAATTCCACCCCAGACAGATCTCCTAATAAAGGGGTCTCCAGGTATGCCTATTCCCCCGACACATCCGCTCGGCTTCTCGAGGCATGGGCACGTTGCACACACACGACCTTGAATAAAGTCAAGCTGCCTGATGGGACCACTGCTTTCTGGCTAGGCAACCCAGACGCCGAGCGACTGCTACTCCATTTGCCAGGCGGCGCATACTGCCTCCCTGCTCTTCCTCACATCGACTATTCCACCTCCATCCTCAAAGGTCTGGAGCAAGCAGGCATAGATGCCGGAATGCTCTTCCTCCCTTATGAGCTAACCCCAACGGCTCAGTAACCCCATCAGATGAAGCAGGCCGTCGCGCTCCTCCAGTATGTCATCGAGGACCTTGGAAAGCGGCCGTCCGACATTGTGCTGCTGGGTGATTCTGCGGGCGCACATCTCATCTTGTCTGTTCTATCTCATCTTGCGCATCCCCATCCTCACATTCCTCCCCTACTCTTGCGTGAGAACCTTGCTGGGGCATTGTTGCTTTCACTGTGGATGGGCGAGTCTCGGACTGATTACGACAGCTGCCGGAGAAATGCTTCGAGGGATCTTGCCTCACTCAAGTTGCTGATCCATTGGGCTGATATGTTTCTTGGTGATACTGAGTTCGATAATTATAACAAGCCCGCCGGTGCACCTGGAGGCTGGTGGCGGGATTTGCCTGTGGAGGAGATCTTTATCGGAGTGGGAGGGCATGAGATATTGTATGACTCGATCATAAAGACTGCTAGGAAGATTAAGGTTAGTGATTTCAAGTTTATGTGGTGCGACTTCTCATGATCCGCCTTCGTGATTCTAGGCAGAACATACTGGAGTCACCATTGGTATTGCGCATCTTGAAGTCCATTGCGAGGCCCTTTCGCCTTTCAATCGGGGAATGATGTCGCCGGACCAGTACAGAGCGTTGCTGGCATGGTTGAAGGGGTCCTTGTGCAAGTGACGGAATAGCATACTCGATAGACAACGGAGACTGATATCTTGATTATCTGTAAGCTTCAGTGCTATGGTTTATGGGATAATGCGAGTATTTAGATCTGCTGTTACTTTGGAGCGAAACTGAAAAGGCAGTCTGATACCAACAAAACACCATGCAAGTTAGACCACAGATATCATACTCCTTCCTTTCTCATCCCTATCTATCACATCGATATCCGTAGAATCCGTACATTGAAGGCGCAAAAAACAAAAAGAAGAGTTGGAGTTGAAGGGGATCGAACCCTTGACCTCTCGCATTTCCCATTTAAGGATGCGAAGTGAGCGCTCTACCACTGAGCTACAACCCCAGGTAGATACGTACCTCTCTGCATTAATAGGATTGGTGTGGCAAATTCCATGACATACAGCTAGATCCATACAATATCAAACCTGCTATCAAACACATTTTACAAGGCCGATTCTACATAGCTATCTGTTTAAGTATATGCAAATATTCTAACAGATTCACTTAATCATTCTTCTTTCTTATATTGAAAGATGTATTTATAGATTTCTTCGACTTGTCACCCAGCATCTACCTACTGTAGTTGTGCAATCATGGATGACATGTCCGGACCGGCCCGTTTCCCCGCAAAGCTTATCCAGTTCGACCGATACAAGTTGATCGGAGAATTATTGATTATCTCTTCATTCATCTTGTGTAACTCTAGAATAGAATGATACTTATATGCAGGTATATAGATAGATGCAAGGCAGAATCAAACTCATGATATCAACAGGCCAGAGTACCGACTACCCAATCTCAAAGACCATAACAGACACATCAATCTCACTACTTAAACACTCAACAAACACTACTACATCAAGTCACTCCCCAGAAGTCACGAAGCAGACATATACGAACGACCAACCAGGTAACATCTACAACTCCCCCACTACCCCAACATAGGAACCCCCCCTAATATCCTCCAGCACCCCCTTACCCCTACACTCCCACCCCAACTCCCTCCTCGCCCTCGCCCCAGAAGCCCTATTCTCAGCAGCCAAAAACCCAGCAACCGCATCCCCCAGTCCCTTCCTCGCCTCCTCCATCCCCAAATCCTCCACCGGCACACCCATAATCTCCGCCACAGCGCTCAAAATCTTCCCAACCGTAACCCCCGTCTTATCACCCGCATTATACACACCTCCCTGCACCCCCTTCTCCAGAGCAAGCAAATACAACTCCGCCACATCATCCACATGCACCGTCGTCGTACGATTCACCCCACCACCCACAGTAACCATCTTCCCCGCATGCTTCGCCATCTGCATAAACAATCTAATCCCGCTGCCGCCACGCCCGTACACGAACGGCGCGAGGCGGATGTCCATTACCCGTACCTTTCCTCCGGACTTCTGGCCGAGGGCTAGTCCATGCACCGTGATCTCGTTCCGGGATACAAGAGGGTGCGTGTCCAGTGGGGAGAACTCGTCGGTTTCGGATCCGTCCGGGTTTGGGCGCACGACGAGGGTGCCGCTGGTGGTGACGAGGGGTTTGGGGGAGCCGTCTGGGTTGGGGGTGGAGGAGAGGCCCGAGACAATGGCGTCGAGGGCAGCGGTGTCGATGTCTTTGATGGAGGAGTAGCTGGGGGTGTGGCCGAAGACGAAGGCCGTCGCGAGGTGGATTACGGCGGAGGCGGAGGCGCTTTCGGTGTGGAGGGTCGTGAGGCTGGTTAGGTCGCCTCGGACGGGGGTGGCGCCGAGGGAGAGGAGTTTGGTGTCTGATTCAGGGGTCCGGGAGAGGGCGCGGATGGTGTAGTTTTTTGCCAGGGCGAGGGGGATGAGGGCACTGCCAACGTAGCCGCTGCCGCCGGTGAGGAAGAGGGTTTTGGTGGGCATTTTGGTTCGGTTTTGGGGGTGGAAGGTCGGTTGATGGTGTGGTTTTGGGATGTCTGTGAGGGTGAAGGGGTGAAGGGTTGATTGTTTGATGGGTGAAGGTTCGGTTTTATAGTATTTTCATAAGGTATTGACTTTTTGGGGGTATACTATCTACTATGCATGCTTAGGGCTCGGTGATTAGTTGGTAGGGGAGTGGTTATGTCCGTGAAGATGAGATGCCGTCGGGGTTCGGGTTTTCGCGGTTTGGACTCTCCGTCGGGATTAAGATGTGCTGGTTAATTGGATCAATTCTGGTATGTGAGGAGAGATATTATTAATGAAAGCTGATCCTTCCGATCCTTCTGTTGCTGCTAGAGTGGAGAAAAGAACAAATAGGATGATGAGTATCTGCTATTGCTTTTGCTAAAATTCATTCTGGACTAGTCATACGTTTTCTGATGAGTGTGTCATGTACCGCAGCCGATCTCTATGCAGACCTTTTCCGCCACTGAAGCTCTCTTGACTGGGAGCTGTCTCACGCCACTGATTTCTGTCGCGGACTTAAGAGTACCTCGAGTCCACAGATAAAGATTAAACCTCTGTGACAGGTTAGTAGACCCTACCGCAAGGGTTGGCTAGATATCTTACCCGCTCTCATCCGTCACCTTTGCACCCGGTGCCAATTGGATGTTGTAGCGCATGAGAAGAGTAGGGACGAGCTAAACCGAGGTTAGTATATTCGCATTAGTAAAGGTATGAGAGGGCAGTCTATACCTTTGACATCTCCAACCAGCTTATGTCTGACAAGATGTTAGCATTGTCACAACCAGTAAACAGTTAGTTAATAAAAAAAAATACTTACTCCTCCCAACGCATGTGCGCGAACCACCGCCAAATGAAAAATAGAATCGTTCTGAAACAGTATGAGCGGTTGCCTCCACGCCGGTTGAATTACTTACTCAGATTTCCCACGTCCCCTTCCAGCCATCTCTCCGGACGGAATTCCTCAAAGTCAGGACCCCAGATCTCCGGCAGGCGGTGGATGACCCACGCAGATGAACCGACCACTGTCTACATTTATGTTACAAGAGGAGCACGGAGACGAGGGGCGGGACATAACTTACTCCCTCTGGAACATAGTAATTCCCAATCTTCATACCCCCCTCCGGCACATCACGGTTCAGCTGAAGTCCAGCAGCAGGATACAGCCGGAGCGCTTCATACAACACAGCTTGCAGATAAGGACAGGATTCTGCTTGCTGGAAAGTTACCAGATCACTCAACTCTCCCTTTGATTTCTTCTCTTCTAACTCCTGCATCAGTCGCTGGTAGACGGTCGGGTTTTTCAGGAGAAGATAGAATATCGCGTTGAGCGACGTCGCCGTCGTATCTGAGCCGGCAAACACATTCGCAGTCATCATAAATGCCATGTCCGTGTCACTGAAGTGAGGCTTGGTCTTCTGAATCGCAAATAGCTGGTTTATGATATCTCGATCATCGCCGCCCCGGTCTTTCCGCGAGACAATCTCTTGAGTTGCGAACCGGTAAAAGTAACCATTTCGATCATTGACTGCCAGCCAGTTGCCAATAAGCGGTTTCAGCTTTTGATGGATATCGTAAAACCAGGGCACGCTCATGAGCCAGGACATTGACCGCAACGATTGCTTAAGCCGAGAAAATACGCCATTATCGTCACCGGCAATGACATAGCCAAACGGGCGTGAGAAGCTGACTGCACCAATTACATCTTACAAACATACGTCAGTAAAGATCACAGTTAGCTGCACAATGTACTTTACCGAATGCGAACAATTGCAGAAATGCTCCAAGATCGACAACACCGGATAGGGTGTCCAGCTTTTGCACCATACTCGTGAGGATAGAGCTGACATTGGGCTCGAGGTGAACCATGGAATCCATTGAGTAAGCACGTGCAACGAGCTTTCTCTGTTCGCCATGTATCTTTTCGTTTCGTTGGCGGAAGAGATCAAAAGCCTGAGACTCTTTTGGGACGCTATACGACGCGGATTTGGCGAACTTGCCCCCTGCCTCTACCGACTTTTAGTGACTTCTTGAATCATCGGAACATAATCAAGAAACTTACTGTATATTTCCCGGAATGCTGTCGGATCTGCGACGCTCCTGGACATACCCTCAGTCATGAACTTGGTTACGTTGATGGGTAAACTAACAACACGTTCGGTCCCGTGCGCACCACCGCACCATATTTCCGATGAAACGCAAGGTACCTATGATGGGACCGCCCCTCGTAGGTGAGGTATGCCCGATGCCAGTTGGTAAGCTTGGCCAAAAAGGGGCCTGGGAACCGGGCCAAAGGACACAAAAAGCACTGATAGATAACATAGCCGCCAGTGCTGAGAAGCAAAAGTATACCGGCGGCAAGTGGATTGACAAGTACGGATAATAGCTGCATTATGGGCGATCGATCTGTCAGTTTGGAAAGACACACAATCAAGCTTTGAGCGGGGAGCGGAAGATCAAGGGTATTTATGGGTGATGAGCGGCAGTTTAATAGCTCGACTTATGAACTAAAGCAGAAGCACAGATCCATATTCTGCGCGGCCCGGCTAAATACCTTATCGGCCCTGGGAGAAGATATCGGCATAGCAGAGTTGTTAGCATTGCTATGCAGCAAAGGTCTAGCATAGACGTAACAGTGGGCTGAATATCTTGTCGTCCGCTCTGGGGGAGGGGAAATATTGGTGGCAGCGAAATATTCGGTCCTATGCACCAAAGTGCCAGCATAGGAGTGGCACAAGTCTCAAGCAACTCCCTGCTTCGATGTTCTGCAAGCGACATCTCCGCACCAAGCTAGGCCTCCTGCCCCACAGCAACGGTGATCTGCTGAAACAATGGCGCGTTATTGTGCCGGCCACCCGCGATGTCCAATCATTTACCCCCGATCTCACATATTCAAGATACCTGCATTGCTTATACCCCACTGAGCCAATGGCTCACCGCCATCCCCGCCTTGAATGAAATGGCACTATGTTCATGTGGATGTCCGGGAAGGAGACTGCAATCAAGATGGTACTTAAACGTAGTTGGCAGACAAAATTGTTTTCCATCAAGAGTACTGACAGGGTACAATATGAAGTGAAGCCGAACTTAGGTGAGATCTTAGAACACTCCTCCATATTCCCATTTCCACCTCAATCAAAAGTTAAGGAAGGGGCAAAAGAGCTCCACTTGTTGGACAGATTACTCTGACCCAGGTGCCAGTGCTTGATTTGTTTGGAAAAGCATGGTAAATATTTGGATCGGAAAGTCGTTGATGTTGAGCGACTTCAGTATCAGAACGTTCGCTGTCTTCATTACATGTGGCGATTGCATTCGCTAGGAATGCCGTACCTTGACAATCTGTGATACATCAGAAGCTCGAAGTCTAGATAATATAGGACCTATATTCTCCCTATATGAACTGCCGTAATAAATTGGCCAATCGGATGCATATGCTATGAGACAACTAGAGGAAATTTGTTCGTTTTTAATAGCAACTCTATGCTTTGTTGGGTTGTGCACCCACAGATATAGATACCTTAGCACTGAGAAGGCATGATTTAATCATCCACAGTATGCTGTACGAAGTGATCACAGTCAGATTTCCTATTTATTACTTGTGTCATCTCTGACAAAGTATTTGTTATAATCTTTTCGTTAATCAGCTTCTACTGCTGTGTTATTGACCACTCTACTTTATACAGTATATAATGTTGAGACATTCACTGCAGCCAGGCAGCTGTCAGCTGATCCTTCGCCTTTCTTCCTGCGTGGTCTCCGACCACCACCTCTTCCAACACAACAACCAACCATCTTCATGAGATCTAGATAGATCAAATCCATATATTCTTGACCCTTCGCCTTGACATATAATAGCGAAAGGAATAGCCATGCTTCTATGCCTATCATCATGTAGTCTGGCTAATTCTACATAACTTCTACTTCGTACCTCTTCTCCTTCAGAAAGAAGAAAAAAATTTATTGATATATAAGTCTCCACATCCTTCAAATCAAGCAACTCTAAACTTAACTCCCATAACCTCGTCTCTCCATTCATACCTTAGGTTCCCCTTTTGTATTGCTTCTACTGCACGCTCATATGATGTCAACCTTAAATTGCGTCATCTCGCATTGGTATCGCAAACTAGCTGCAACCACAGTTCCTCCAGCGAAATGTATTTGAAAGCAGAGAATCGTCAGAGAAATGACACTCCCGCCTCCTCCGTCGAACCCGAAAAGAGAGATATCGACCCACGCCTATTGAAGGCCAACTCTATCCCCATCACGAAGACTTCGCCATGTCATTTGAATACTCAACTTCTCCCCCCAGCTCAACTAAAGTTCCAATGATACGGTCAGTGAGGGGGACTGCAAAGGTGAAAGGCCTCAAACTGTGAAGCGTTTAACCAAGAGATGTCGTCGTGCATAAGAGCAGCTGTGCGAGAGAACGAAAAACTGGATATGAAAGCTGGCAGAGGGCCTCCGCTACGTCGGTCAAGACGATTGCGAGCCCAATAATCTTGTTCATCAAGGCCCTTGAGATAATTGGCATTTGATATTGAATTTAGAACCCTCATTTTGGATAAGAGTAAACAACTGGCGTAGGATAATGTTCATAAACCCTAAATCGGTCTCATGCATCTGCATTCGCTCGTGTTCCGCCAGCGAACGCCTATTATGAAAGGCATCTGTCCCGCAACAAAAAAAAGAAACCATACAATTATGACCAATAGATGTCCTCTCTCTCTGTAAGCGCCGCTGCATTTGTCAAAGATCACCCCTCATCTGATTAATCGCAGAGAATCATGATTGGTCGTGATGGCAGTTCGAAGCCGCGCTACGGATGTCCCTGAGCGCCCCCAAACCCCTTCCTTTTTCCCATTCTTCTTACACAATATGCCTCTATGAGCCACTTCTGAAGTTAAATGACATTATCTTCACATTTCCCCTCGTCATCAACCTCCCCGAAAAGACAATCACCATGGAGTTCATCCCGCATTTAGATATTTATAATATCAGCGAGATACTCGCCCATCGGGCCGGAATCGAAGCTAGAGCCGAGGACATGTACGCTGAACTCCAAACCATGAAACAAGTGGTGGAGGATCGAATATCCCGAGCGAACGCATTGGCCGTCACAGCCTCCAGCGCCGCAGACCGCTACAAGGCAGTGAAGCTGATGTACTTGATTATGGAAACCCGGGGCTTCGAGATGGAGCAGTGGTATTCCAGCCTGACAGCTGAGGAACGAGGCGATGAGGACACGATAATCGACTATGTGAGACGATACTATGGGTGGGAACCGGTCCTGGACTTGTTCGGGCGGATCCAGTTAATGCGAGACACACACCACGAGTTTATCGAGGGCCTGAGACAAGGGGAGGTACAATACTTGTTGGCATATCATCAGGAATATCTAGCTGAGACTTTGGCGTGCTTTCATTTCTTTGAAAGTGAGATTGGAAGTCAGGGTCTGGGAGAATGGTGGGGACAACGACTGGAACGGGGCGTTACGGTCCATTGGGACTTAAATCGGCATTTTCTTCAAGAAGCTAGAGGGCCGCAGTATGCTCCTGTGTACAGCTCCTCTGATGTTGTGTCGGCTGGGAATTCAGACCTCGAAAGGGCCGTGGAGTATGTGGAATGGGCTACCCACGAACTGGAGGCCTATGTGATGCAAACTCATGGGATTCAGTCCTACGCGGCGATCGAATATTAGGCGGATATGTTCCCGGTTCGGAGGTGACTTATCCCTGGAGAGATCTCGCTATGCACTGTCATTCTAGATCCTGCTTGAATGTTTTATGATTCTCTTGATTGTTTTCACATTGGCCAGATACTTCATCCGCTAGATTCCCTTCTATTTGACATGCATTGCGCACAGATATTTACAGAGTTTCAATGTGCAAAGTCCACTTTATATGTCTTCTCCCTCCGGAAAAAAAGAAGAGAAGCTACTGATATACAAGTCTACTCATTCTTCAACTTTGATTCCCTAATGAAATATCTGTAAGATTAGTACTATTTCTGATAGATAAAGCATAAGATTAAATCTTATATTTGATTAATCTAGCTGTCCTGGTTAGCACAGCCTGGTAATATAATATATTTCAAAAAAAAAAAAAAAAAAAAAAAAAAAAAAAAAAAAAAAAAAAAAAAAAAAAAAAAAAAAAAAAAAAAAAAAAAGAAAAAGAGTTAGATACTGACAGTATTCCTGAATTAATCTTAAGATTATTAAATAGACTAAATGAAGCAGTAAAAGCTAATCTGGGATACTCGGTGACCACCGATATGTACCTTTAGTTGTATGATTTTGTTTTCTAGTCCTCGCTTTCCTTGCTGAAAGTGACGGTAGAAACTGTTCTGTGTGCTCCTTATTCCTGCCCATTAGCCAGCAGGATTCGGCCACCATCCATGCAAAGAGATATACCATCGACGTACGACTGCGTGGATTCATTAGCATTTGATACAAAGAATGGCGATAACAACTCACCCCAGCTCTGCTGACTAGATACAACACAGCCCCTGCAAGATCTTCAGCCCTCCCAGCTCGCTTAGCAGGGACCTTGTCAAATAAACCGCTGAACATATTTCCTGCTGCACCAACAGGGTTCATGTTGGAGGGAACAACTAATCCAACGTCAGTACCAAGTCGCACAAGAGGAAACAGGAATCGGAAGACACAGCAACACCCACATCCAGGATTTATCCCCACTACCCGCACATAAAACCGATGAAATTTCGCAGCCAACAACTTCACCAAATGATCAGTCGCGGCCTTACTCGTCGCATAGCTCGTCAGGTCCACATTCGTCGCATTGTGCATACTCGCACAAGAGCTGGTGATGACCACCACGCCTCTCCCGTCATCCTGACCCCGACGACCATCATCTAGTTGCTGATCGGCCGCGGCAGCCAGGAGAGGAAGAAAGGCAACACTAAGGAAGTAGTGCGCTGTCGTATTGATCCGAAAGGTATCGGCCCAGTCTGATTCTCTGCTGGACCACATTGACTCCTGCAGCTCGGCTAGGGTTGCTGTGAGTACGTTGCATGCGATGGGTGGATCCCGTCGAATCCCGGCATTGGATATGAGCATGTCGAGCTTGGTTTCTTTCTGAGAGATTGACTTGGCAAGTTGGTAGATGGAGTCCTTGGAGGAAAGGTCGCAGGCGTAGCTTGATTGTGAGTTGAGTACTTGACTGGCCTATTGATAAGGGGATTTGGGAAGGTGTTGTCGACACGTACCCTTCTGCGCTTCCACCTGATTCAATTCCACATGTATTCAAGTCCTGTACTGTTTGATCGATAGGGTCACCTGGCAGTGCGACTATGTAGGCTTTGGCACCGTTGGTGACAAGGCCCTGGTACGATGGCTACTGTTAGTATGTGTTACCTTGTTGGGTCGCAGGACTGATTTACCTGTGCGATCATGCGTCCTATTCCGCTACTTCCACCGGTGACTAGAGCGACACGTCCCTTGACGCTCATCATGTCTTGTGTCAATAGTGACCCCATTTTTTGGTGTGAACAATGTGCTTTGGGGATAATTAATGAAGATGTGGAAGAGCAATGTCGGGAGGGGGCGCTCCCCGCTTTATGTAGCTTCTTGTCGGATCGGCCGACGCTCCAGTGACAGAACCAGGCTTTGTGAGCGGCATTATTTCCAGAAGAATTTAAACTACAACAGAAGTTGTTGAACGTAATTTTACGCGATCAAAGTAATACCAGAAGCTCAAATTCACTAGAATATCACTCCCGGTAGTGCTCCTTAGTCCTCAATTCGGCAGCGTCCAAGCACTGTCGAGTCAATACATCATCCCGCGGAATTAGTCTGACCTTGAAATCCCTCGGAATGGCCACTAGAGCTGTTTTGAATTGATTATACTCGACGTAATCAGTGTTCGGTGGCTGATCTTCACTGGCCACAATCTTGTACGACGAGAGAATGCGTACCAGTGCCGTGTAGAGCAACCTGATCGCGATAACTTGCCCCGAACATGCACGAGATCCGGCCCCAAAGCTCAGATGGGGTAGTCCCTGGATCTCCTTCTCACTGGGGGGATCGACGGATTTTAGCCAACGCTCAGGATCGAACTTTCCTGCATCAGGTCCAAAGTGGTCAACATCTACGGTCGAGTTAGCAGGCTGTTCGGACTGCGGATATTTATTGATGCTTACCGTGATTACCCGCTTGCGCGTTTATCAAGACCATAGTCTTTGGGGGAATGATAGCCCCGTTCCAGTTCACCTCTGTCGCGGTTTTCCGGGGTAAACTCATGGAACTGACCGTATAGTAACGCCCTGCCTCTTTGACGATGGCATTGACATACGGGACCTTTTCCTCATGAATAGATGACAGCCAGGCATCCCCTGGATCAGCGTAGTATCTTTTGATATCTTCATATGCTCTGTCTTGCCAGATCTGGCCTTCAGGTGTGGACAATGAGCCAATGACTGAAGTAAGAGTTCCGGGAATTGTTTCAAACCCGCCGGAGACCAGCGAAAGACAGATAGAGGAGACCTCCACACCACTAAGCTTGGTCTCTTCATCTTTAAGGATGGCAGCTGAAATGCATGGCTTATCTGTTCCCTTTTTGATCATATCGCGGACTTTGTTCAGGAGAAGATTGAGGTAAGCGTCTCGACGCTCCCTAAGCTCCTTCGATCGAGCGGTCTTTTCATTGTTGGGCGCATAACGCAAAATAGGAATATAGTCCTGCAAATTTTCCGACGCACTTCGTAGCAAAGATATCGCAGATCCCACATGGAGAATCTCCCGAAGAAGGTCATCATAGACTTCATCCATCCGGATACCATAGCAAAGGGTCAAGGTCGTATTGAGGGCGTATCTTTGGATGTAAGGGCGGATATTGAGTTCAACTTGGCCGTTCTTACTGTCACGAAATAGATCTCGAACAATGCAATAGCTTTCCAAATCGAACATGGGATGGTAATTCCTCAAAGCTGGCCTACCCAGTGCCGTCCCTGCTGCCTTGCGCTTCCTCTTGCAGGAATCGTCCCAAGGGGATGAGCCGATGGTGAAGCCTTGGGTACTGCTGATAACTCCGTGAAATGTGTACAGCTTCGGCCGATCGATGATTGCATTTTGATGACCCAGTAACACCGTGCGGCAGTCTTCGAAGGAGTTGAAAACGACCGCCCGCGTATTACCGAGCTTGATCTGGAAGACTGAATGACCGTACTGTCGCCACCAGCGCTCACATACACTTGCGTGATCGTCACCTAATTTTCGAAGATGACCGAATATTGGAACAGCGCCTGGGATTTCGGGCAAGCCTTTGATGCGCGGAATGTCCGTCACCATCGTTGCCTGTCAGTGGGGTAGAAGTTAGCAGGGGAAAATACACCAGGAAACCCGAAACTTACTTGGTACAGACAGTAGAGGACAATGGCAGCTAGGCCTATGAGAGCGTAGCTGTTGGGCAGCGCCCTTATCAGTGCAGCGGCGCCCTCCATGTTAACCACTGTATCAACCATCCTTATTATTCGACCCAAGTGATTTCAAACGGTCGATGTTGCGAAGAGATGGAGCTGTGTTATCGAAGTAGTCCTCCTTTATATTTTTCGGTTCATCCCTGTCGACAAAAAGTGTAAGCGGAGGATCGGACCGTCCTGGCTGTCGGACGCCCCGACGAGGAATTCGAGATACGTCAAAGGCGCGCGAGCCGACAACGGGCATCCGTCCAATCGGAAAGGGACAACCAGGTCACCATTTCATGTAAGGCGAGCCACAGTAAATCAGAAATATGCATGAATATTGGGCTGGGGTGAAAGGCGGCTCTCGGTAGCTGTAAAAGTGGCACATCCAACAAGCACCTCTATTGACCAGTTGGCAGTTCAAGGTATCAGCGCCATGCTGTCAAACTCCGAAGTAACCTATTCGAGATCAATGAAGTAAGAGAAGGTGAACACAGTCAAGCGCCAAAATAACACATTTTCAACAAGGCAGATTTTCCGATAGAGACAGAAATGCCAGGCTGCCTGTTTTGACTTGGTAACCGTCTATCATTGAACCGCGACTTCAGTCTATCTTGACTTAAGAAGAATCACTGCTAAAGTCAACCGGAGGCGGACCATCAAAACCATGTCCGGGATTCTCGACAACATCCGCCAACCAGAACCCATTCAAAGTGCAAGTCCTCTGGGATATAATGGGCCTGTGGACGGGATGACCCATACAGGCTCTCCGGATGTGCTGCAATTGTTGTACCGACTCGCTGCTGTAGTAATCCCGGGTCAGTTTGTAGTTATTTCCACTTGGGATGGAGCAGAGGAGAGATAATCCGAACAGACAAACCGTCACCTGACAAAAGAGTCGAGAGGAGTCATGGTGGAATGACTTCGCAATCTGGTCCTTGGGCTTGATGTCCTCTGAGATTGCTATTTGAAGGTATAATATACCCACACCTCAGAAGGAGGCGTATGATGATGACAATGATATACAGGGTATGAATAAACAGGCTTGTCCCCTTTACTCGGTATTATGTTATTAATGGTATACCTGGAAACCTAGATTAAGTCTCAACTTTTCAACAGTTTTATTTGTTATTTCCTGTCTTACGGTTCTTTATTTGGCGCTATACACCTGCTGCAGGAGTAAAAGTCCTCGTGTATGGAATCTTAACAACCGACTTTATTCCTAGCGGGTGCTAGTATTAGTGCTTATTTTGGTGATTGAAGTGCCCAGCCAGTGATGACTGGGTGTGATTAATAGGCGATATGCTTACGATTTAGCCCAACCGGGTAAGAGCCTGATGGCACCATCGATCCTCTTCCCACACAGCTTGAGCTGATAAGCACTCGACATCCAGCGCTCCAGAAACCACCTCCTCCACCCCTCCATCGTGACCTTACCGACCTTACCTTCTCAAGTCGTTCAACTAGATGAGCGCGGCCCTAGCTGTACTGAAAAGCGACTGCCATGTATCATGACAAAGATGGAGTTGCCTCCAAGGAAAGCGAGGCAGCATATAAGGCCCGCATTCGGCTGCTGGTATGGATAACCTCGTTCCTCTCGTGGCTGGGACTTGCAGCAGCTATCACAGACATTGCGCATTACCGGGAAATATTCCAGTCCTTACAGTCCTTAATCCAACTGAGTTCACTCCACTGGAGCAAACTTTTATGGGCAAGTTTCCCCCTTCGTTATAAAAATTACCGAGTTCCTAAGAGAAACTAACAATGCTGTAGATTTTCATACCATTGCATAGTGTCTATCTTCACTGGACGGAGGATCCCATTGGAATTTACACCAGTGGGCTGCGAGGATCCCTACTAGCTGCCCTCACCCTCTCTTTAACCTGTCTTTCGGGTTACCTAGCAGGTAGCAGTCACTTAGTTTCATTTTCCTCCGTGTCCTTGCAGGTCTACGCAGCGATTGGCTTAACAATCGTCCAGCTGCTTCTTCCTCGTCGGCCTCGTCTTTTTACGCCAGATGGCAGAGCTGTGGACCACGAAAATAGCTCCTCAGCGTTTCATAGATATACCATGCACTGGTGCACAAGTACCCTCCGTCTAGCTGGCAATCATGTGGAGCTTGACAAGCTTCCATTTCTAGACTATCACACTCGGTCGCAAAGTCAACCACTTCTTCGGATAACAACCTCGAAGACTTCGCTGTGGTACCTGATATTGAACGACCGCTTTGCTGGTTTCGTCAAACAATGGATCATAATGCTTCTAAGGTCTCTCGTTACTTTTGTGTCTCCTTACTGTGTTATGCGGCTTCTCAAGAGCCTGGAAGAGCAACCTGAATCGAGGCACGACGCTTGGCTTTGGCTGATAGGGATTGCCATATCGTCCTTATGCCAAATCTTACTTCACCACCATCTACTGTGGATACAGTGGTCTGAAATGGCAATCCCTGTCAGGGCTCAACTGATTATGGCAATCTTTGTCAAAGCACTGAAGATGAAAGACTCCAAGGACCCCCAGAGTCCTAAAGTCGAGAAGCCTGAAGCTATCAATCTCATTTCGTCGGACACTGCTTCACTCAGTAAATTTACAGCCGTCAACCACTATATACCAGCCACATTATCCCGGTTCTTCTTTGCTGTGCTATTTCTGGTAAATTTAGTCGGCTGGCAGGGTACCCTTGCTGCCATGGTGGTCACTGCGATAAGTGTGCCGGTCCATACATTCGTCGTCAAGCAGGAGCGCGTGGCACAAAGAAATCTTGCTGCAGCAAGAGATAAAAAGACCAAAGCTATCAACGAATCTATGCAAGCGCTTCGACAGATCAAGTTCTCTGCTTCAGAAGCGCAGTGGGAGGATCGTTTGGAGACCTTCCGACAGGAAGAGCTTGCACAACTACGCAGGGTCTTCTTTGCCAAAAACATAAGATCTGTATGGAGCGTTGCGTCTCCCTTCATTGTCGCCGCGGCTTCAATCTTCACCTACGCATACACTATAAGCTCAATTTCCCCTTCCGTTCTTTTCCCCATGATCGAGCTACTGCCTCATCTTCAGTCAACATTGGGGTTCCTTCCTGTTGTATTCAATGATTATTTCGAAGCCAGGTCTAATGCGCGCCGCATGGAGATTTTCTTGAGAAGACCTGAGCACAAGACAGTGCTCACTCCTAGCCCATCAGGCCAAGTTTCATTTCATAATGCGACCATTTCGTGGCCATCCGATGTGTTACAACAGCATCGCTTTTCTCTGTGTCATATTGACGTGACTTTTCCTACTGGTGAGCTCAGCATAATATATGGAAAGACGGGTTCAGGAAAGAGTCTTTTACTTGCTGCCATTCTTGGCGAAGTTGACCTCCTGGACGGTTCTATCAAAGCCCCATCGATGGCTGAAGGGCAACCTGTTGCATTCGTATCACAAACTCCGTGGCTTCAGAACGCCACGATCAAAGATAATATTTTGTTTGGAAGCTCAATGGACGGCAAAAGGTATGAGGAAGTTTTGACAGCCTGCGCACTATACCCCGACCTTGCTGCCCTGCCGAAGGGCGATGAGACCCAGATTGGCCTCCGAGGTGTCAAGCTTAGTGGAGGCCAACGCGCGAGACTCGCGCTTGCCAGAGCACTATACTCAAGTGCACAGACGTTAATATTAGATGACATATTTGCTGCTCTTGATGCTCATGTCTCCAGGGATATCTTCAATGCACTCACCGGTGCCTTTTGCAGAGGCCGCACGCGGATCCTCGTAACTCACCAGGTATCTTTGTGCTTGCCAAAAGCAAAATGTATTATCCATGTAGAAGATAATACTGCCAAGTACGCAGATGACACTGAATTTGTTGAGGAGAAGCGGAGTGCAGTCGAAGCTGAAAACGTCATCACAGCTGACCTGCCCGGACAAGAGAAACCGAAAGAACGTACAACCACGCGGGTGAAAAGCAAAGGTCTTGACGCGCGTACAGACGCAAAGGTGTATAATACATACTTCACCGTAGCAGGTGGACTGTGGTTCACCATAGTATATCTTTTGGGCCTCGTCATCAAACAACTCCTCGGCTCCTTAACGACGAGGACTTTAGGTCGCATTGATTCGGCGCGTCCTAAGCCCCTCAGCCCAGAGGCAAATGCCTCATCAGTTGCTCCAGAACCGGAGGGCGGGTGGGAGCAGTATCTCTATCTTTATCTGCTGACTTCCATGTCGACTGTCTTTTTGGAATTTCTATTCAACCTGCATGCCTCTTCCGGGTCCTTACGTGCCTCTCGATCACTGTTCCGCGCGGCTACGTTTAGAGTCCTCCGGATGCCCCTGCACTGGCTCGATAGCACACCTATTGGAGAGATACTCAGGCGACTCACTGTCGATACCAAAAATGTCGATGATCATGTCTTGGTCACCATGTCTGAATTTGCGGACAACTTTGTCCAGATGATATTGATTGTGTATATGGGGTAAGGTGCACCTTTACGGAGAACCAAAATTGCCTGCTAATTTATCCAGGTTGAATACGTCCAAGTATATGAGTCTGTTGACAGTGACCCTCCTCTACTGGTGTGCAGAAGTTAGCAAGCTCTATATAAGGGCACGAACGACGGTCAAGCGAGCCGACTCGGGACCAACTGCTGCTATTCTTGAACACTTTACGTCTTCTGCAGCAGGAGTCATGACGATTCGAGCCTTTGGTGCAACAGATTGGTTAGCTGCACATATGCATGGGCATATTGACAGGCTGTCTACGGCTAGAAGACACTTCTTCATATTTAACCGCTGGCTGAGTCTCCAGATGTCTCTTATCGGCGTCATTTTCAGCATCGGAACGGGTATCATTCTATTGTCGACTTCTGCGGCCGACGCATTTTTGATCGGGTACTGCCTCAGCTATTCCATGCAGTTCTCACAGGCTATGTTCAAGGCCATCAATAATTTTGGGATGCTCGAAACCTATATGAACTCAGCCGGAAACATTATAGCGTACACCGAGTTGGAGCCAGAAAAGCAAGGTGGTCGAGAAGCCCCTAACAACTGGCCATCGCAGGGAAATATTGAGGTCAAGTCACTTGCCGTTTCCTATGCACCTGGACTCCCTCTTGTTCTGGAAGATGTGTCGTTCAGTGTGAAGGGTCGTGAAAGAGTTGGCATCGTAGGCCGTACGGGAGCCGGGAAATCATCACTAACGCTAGCCCTGTTGCGTCTCGTTGAACCTCGGGCTGGTTCAATAGTTGTTGACGGCATTGACATGCGCACCCTGGCACTCCAGACCCTCCGATCACGAATCGCATTCATTCCTCAAGACCCCGTGCTATTCTCCGGAACGGTGCGATCTAACCTAGATTATAGCCATCAAATCTCAGAAGAAAGACTCAATGACGCCTTACGGCGCGTGAAACTTCTCAAGGAGAACCCGGAAGATGAAGACTCTGGCCTCTTCACACTTGACTCACGTATAAGCGCTGGAGGGGCAAACATGTCCCAAGGACAACGACAACTTCTGTGCCTCGCACGAATCTTAATCAATGATCCCAAGATCATCATCCTCGATGAGGCTACGTCAGCGGTAGATGATGAGACGGACCGGTGGATCCAGGATACGATTAGGAGTCAATTCAGCGGGACATTGATTGTGGTTGCGCATCGATTGAGGACAATATGTTCATTTGACAAGGTAATTGCTATGAGTGAAGGGAGAATTGCCGAGATGGGGTCACCGGCAGAGCTTTTGAGGAAGGAGGGGTTGTTCTATCGTCTCGTTCAAAGTAGTGAGGATCGGGAGTACTTGATGGAGACGATTGGATGAATTTGTTGGGGATACCACCAGAGCGCTTCGGCATTCAAGCCACACAGATTAACTTTTCCAGTAGCACTACTTGGAAATCCCGAGACTAGACTGGGTTGTAGGCGAAGGAAACCGGCTTTAACCGTCCAGCAATCCGAATCCTACACAAATCGAATTACACACAGCCAACTAGTAAAGGATTGGGACGGGAGATGATAACTCTGGACCCTTGAGCATCACGAGCTGATAAGTAAGTAGTAAGCATGGGTAGTAATAAACACCGCACAGAAAACGGAGAGGATATCAACTTATCGCCAACCCCGCCTGATATGGCTCTTGGCACACCGGGCGGTTAGGTAACAGATATTCGCCGTCGGGGGTGCCGCCAAGGCCGCCAAGCCATGTGGGTGCCCCGCGGGGGATGACAGCTTTTCGGTCATTCCCGATGCAGCTTAACCAGTAACCTCGTCGAGGGGAATCTGCACATGTCCCATGGTTTGCTGGTAAGCCTAACGCTAGAAAAGGAGGTGAGTGGCTACCCCGTATCTCCTGGAAGATAAGGAACTGGTTTCTGTTATGCTTCGCCAAGCCCGTCCGCTGGCAACCCGGCCAATGGCGGACTTCGTGTATCGTCATGGCGGCATCAGATCGCGACTGATTAGTACTTACTTCCATCTTTGGGCTCTGGTCAGGAAAAGGAGCCGATAGAGAGGATCTGACCGATGCTACCCTGAACCAGGTGACCTGGAATTGATCTTGTAATGAATGGTACGGTGGCTGAGGCTAAGTAGTTAAAATGGAGTATGGGGTACAGTAGTTTGCTCTGATTAGCCTATTGTAGTAGTAGCAGTGGTAGCTTTTACTGTAAAAAATACTCATAGTACCGAGTTTGCTTGCTTTGTCTTCCATTAACTTACGCTTGTCTTCTTTTTTTCCCTTTTTCTTCTCCTCATTCCTTCCCCTCATCTGCTGTTCCTCACTCTCCTCATCCCATCGTGCTGTGCAGACGTTCACCGGTTATCACCTTCGATCTCGTTAGCTCTCTCGTTTCTCCCTGTGTAGTGAGCGCATCTCACAATAAGACATGGGGCTCAGAGAAGATGGCTCCGCCGACATTTCCCCCGAGAAACGACAGTACGTGACGGATTATGGCAGCGGCGAGGATACCCTCGAGGCTGCTCCTGGCGACCATGATCTGCATCGTGCCCTGAAGGCTCGCCACATCTCCATGATTGGTATGCCCTTCACATTGACTGCACATGCGCGGCAGAAAGTCTAACAATCAGCTTCCCAGCCATTGGAGGTGCAATTGGCACGGGTCTCATCATAGGAACTGGATCTGCTCTTGCAAAGTAAGTCAGACTGTCACTTGCAGTTTTGTGCCACGCTAATCAATTGTCCAGGGCTGGTGTAAGTATCCTATCCCAGCAACAACATACTTAGGAACCTTTAGTCTGACTCGCACAGCCTGCCTCCATCCTCATATCCTACTCGGTAGTGGGCTTCGTTGTCTACCTTGTCATGTGCGGCCTGGGAGAAATGGCTGCTTGGTTACCATTGTCCTCTGGCTTCACAGGTTACGCGGTGCGATTCTGCGACCCTGCTCTCGGCTTCGCGCTTGGCTGGACGTATGAGCCCCCCTTTACCCTATTCTCTCTAGTGTCACTGCTAATCTGGGGTTACACAGCTACTGGTTCAAGTACATCATCGTCACACCCAACCAACTCACTGCCGGCGCCCTTGTGATATCTTACTGGATAGACACGAGCCGAGTCAACGCAGGTGTCTGGATAACCATATTCCTCGTCCTGATAGTAACCATAAACTACTTCGGGGTTCGCTTTTTCGGCGAGTTCGAGTTCTGGCTCTCCTCGTTCAAGGTCATTGTCATTCTGGGCATCATCCTCCTCTCCTTCATCCTCATGCTCGGTGGTGGCCCCGATCACGACCGCAAAGGCTTTCGCTATTGGAAAGACCCTGGTGCCTTCAATACCTACATCGACGATGGCCCGGCCGGCCGCTTCTACGCTTTCTGGGCCACCATGGTCTCCGCCACCTTTGCCTACCTCGGCACAGAGCTCGTCGGTGTGACCGTCGGCGAAGCGGAAAACCCCCGCAAGAGCATTCCCAAGGCCATCAAACTCACCTTCTTCCGCATCGTCGTATTCTACATCCTCTCTGTACTACTCGTCGGCACCCTGGTCCCCTACAACTCCAAGGAACTCATCTTCGCCACGAACCAATCCAGCTCTGCCGCAGCCTCCCCCTTCGTCGTCGCCATCCAGCTAGCAGGAATCCCCGTCCTCCCTCACATCCTCAACGCCTGCATCCTCCTCTTCGTCTTCTCCGCCGCCAACTCAGACCTCTACATCGCAACCCGGACCATCTACGGCCTCGCCAAAGAAGGCAAAGCCCCCAAATTCCTCTCCAAAACCGACCGCCGCGGCGTCCCCGTCTACGCGCTCATCCTCTGCTCCTGCATCGCCTGCATCGCCTACATGAACGTCTCCAACGACTCCAAAACCGTCTTCCGCTACTTCGTCGACCTCGTCACCATCTTCGGGCTCCTCACTTGGATCTCCCTCCTCGTAACACACATCTACTTCGTCCGCGCTCGCAAAGCCCAAAACATCCCAGTAACGGACCTGGCGTACCGCGCCCCGCTCGGCGCCGCAGGTTCCTACGTCGCCCTGGTCTTCTGTATCCTCATCTGTCTCACCAAGAGCTATGACTGTTTCACCCATAACAAGAAATGGGGTAACTTCGATTACAAGACCTTTATCACGGCGTATTTGGGAATCCCGTTGTACTTGATCCTCATCTTCGGGTATAAGCTCGTCACGAGATGTAAGGGACTTAGTCCGTACGAGGCGGATCTATTCACAGGCAAGGATGTCGTGGATCGGATGGAGGAGGAGTATTATCGGCGGGAGGCTTTCAGGGAGGAGACGGATGGGAAAGCCGGGTGGTTTTATCGGAAGTTTGTGGCGTGGTTGTTCTAGTTTTCCTTTTTTTTTTTTTTTTTTTCTGTCTTTCTTCTTTTTCTTTCCCTTGATTCTGCTGCTCGGCGTCGGGGATGCGAAGATTCACCCTTATATGGGGGATGTTCTTGCGCTAAGTTTATCTAGAAATTGCCGGGGCGGAGGTTTATGTACATGCATCGGAAAGATACCTAACGAATGAATGTATGACGATGATCATGATACACAGCACCTGAGTAAAGAGTGGGGTGAAGTAGATTATGAGGCTTAGCTTTCAATTCCTTACCTTTTCAATACAGTACAGAAGAAATGAAACACCATTTAGTTACTACGGATCGATTACTTGGTAGAACGATTCATTGGATTACTCTGTATTTAATTATGTAGAGAATACCCCTTAAGCTCTATAGGCTATAGGCATCTGAAGGGAACAGTATCTAAAATAATAAAAAGAATCGAGAAGCAGAGCATGATAAACACGTCAATCACTCCCGCAAACCCGTCATTAGTCATTATTGATCGTCATCAGAAGGAGAGTATATGGGCGAGGGTGTCATATAAACTGGGTTGATTAGTTTGTCCATCATCAGCGTCGTCGCCGGAATTCGTATGTGTGTTCGGTGGCCCAATATGTATCTTCCTCTTCCTCTTCCTCTTCTTCTTCATCATCATCGTCGTCGTCGTCATCGTCTGTGTGGTCTTCTTCCTCCACCATTACCCATTCCTTATCTTCGTCTTCGTCAATGTTGGGCAGGGGGCCGTTGGCGTTGTGTAGATACGCCGGGGAGCGGTCATTGGATTTTGAATAGCGGCTATCCAGATCCGACTCGTCCTTTGACAGATCGAAGAGTTCTGATTCCCAATCGACGTCAAATGTGTCGCCTCCGATGAGGAAGGATCCCAATTTCAGAACGACATTGTAGATCTCCTTGCCGGTGGGGATGATGTGTTCAGACGGAAGGAGGAACCCGTAGCTTCCGCGATCACGAAGCTTGATCTGGTATGAATAAGTCGCGTGCACTTGGTGGTAAAACCAGTCCAACGCACTGCCACCGGAGTTGCCACCAATGGGGAAGAACCGCCCGGGGTTGTTATCTGCCGCACTGGCCGTGACGATGCCTTCGCAGGCAGAAGTGACATCGTAGATTTCGTGAGTCGCGTACCGAATGGCCTTGGCTAAGCCTAGGCCTAGCTCTTCCAGGCTCTCGAGCGTTGGAGGGATCGAGGAGCAGGAGTAGGAAAAGGGGTAGAGAATTGTTTGAGAGTAAGAGTGAAGGTCAAGGAAGCTCACGATGTCGGCATTATTGTTTTGTGTCTCGTTGAGCGCCCACTGTGCTAATTGTTGTGCTTCCATTCCCTCGAAGGGCTCGTCTCCAGCATAGTTTTCTGAACAAGGGTTCGCGCGGGTCCGACCGCCATCCCATTCGAAGCCCCAGGCGCGGTCAAGATCGATTCCGGGACAGAAGCGTAGGCTGGTCCGCTGTCGATTCTTACGCCATAGTCGGTCCGTCTCCCAGGTATAAACATAGCCGTCGGGATTGATCGTGGGGATCATGATCCAGTCGAAGTCCTGTAGAAGGCGGGTAACGGCCTTGGATTTGCCATACTTGGTAATGAGCGTGTACATTACATGGTTCACGGTTGAGGTGCCAATCCATTCGCGAGCAAGGCTACCACCCGTAACGATGATCGTTTTACGAGGGCCTGACGCCGCGGTGGAGCTGCCTGCGCTCAGTCGGAGGGCGGGAATTTCGCGACCCTCGTAAGATACTCCAACGCTAATCATGCGCACATGGGATGGAAACATGGAAGCCAGCAGCCGCATCCAGGGAATAATGACGGACAAAGGCTGATACTCGTGGAAAAAAAGGTCACCGAACTTTGGCGCAGGCCGACTCGACGACGCAAATCCGGATTGTCCTTCAAGTCCTATCGGCTTTTTAGATGGATAGGTCGTATAGATTCTCTCTGCCAGGTTGTCTATTAGGGGAGTATATGCGGTCTGGAGGGAATTTGGTAGCAAGCCCAATAATGAGGGAATCTATTGCGAGGGTCACAGTGGATCAGGTATCAGTCAACCGGGCAGATATGGACGGAAGGATGAACCACTTACGACTTCCTCGGCCAGTCGGATATCTACGAATGCTGGAGTAGACGCCCATACGTCCAGGAATAGAATGTCTGCAGCCTGGGCCAATGCCTCGGCCTCATCGTGATTGCGCAGGCTGAAACGAAGTACGACGTCACTACCGTAGCGCGCCAGAATCCGGGAGGGAGGAGAGCGATTGCGCGGGGAATCGTTGAGTGGGAATCGACGAGACGCGGGTTTTTCGATGCCCCATATGGACTCGATGATCCAGTCACGGAGGCGGATCCATGGCCTCCGGGGATCAGAGGGCTGGGAAGAGAGAAGGTGAACGGGCTCGACGGGTGGTTGTGGAGTGATAATGGAGCCGGCGGGGACGGCGGAGACCAGGGCGGCCGATGCGATCAGAAGCACCAGCAGTGATAAGAGGTGACGCATTATGGATGTTGAGTACGCCGGGATTGAAGAGTAGTCACCGAGTCATCTCCTTCAAAAAACCTAAAATGACAGACAGAAGTTTGGCAGGAAATGGATGGAGAAGGATGGCGTGAGTGGGAAGAAAAGTGGTGCACGAGAGCAGAAGTGAGAGAGAGAAAGAGAGGAGGCCGAAAGAGGGAAGGAATGGTGGGTGACTTGGTAAGTATTGGGAGTGGAGACGAGGCAGTGCTGTGTGCCTCAGGCACCAAATGATGGCTGCTGCTCCTGGATTGTCTCCCCACAATCCCTGGAATGCTACCGAGTATTCAAGCTCTGGAACCAAGACTCTGCTGAGCTTGGCTTTATTGAATCCTCAAGTACTATATAAGAAGCAGTGAACCGTGTATAGCTGATTCTGTCACTGAGTCGGAGAATTGAACCTTATATGGCTGGGACATAGCATCGAGGAAAGTGTGCCGGTGCTCAGCACAAGGTTGAACAGGCAGTGGTAGAGATACCGAGGTATTGGTGTCTGCAGCCACCACGAGCTGAACAAGAGTTAGTCTAATACTTAAAAAGGCCCACGATTGATGATTAGGCTAAGTCGGCGAGGGCGAATGCAGCTATAATCGAAGTTTGGAGAACATCGAATGGATGCCCGCATTGGATGGCCCGGGCACTATTCCTGTTCCGGCTAGCTCACAGCTGCGGATAGTTGCTGTTTCTAACCGCTTTAAAACTAGTGGCCATGTCACGCCCCGGTTGACTCCGCTGACCCGCCATTCTGGAATAGGCAAGGGTGTCTGCGCTTCTGCTCTGCCGAACACTTTCAGTATATAGAGTCCCATGTACAGGAAGATATTAAGAGACTATATGGAAGCCATCAGGTACCTCCGATATAAAGTCTGTGCGGCTGTCTCAGCATCAGCAGTACTCAAAGCCCTTCCAGACTCGGCAAGACCACACATAGCATACCTCTGATGGGCCATAAAGGTCCCACCGGAAGACGAAGGCTACAGTCAATGCTGAGCGACTTAGTTGGGCTTGTTTCTTGTGGCTAATCTAACTACTCAAACCACGAAGGCACCTTCATGGCTATGCTATTATTCACTCTTTCACACCGGTCCCTTTTACTGACATGCCTCGTTTAACTCAGAAGTCTTCACGATTTAGATGCAGATGGGACGTGGTGGGACTTTTCTTGAGAGACTCAATTGATCGCAGTTTTCCTGGGAACAATATGCTACTTGTGTGTTGAAGGAGAACCCTGTACCTATAGAGACTGGTACACCACAGCCATCCATAACAGTGGGATGAAAATCGAGACCGTGACTGATCTTGGTGGTCTAGACCTATCCCCACAGGAGTCCACCCAGCATCATATGTGTGGCCATACAGCCATATCATCGTACGTGTCAGACCCATCCCTCCCAGAAAGACGAAGAAAAGGGATCGTACACATAGTTGGACCCGGAAGCCAGAGTTGCCGCCCCAAGCTCCTATCTGACCCCGAGAAGGTGGCCTTATATGATTCAAAGGTGCCCCTGCTTCTCTCCAAGCGTTGCTCGCATAGCTTACTGGTGCTGCCACATGAATTTGCCCTGTTTACCGGGCAATCTTATGTCGTCATGTTGAGATCGAAGCTGTTGCTCTACCGACCACGAGGTCTCCTGGTGCAAAGACGCAGTATGGACTGTTCAACGTTATGACATTGCTCTCAAGTATCAGCTCACGTCGTAGTTGGACTGACATCAATGAGTGAAAATATCTATCTATATATATATCCCAGGCATCATCGCACACGAATTGACTCAACAGTGCATTTCGCGGGAATTCATGGGCAGCGTCCCAGTGGCATACCAGGACTTGAAACGCCATAGTGAGCTAAGGTCAGTAAGTTATGAGGTGCGGTTCTGTTCCTAATCCGAACCTTGGTTCGATAGGGTCAGGACACCGATAACCAGACCATCTGGCAAGCAGTCGTAACTGATCCAATTGAAAGAAACACAGATGCCTAGAATAAGAACGACTCGGCCTACCGGCATCCAGCGGCAGCCAAGATGATGCAAATCAAGTTTGTCGCGACAGACGAAAAGGGCGATGGGGGCGACAATTGGGCGGCGACGGATCTGGCGGGCGAAAAGGATAGCCGGAGATGACGCCAGCGGTGGTCATGGCCTTGAAGCCTGACGTGGCCAGACCGCGGTCACGTGGCCGCATGGCTGGGGAAGCCAGTTGCAAGTCGCAGCTCCATCGCGCCGCCTTGCAGCTTCTTCCTTTTTTTCCCGATCTATAGTTTCATCTGTTGTTTTCACAAAACAACAGACTTATACAAGGCCTGGCTGTCAGGGTTGCTCCAAGGGCGAGTCGAGGGTCCTGCGATCAGCATTGGCGGGAGCTGCGGAAGGGGAGCCAGCCAGCTTTTGCGGCCAGGAATTAATTTCCCCCCCCATACTTGACTGCCATTTTGCTACTAGTGAAGGAACTAGTCTAGCTACTCCGGACGAGGTATCTAGGGGCTGTTTTAGGAGTTAAAGATAGAAACAAATCCACTGGGATAACCGTCCGAGGTTCTGCAGACAAGACCCGATCGTGGACATATTTAGATCAGAGACATTGAGTGCTATTTACATTGTTCTTTATGGATTATGTGAGTGTGTAGTGTGTTGATGACGGTGGTACATCATTGATGTAAGGACGACCCCTGGTCGAAAGAAACAAGTCAAATACATACATACATACATACATGGGTGACATAGAAAATGTGATAGAGCTTCTAATTAATCAATTGACATGCCAGTCAAGATCGCGACCATAAAAAAAAAACAATGTAACAAAAAAAACGTCACACCAAAGGGAGGCTGACGGGCTGAGAAGGAAAAACTAAAAACTAAAAAAAAAGAAAGAGTAAGGATATCCACAGTAAACAAGAGCGAGCGCACGTGTGGTTGGTTGAATAATGGCAATAGAAACTCCAACAGAAACCAACTCCACTTATTTCTGGAATCTCTCCGTCGTCAGCAGCAGCGAAAAGTGAACCCCAGCAGCATCATCGCGGTTCCGTCTTGTCTCGGCTCTCTCGCGCTGTCTTGCCTGGCCGTGATTCTTAGCCCTCCTGCCACCACCCTCGCCCCGGGTTTCCCACTCAATACCATTCCTTGTCTCCAACTTCTTCTTTTCCTAATTCTTTTATTCTTTTCTTTTCACTTATATCGCTCTACCATTACTATTACTACTACTACATCACTCAAAAGTTCTTTGCTCTCTGCCCCTCCTTTGGTCTCCTTGGGACTGCGTCCTAACTACTACTGCTAACTAACTAGTTTGTGGTTGTGGTTTACTTGGTCCCCTCACCTGCCCTGCCCTGCCTTGAGTCTCTCTCCACGCCCGCCCCGAATTCTCAACGCGGCCCTCCCTTCCTTCTCCATAACCCTTTCCATCGACCTCGCACCTGGCGATGTGACGGTCTTCAATTGGCGACCTTTACGATATTTCCGGAACACTGCATTTACGCGTTGGTGATTGACGACCTCCACCTCCTTTCCACGCCCCCCCTTTTTAAACGACTGCGCTCCTCCGCCCAGCGATCTTGCCCCCACCTCCTTGCGCTGCCAACTTTTCCCTGCCTCGCTCTCTCTCTCTCTCTCTCCCCTTCCGCTGATTCGCGATGCAAATTGGTCTGCTCGGCCGGTGACATATTCCCTCAAAATCCCCCCAAGAGCTTGCCGTCGCCATAGCTCCGATCGCAAATCCGACTGAAGCCGTGACATACCTCCCGCTGTGGGACGATCGCCAAGTATCAATCGAGCAGTATCGGATGGGTCTCTCAAGCACGCTGCGCTGCAGGATTACATAAAACACTATTCCTGGAAACCGTCGTCACTATGCATTGGAAAGCACTGCGCCTCGGCTCCTCTGACAACGAAGCCAAAAGACGGAGCTATCTGTACGATCCACCGCAGTCCCGTCACAGCGAACAGCTGCCTCGTCCAACGCTTTCGACCACCGCCCTCGCCCCTAGACATTCCGAATCTGCTCCACGGTCACCATCGCTGGCTGGTCCAGATGATGCCGAGCACAACGATGACTATAGGGCTGATGGCCCTGGCCTCACACAAAGTCGCAGTCGCGCGGATGAACCCACTCTAAAGTCCAGAAACACTGGGAACTCACTGTTGCCGGGCAGCGGCCCGAATTGGCGCATGAACCGTTTCAGTTTCATGAGGCTTCGTCATGCGTCGGACCCGCAATTGTCCAAGTCTTACGCTAAAGCAGAGCAGGAGATCCCTCCTGTGCCATCCTTGCCTCCGCGTAAGTCATTCATCCCCCCAGAACCTACAATTTTCGCATCTCTTGTTTCCCACCCGACGATTTGAACTTGGTGACTAACCTTCCAATGCTTCTGCGTTTTATAGCTACAATCATCACGACGGCGCCGACAAGTCATGAATTCGAGGAGCCGGTAAAGCGGAAGAACAAGTTCAAACTGTTCCCCGATTCGAAAACTCCGACGGTGGAAGAGATCCCCCCACAACAGTCTACGGTCAATGGAAAGTCCAGGCATACTGCTCAGGGGTCGACAGGGTCGCAGTCGGCGAATCCCTGTCGACCAGAGTCTCGAGTTAGCGGCGAGGAACCGGGCCGTCTGTCGACTACATCCATACGGAGCAGTGGCCGCGACCAGCCTGTTGACTCCCATCGCTCTTCTGTGACAGATGCACGGTTTTCCGAGTCATCACGTTCTGATCAGGATCGTGGGGATCATGGCGCTTCAGCCTCGCGTGGGATTCCAACGAGCGAGGGTTCAATTTCTAGCACAAAACGATTCCGTATGCCTCGCTTGAAGAGAAACAAGGGCCCCCTCTTTCCCTTACCTCCCAAACCAACGGCTTCGCAGTCGCTCAATGGACGTGCGCCCAAGTCGATACCGGGTTCCTCGATTCCCACGTCGGATGTTTCAGATGATCATGACCGGGATCACGTCTCTCCACTGCCGTCACCATCGCGCTCCTCCGCTGGTGTCGCCTCTCCTCGGCCCCCTCTCTTGAGGAAGGACTCGGCAAATTCCGCTCATTCGAGCCATTCAACGCCGTCCATTCGAAAACGTAACCCGCCTACTACACGGGCTCGCTCATCTACGCTGGATTCTTTGGCCAATATTCGGGACAGTGAGCCGCAACAGTCGCCCCATCTCACCTCGTCTGGCCGAACGTCTACTTCAACCAGTGGACGGAAGAGCTTTGGCGATATATTCAACATCCCACAGCGGCTTCGACAGAACTCCGAGCCTCCGTTCCCCAGGAGTGGATCTCCTGCGGCCAGGGGCGCGGAGACGCCGGTCTCCAAATCGCCCTCTTATCCGGAAAGACAGGAAAGTGATACCCCGGCCACGTATCTGGAGCGGCTTGATGCAACCGTACCAAAGAGTGTAATTGCCAGTGTACTCTCGCAATCAAATGATGAGTTCTATAAGAACGCTTTGCGCAAGTACATGAGAGGATTCTCATTCTTTGGTGACCCGATCGATATGGCCATTAGGAAGCTATTGATGGAGGTGGAACTCCCAAAGGAGACTCAGCAGATTGATCGTTTCCTCCAGAGCTTCGCTGACCGATATCATGAGTGTAACCCGGGTATCTTTGCGAGTACTGGTATGTCCCCTAAACACTCGCATTGTTGAATACTCTAACTCTTCTTGTCTTTTGCAGACCAGGCATATTTCATTGCGTTTTCGATCTTGATCTTACATACCGACGTCTTCAACAAGAATAACAAACGAAAGATGCAGAAACCAGACTATGTCAAAAATACCCGCGGAGAGGGCATCTCGGAAGATATCCTGGAATGCTTTTATGAAAATATCTCCTACACACCTTTCATTCGCATCGAGGACACGAACCCCAACGGGCGTCATCTTCCGAAGCCTCGCCGAACATTGTTCAAGACGGCCAGCTCCGACCACCTCGGTCGTTCCACCAAAGAACCCGTCGATCCCTACACCCTGATCATGGATGGAAAACTCGACTCTCTTCGACCAAGTCTCAAGGATGTCATGAACCTGGACGATCCGTATCGCTGTAATGGAACAGATGGACCGCCAGATATCGAAAACCTCCATCGTGCCTTTTCCAAAGCCGCTGTGTTGCAGATTGTCTCCCTGCGTTCACGGCCTGATGCCTTTATGCCATCGAGTATGGAAAACCCGATAGACTCCAACCCAGGCCTGGTGGATATCAAAGTAGCCAAGGTTGGATTGCTTTGGCGCAAGGACCCAAAGAAAAAGAAGGCTCGCTCGCCATGGCAAGAATGGGGTGCCCTTCTGACGTTCTCGAAGCTCTACTTTTTCAGAGACGTTAACTGGGTGAAGTCATTGATGCACCAAGAGGAAGCACACCACAAAGAAGGCCGCCGTCGAGCCGTTGTATTTAAACCGCCTTTGACCGACTTCAAACCTGATGGGATTATGCAAACCGATGATGCAGTGTCTTTGATTGATAATGGTTATAAGAAGCACAAGCATGCGTTTGTCTTTGTTCGTCACAACGCTTTGGAGGAAGTCTTCTTGGCCAATAGCGAGTCAGATATGAACGATTGGCTGGCCAAGCTCAATTATGCTGCAGCCTTTCGAACCACTGGCGTCCGGAGCAAGGGCATGATGGCTACTGACTACGAGGCGCAGCGGAACCGGATGAGCCGCCGGGGTTCTAGTGTTTCCCTCAACGAAAAGGAACCGCCGTCGCCAAATCCCGAGGCAGATATGGGCGAAGACGTGATCGTCGCGCGGGGACATCTGATGCGCCAGAAGATCCGAGAGGCCAATGAGAAACTTTTCGTCAGCCAGCGACAGCTTGACGATCTGCTAAGGAACGCTAGACATCTGCAAGTCCTGACTCCAGTGCACTCCAGGGCGCGAGAGAGCGTCATTATGGCTGCGGGCCGCATGGCTGCCAAGCTCAAGTGGGTGAGGCAGGATATCTGGCGTACCAGGTGCTACCGCGAAGTGCTCGTTCGCGACTTGGGTGAAGGGGACGCGGAGACACCATCTTTGGGCGAGCAAAAGCGTTTGCAGCTACAGATTCCCGCAGATACCACCTCCCCTTCCCTTAACTCAGGGGAGGATGAAGCAGCGCCAGAGAAACTAGCGTCACCGATCAAGGAGACGGCGGCGCCGCCTTCGCCGCACCCTGAATCTATCAAGCCTCCTTCCATATGCCAACCACCGGCTCCTCAACCTGCAGCAGAAGAACTGCGCAGACCAAGCATTCCTGCATCCTTTGCGTCATCCGAAGCCGCTTCTCGGATTGGTAGACGACTATCGGTAGAAGATCTGAAGCAGCGTACAAAGTCTTCTTCTCCCGAGCCATCGAACCGACTGACCCGGGAAGCCTCCGTGCTCAGTGCTGCTAGTAAGATAGACGTCTCTAGCTTGGCTTCACGTGCTTCCAAAATCACATCCCCTGGAAGCTTCGATGATGGAGAAGAGCGCGTGCTTCGCGAGGCAGGTTTGCTGGAGGTGAATACCTCTCCTCAGGCCAAGAGGCAATCCCTTGTTATCAAGGACGGTGACATCGATCAGAAGCAGAACGACACCCAAGAGACAACTCAAATGGACCGTTCCAGTCGGATTCGCCGCAGTCTTCACCGGACTCTCCGGGATACCCCCGGTGTTCCCCACGCCCATCTCCCTCGCAGCAAGAAATCTCGCGACTCGGCTTCCGCCGCAGCCGCGCACGAAGACGGTCAAGGAGCGCATGAAGGCGAAGGCTTGTCCCGCAAGTCTGCCAGCTTCACTGTACATGGCAAGAAGGCTTCGATTATCACCTTTGGAAGCGAGTGGCAGAACATGCCACCTGAGGAACGCCTCAAACTTCGGAAACCCACCCCATCGGAAGAGCCGAGAATGTCCGATCCAGCTATTGCCAGTAGTGCGGACTCGATCACCTCAGGGTCATTGCACCCCGGCCAACCGCACTCCCTGCGTAGTTTGAGTCCAGGCACCAGGAATAGTGCGCATTTCATCGAGGAGTCAGAGAATCTCTATAGCCAGGTCCACAAGGCCAAAAGCGACGATGGTTTCGAGTCGAGCTCCAAACACACTGAACACTCCTTCGTCACCGCGGATCCCGAACAATCCTCTTTGAACGAAGATAGCAATGCCGTCGACGAGACCACGCCCAAGAAACTTACTGCCACACCCGAGCAAGCTGTCAACGCATAAACAGAGCGAACAAATTCAAAGCGAAACCAAGAAAAAAATATCTTCTCAACTCACCCTTGTCAAGACCCGCCTAATTTTCTTCTTCGTTCTCATTATCTTACGACTGACTCACTTTATACCCCACATCATCTTTCATTTTGAAACTATTTCATTGCATCTTGCCCTTCTCTATCATCTCGTATTACTATTACCTCTTATATGATTTAGAGCTCTGACGTTACCTATCGACTCTTTTTGTTTCACCTGATAGATTCTTCTGCGCGCGGGCTCCGCAAATAGACCGAGTCCGGCGCCGTTACGACCTTGATACCACTTTTCCAGCTTTTCTTTATCTTCACTTTTTTGTCCTTGTTGGATCTCCTGGATGGATGGGTCGTTTTCTGGCTGGGTATGTATTGTGTTCGAGTAAGGCACGTGGGCGGAAAAATGTCATTTCTTTACTTGTCTTGATTTTCATTTTCTGTCAAGTTGAACTCGAGATACCTGTGCATGAGATCTCCCTGGCGACTATGTTTGGCGTGATATGGCATTGAGGAATAATTGGATTCGTAATTATGAGCTAGCTAGTTATGAAAGATGCTTCTAGCTTGAGGATGCAAAAATAGATCTGGCTTCCGGTTATACCTCGTACGTAGTAGCCACCAGCATGGACTTTACGTTTTTAAACTTGACGTGTAAGGACTTGTCCTAGTTTGTACTGCTAACATACTTAGTCACGATATATAGTTAGTAATGACTCCATGGCCTATTCCATGATTTTGCGCACGCTAGCCAAACATTCAAGACATATATAACGAGGACTAGTATGAACCAGGAAAACAGCTACTAGCTTCAGCTTTTCCAATCACCTTCACATGATTGGAAAAGCCTACAACAACAGCAGTGAAAACCTGGCATTCCATCCCTAGCTAATATTTTAGTTAACAATTCACCAGAGTCAAGGTAATGACTATAGCAGACTCACTTCACTTGTGATAGCAATTAAGATTAAATAGAACTACGTAACTTATCTAGTATCATTCATTCACCTGGCATTTTCAACGCTTAGGTGAAAATGGCAGTGTAGCACGCGAGGTGCTTCCATATGTATCTGCTATCGCTGCGTACCGAACTATCTCATATACACTCAATATTCAGTAGACCTTATTAAGTAGCTACCGCTTGAGATATTCATGATTTCATTTCTATATTTACTTCGATATCTCCTCCTGAAAGGTGATATATCAGTAGGTTCTTAGTATTTGTATCGCTTCAGCGTATATCTATCGGTTTATACCAATGACTTGAAAGCAGATAGATAAAAATTATGAAATAGAAGATGAACTTTCAAATATATGGGGAATATTAAATGAGATGTATTAAAGGGAAAAGAAAAGAAAGTGACATCGCTAGCGACCTGATGCACTGCTGTTTTGGATCCACCGCAGAAGGCTGGCCTCCCACTGTGGATTCAGTAGTACATTTTGCGTTGTTTTTATTTCTTCATTTCTAAGATAAGAAAAAAATTTCTCCCTTGGGGATTGGAATCAGATTGCTGCTACTACCAGTTTCAATATTGGTGTAATCCTATTGTTTTGGTGCTGGAGGTGGTCGGAGAGTAGTTGCCTGCCTGGTTGGGTTGATGCTACTTAACTTACTTCCAGGCTATCACCACCTACTACTTGAAGCCTCCTACACATAGGTGCCTACAACCTACCGTCTTTTTACACGCGGTCATCTTAACTTCAGCAATGACTTTGGAATAATATCCGGAACAATGATAAAGGCCAAGGTGCTTGTGTTCGCCATTTTGGTATACCCAATCAGTCTTTGGTCCGTTTGCGCGGGGTACTGGGTGTGCGTGGCCGGGTATTATGGCTATAAGATCAGCAGGACGTGTCTGGGTTTTGCAATGCGTGTGTTTTTATTTCTTTACCGCGAGTTCATTTTGCTTCCTACGTGCAAGCGAAGGTCGTTCTGTGAAAAGTTACGTGCTGACCAGGTTGTGGTTGTTCGCAGGTACTGATAGATACTTGGGGACTATCATGTTGGGTAGGGTCGTCAGGGTCTTGCTCGTGATCCTGGTCCGGGAAATATATCTGGTTGTGGATGAGTACGTCGATTCTGTGCGGAGGGGGTGGGAGTGTCCACCGTCCGTGGAGAGGAAACGAATAGGTGAGCGCCCTAGAGAGTGAACAATATGCTGGTCTTCCTGGAGACATTGCAGGTATCAGAAGGAGAAGGTCACCAACTGATTTGTGCAGCCCTCGAGTTTATTTTAGAGCCCCCGGTTGTTGGACTTTCGGATCCTCCACCAATGTTTGAGGCGGCGGCGGATAGCGAGACTGGAGAGTTCGCTGGACATACTGCAGGGGATCGTGAAGCTGGAATGACCGGCGACGGGGAAGCCACGGATGACTCGACCGAGTATGCTGTTAGACCTGAAGTCTCTGATGACGGAACGAACTCGTGGGAAACCGTTGATTATAGCGATAGCCCCGTACGAGATTCCGAGTCCTGGATAGAAACGGCTGAACGAAATGACGAGTATGAGGTGGACGAATATGGTGACTATTACGAGAGAAAAAGCGAGAGCATGTTCAGCAACGATCCTGGAAGACAGGTGGATACTGATGACCGCGGCATCTTCCTACCAGAGAGCATGTTTGACTATCCTGAAGAAGAGGTTCACTTTAGTGACCACGGATATGCCGAGGAGCAACAGGAAGACAATGAAAAAACAGATGAGCTTGACATGATGACAACACAGTACGGGCAAATGGGTGCAAACAGTTTTGCCATCAGGGACAATACCCCGATACAGGCCACAAGAGAGAACAAAGAAGGTCCGTGGGGATCTGAAACCTGCAGTGAATGCGACCAGCTTGTATGGGAAAACGCGTCAACCTCCAACATGATCAACGCAGAAACTACCAGTTCCCAACTCCCAGCTGCTTTGGTGGCCGGCCCAGACGCAGAGCAAACTGGGGCAGCTGAGCCTGCCGGTATTGTTGAAATCGTGAAATCTTTGACGCTAGAGGATATGGCTGGTAGCTGGTGGGATGAGGTCCTAGAGGCTATGGAAGCAGGGTTTGAGGAGGCAGAAGCGGTGTTTCGAAAGGTAGCAAGTGCAGGATTTACAGACATCGAGGTCAATCCGTCTCTGGCTAAAGCAAAGACTGCCCCGAGAAAGAGACGCCCCCAAAAGCCAGAGAAACCACGGAAAGGGCCTGCTAGCCGCAATTCCGACTGCACTGACCCAGAGAAGGACTTCTATGATGTGTGTTGGAGTATTCTCAATGAGACAGGCCTGGTGGGAGAGTATATGAGGGACAGGACGCTGGTGAGCGTCTCAACTCCGAAACGACCCAAGGCATAATGAGTACTAATGTGCGCGTTCTGATAGCGTCGAACTTACCATAACGCCCATACCAAAGGGCATCCAAGAGAGAAAGAAAATCATGCAAAGCCGAGAAAGCGTGAATGTTATCTCTGCTGTGGCTGTCATAAACCCATCAAATGAGGGGGTTCAGAACCGTGGCATTGCTCTCCCCCCCTCGGACATGTTTCACTAGAATTGTTCTTGATTGTATGGCTGCTGACGACCCATCGTCTCCACCCTTTGTTAGATTTAATTGGTATCTCAACTTTATGTTGTATCTCTTTTGTGACTCCAGTTGGACAAGCAATGGAAGAGAAAGAGAGATGAAACTCTGGGATTGAAGGATTACATGTGACGGCATGACATAATCGCGTCGGCCACGATTTCTCCAGCTTCAACTTTCCTTCAACTGATCTCCCCTCTCGAACCAACTTGTTTTACTTTATTTTAGCCATTGGCTTGACCTGTCACATATCTAACTTGCTGAATATCTGAATTGGTGTTACCGGAAGCTTCATCCCCTCATCTACCCACATAACTTACTCCGCACCGACCCTCCGACCTCCGATCCCCACTCCGCAATATCTTCTTCCTCGCCGATGCTCCATCCATAACCTCACACCAACCAATCCACCTCCCCCGCAGAGAACCACCGCCATGGCGCACTCTAAGCGCAACACCTCCCTTCCTCATTTTACCTCCTACGAGCGCGATCTTCTCAAGTCAAGCTGGGGCACCAAACGCGGAGTCATCGGCCGCGACTCTTTCCTCCCATTCGGCTCGTGTCGACTTTGCCTACACCCTGCGCGGGAACCCGTCGTCGCCTGCGCCACCAACGGTGATCTCTTCTGTCGCGAATGCGCCATTAGTGACCTTCTCGCCCAGCGACAGGAAATCAAGCGTCTCGAAAAGGAGCGAGATGAAGCCAAAAAGCGTCTTGCAGAGGAGGAGGAGCGGGCATTAGATGAAGCGCGAACGCGGGAACTCCGTGATTTCGAACTCGTGAGCATGGGGTTAGATGCAGCAGCGAAGAAGAACAACGGGTCAAGCCAATCACAGAATGATGAGAGCTCAAAGAAACGCAAAGCAGATACCACAGAGGCATTGGCTGCTTTCAAGGCGCGAGAGGTAGAGGTGGATGGGAAGCGGAAGAAGGTGTTTGAATTAGATGATAAAGAGATGGCTAGGATCGCGCGCGAGGAGCAAGAACGGTTGAAGAATGAGCTGAAGAAGGAAAAGGTCTAAGACCATTGTCAATCCCCTTGGTAAGCAGCTCGCTGACAATCTCCAGGAATCAAACAAATCAGCCCTCCCATCCTTCTGGGTCCCCTCGCTCACACCCACCACCGACCCGAACGAAATCGCCGCCAACAAAGCCATTAAACTAACCCCCATTTGTCCCGCTTCCACCGACTCCAACCGCCACAGCTACTCCCTCAAATCCCTAGTCGAGGTGCATTTTACCGAAGAAAAGGCCTCCGATGGCTCCCCGGCCCGTGTCTGCCCAAGCTGCAAGAAAACACTGACAAATGGGCTCAAAGCAATGCGTATGTTTTACCTACTTACCCACTGCATATTTCCTCAACGCACCTACTAATACAGTGCTGCTACATCAAGTAACGAAACCCTGCGGCCACGTCATCTGCCAACCATGCGTCAACAAATTCATGACTCCGCACGATGCGCCGGACCCGCACGCCTCCAAAGAAGAGCAGGAGCAGACCGCTGCCCTGCATGGACGGATTCTATGCTATGTTTGTGAGACGGATGTCACGCCGTCAAAGGACAGTAACAAGGATTCCGGTTCGGGGAAGAAGAAAAAGAAGGACAAGGAGGGGATTCGCCCTGGTTTGGTGGAGGTGAGCTCCGAGGGGACAGGGTTTGCGGGGAGAGGGGGGAATGTCGCGACTAAGTCGGGGGTTGCGTTTCAGTGTTGATGTGGTTTGCTTACGAGTCTGATTTGGCGTGGAGTTTGTGGGTGGTAATGTGTTCGTTGTGTGTGTATAAAACCCGCGTTGGGGCGCGGAAGTTGGTTTATGAACTGGCTGCGGAGACAGCGCTATGGCTATATCTATATCTATACGACCTGGGGAAAACTATCATGTCTGATCAATATGAATACATATATAGATGCGGTATCAATCTATACAGAACCGAAATCGACCTAATGATATCCCTGGCCATGCAAAGGGAATAATGATAAGTCTATAGTACAAATAAAGGAACTCTTCCCTTCCCACTATCCACAAACCATCCATCTCTCAATCTACACCTCCATACCAGATTTATTTCTTCTTGCTGGCATTGTTGAACTCCCTCACCACAACATCACACTTAACCTCCTGGCACAGCCTCTTCCTGCGCCCAGCATCCAACTTCGCCGCAAACTCAAGTCCACTAGCGCGCTCCACAGCCTCAAGAGGCACCTCAAACTCCGTCAAACGCTTATCATTCGAGATCCTTGCATTAGGCAGCACGAACGCGCCCAGCGCAACCTTGCCCGCCGTAGCAGGGCCCTCCTCCGCATACACGACCTTATAGAAGTGCGTGGGGACAGCAACATTCGGCGGGTTTCCGATAACCTCGTACGAGACACGCCACTTTCCATCTTGATCACGGTGAGGCAAGTAAAGAGGGCCAGTAACCACCCGCACGGAGGGGTACTTCTTCGTCAAGTCACGGCAAAACTCCTCGAAGTGGGCCCAGTAGTCGCGGTTGAATCCCTCACCGACCTGCGGGCACATGTTCGACAGCGCGAAGGTCGCGTCCATGGCATCCTGCGACCATTTGGCGTCTGCGGCGGGCACCTGGTGGCCGCGGTCATAGCCGGAGCGGAAGTAGTCGGACAGCTTGGCACGGAATAGCGGCGGGATCGTGGTGTCTTCGAAGAATGTGCTGCCCTTGCGGTCGGCGTTCTTTTGTGCGAGCGACTGCGGGGTGATGTGTTCGGCGACCCAGGACGGGTTGCGTGTGCGACGGTCGTAGGCGCCTGCTAGGGGTGCGGAGAGGAGGGTGTCGGCCACGGGACCGGGGAAGCCATACTGGTAGATGCCGGCTGGGTCGACGGGGAAGCCGCTGGTTGGGGTAGGTTTGGGGGCGAGAGAGGGAGCGGCGGGTTGAGGAGCGGGGAGTTTGGCGGAGGAAGTAGTCGGAGGGTGAGGAGGAAGTTGTTGTTGGGGGAGTTGTTGCTGCTGTTGTGGTTGGGGTCGAGGGGAGTAGAAGAGAGCCGTCAGACCGGCGCCCGTGGCGGCACTGGCGGCGGCGATGGCCGCGAAGGTGGCCTTGGACATGGTTGGCGGTGATGAGGGGAGGGAGGATGTCCAAGGAGAGGAGGAGAGGAGAGGAACTGGAAAGGAAGGATAAGGATGGAAGAGATGGATGGAGTCGGGACGGAGAAAAAAGTGGATTGCCGAAGAGAGTAAAATTGATGCTGAAGCGGAGACCAATCAGCGGGCGGCAATCAGATGATCGGAAGTATAGCCTGAAAGACCCCAAAAGGGAAATCCTCAAACACCGTCTCGCTGGAAACTTTTGACTTTCACTTGTATGAATGAATACAGCTTCCACTTAAGAGTGTGTATTGGCTGGAGTTGTGAGAGAGAATGGCTGGCAATTCCCCAACAGCTCCTTTGAGACTTCTTTATATGCTATGCCAGCTCGCTGGTCGGATGATCACCGTGTGCAGATGACCCTACCGACCATCAGAGGGATACCCTGGACGCCACATAGCATTACTTAGTAGCTACAATGTTACTGAGCAAGGCTTAGTGAATGGCCGGGAATTTCCTATAGTGAATCTAGAAGCATCCCGCTCTGAACAAGGCAATTCCCGAGCAGCCTAGTAGTGAGCATTGTGTCAACTCGGTCTACAATATGAGCTATGCACTCTGACCAACTTTAACTCCCAGGATATGGCAGTTATCATCCGTTTACTGTTATCTGTCAAAGCCAGTGACTTACAACATCCATCCTCATCCCATAATCATGGAAAGAACGCAGACACGCCGCATCAATGAGGAAGTCATCCGAAAATTCAGCACGTCAGAAGACGAAATACTAGCAGATAAAGTCAACATTGACCTGTCCATGGACAGTGCGTACGAGTGGTCTATTCAAGTCAGAAAGAAGCTTAAGAAGTGGCATGTACAAGACCTTGTCAATATTAAACTCCCTCATCCTCCTAAGGACGATTCCACAACCTGGCAGAATTGGAAATATCTATCTGGTTGCGTCAAAATCTACATACTTCACAACATACCAAAGGGGTATATCTTCGACCCTCGGTTTACCCAGCAGTCCACAGAATACGCCGACATTCTATATGAGACCTGCCTCCGGATCGCCGTGACTCCCATTGCTGAAAACCTAGCGATACGGTACAGGGGTCTGATGGACTTCAGCCAAAGCGCTCCCCATGTTCTATACAAGGATGATATCGAGTTGTTAGCAAGAATAGTTTCGTCGTGCAACGAGCTGGATTCAACGTTTATTTCGCCTCTTCAGGCTACTTGTATTTTGCTTTCACGACTTGCAAAACGAAATTCAGAAGGGAAGAACTACGCCGAAATTGTCTTTGCAAGAATCACACCCAAGGACGCCTCGAATATGACCTGGGATGACTTTAATGAGCTTTGGAAGGAACTTCTTTATTGGAAAATTCCATGAGATGCTCAAGTTTGGGTTATGTTTGGGAATTCATCTTGCTGAATATGGAAGCAGGAAGAATGTTATTGAGTTCCAAGATATCCTGCTGAGAGCACTCAAACCTACTCGCTTAGCTTGTTGATGAGTCTGTCTGTCTACATAGTGCTATCATAGCATATCGTACGGTCATTCATGGTCTGTGGCCTCTTTGTGAATCATCTGTAAACAAGATCATGTTCGTTGTCCGTCGAATGTATTTAGCAGACCCTAAGCTTGTCTTCGTGTATATGTGGTGCGCATAATTGATCCTGTAGCTGATAAAGAAGACAATTTGGGGCTGACTTGAGTCTCTCTGATGTAGTAATCGCCTACGCCTGGGTACGCTTTGACTAGCTAAAAACGCCCCTCTATGTTCTTACATTACTAGTGCTACACCCATATTGCACGAAGAAGACGACAACCACATTATATTCTCGGTCCAGGCCACCCAAAGGAGCAAGCCATTGAAAACCATCTCTGCCCTGGTCTGCCTAGCATGACACCTGCATACATACATGGCCACAATTTCATGGAGGTAGTCCACTGCCACACAGTCCATCACAATCCAATTATTCACCAATTCTCCTTATTTGAAATTCATTCCAGCCCTCCGCACCCCACCATGTAAAGTATCGACCACCTCAAATACAGTGGTGTGATCGCAAACAGACGTGACAATCGGTATACGTCAGGCAGATGGCGGAATTGAAGCATCTAGGATGAGAACAACGAAGTGGACGATTAGTGTCCTGAACATCATTAACGTCTCTCTTCTTGCTGGTGGTGTCACCTTGTTCTCCGGCATTGCCAGCCAGCTTCGTCTCTGCTTGGAGGGCCTCGACTTCGGCCAAGGCCTGGTCCAACTCGGGACACAGAGAGTCTGCAGCAATGGCAACCACGGTTCCGCTCTCATCTTTCAACATGTAGCCGCCATCCTGGTCATACAGGACAGTCTCGGGATTTTCCCGAACTACTTGGTTGAGTTGCTCACGCGTCTCGACCACCTTCGCGCCCTGGGGGATGGGTGCAGTGTAGCGAGTGAGAGACATGGCAGAGCTTGAAGAGATGAGAATCAGAACCAGGAGTTTACCAAGAGATTGGGTGGGAGACATGATTGTTGTTTACTTTTGGAGCGTACCTGCTTGAGGAGAAGAAGATAGAGGGAGAAGAGGATGGAGATGAAAACAATCTTCGAGTCGGTCTTGGGGCGGCGATTGAGGGGGCTTTTATAATGGAGATGAAGAGGCTGTCTTGTTAGCACAGTGATGCCAGTTAGTATATGACTCTGATGCCTGTGTAGCCCACGTTTAGAGGGGAAGTATCTTTGATCAAATCGAATTGATGCTTTTCTAGTTCTGGTTGCCTGCCATCATGTGACGGAGCCCCTGTACGTCACTCGACGCCGAGGGCCAGACTTTAAGTCCCTTTCACGTTGCACTTCATTCATGGTTGATTCGGCCGGTGCAACAATGCTTCTGGACACCCAGGCTTGCGTGGTTGCACTGCTCGGGGGGTAATCCACGTTGCTATATCAATTTGGCTCGTCTTAGCTTTCTGCGTCTCTCCTGACTACTGACTTTTCTCCGACGATTACTTCATGATTTATCAGAGAAGGGTTCAGAATCTAATGCGGTTGCATCTGTACCACTTCTATATTCTCCGGACAGTGGCAGCAGGTACAAGCTTATCTGATAAATGTGCAGGGGAGATCAGTCTGCAGAAGAGTTACGGACTAGAGAGCCGCTACGTCAGTCATACACATTTGGCAACTCGAGTGATAACAAGCACGGATATTCTTCTTCTACCAATGAATTATTTCGCCCGGCTTGAGAGGCTATAGACAGATGACCACCCACAGGCAAGAATGACACTCTTCTGCTTCAACAGTCCCCGTCATTCCAGAGTCAAATAGGTGGTACTTCAGGTTTCGATTCAAGATTTGGAGTCTGACATGTACCAACCAGAGAAGTATAGATGCTTTAGAGGCTTGGCTCATAAAGCTACTCAGAGGCATTGGCCACTGGGAAGGATGTGTTATCATGAGGTATGGCTGGCACTAGTGGAATCTGGAGTGCTACTGGTGACTGACGATCAACTAAAATCTTAGGTTAACTCGCGCCGACCATTCAGGCGATCCCCAGATCCTCTTACGCCCCATAGTCGCACGCTAACGCAACCGGCAACGCCGAAATACTTCCCCTCGCCGCCATGTCATCTAGTTTTGAGAAAGTGCGCTTCTCGTTTGTAACGGAATATTCAACTAAGGTTACCTTCGGACTGGTTTAGGGCCGAGCGTGTCTGCTCAAAGTGCATGTGGGTAATGATTTTTGGATACTACGATTCATTCGCCAGAACGCATGGTCAAGCACGTCTGTGGCATTTAATGTGGACAGCACCCCGGCTTCTGGATCAGCGTCCTGCATTCCAACTGTAAAGCGAGAAGATGATTCGTTTGGACAGAGAGATGCTTTCTAGTTTCTGCTGGCAGCATCGATGTCTAAAACCAACCCTCTTGAGGTGATCAAATTTTCTAGTAAAAGTCCAGCTCTCGATAGCTGACGGTCTACACCACGTTACTACTTTCATGAGCATGAACCGACACGACAAAGTCTACTTTAAGCCTTCAGCTCTAGCTTATAGGTTAGAGCTCTCATACCACCAACCATGTTGCGCGTCGCATGCATGAGCTCGACTTCCAAGGAGGACGCACATACTACTATGCGCTTATCAGGGACTCCGAGCCATTCAGGGCTGTTGCCTGGCGCTGGCGCTGGTAATATATCGTAAGTTTTAGACATACTGCTACGTGACTCGCCATGACCCATTGCGTTGCTGCAGCTCATGGCCCGATGGGAAATTAGCCTGGGGACCTTGGAGTCTGCTGGTAGGGCAACTAGCGGATAGGGGCGTTGAGGCACGATGAGTTGTACAAGGGGCTCGCGAGTGGGATGGGGCTCCCAGCAGCGTATCATTATCTTCCTTAAAGATTGGTGGTTCTAAACCCCGCCCAAGTAGCTCCCTAATTAACCTCTCCAACGGTGCTGCAGAGATGCAGTGAAAGGACGATTCGTTGGCTGCAGGCAAGGGGAGAATAAAAGAAGTTGAAGAGAGAACAAAGCCGCTGTTTGGTTCAAAGCAAGCGTTGTTGCCCGCAAGGTCCCCAGGTTATCTAATCGCCCGCCGCGTGACATGATATCATGAAATCCAAGGCTCCCCCAAACTCTCTTTCCTTTCCCCTTTGAAAAGTCTCGTTCTTTCTTCTCCGTCAGTGTCTTTTCGCTAGCATCCATTGCTGGCATTCTCGCCTTTTATTCATCATGGCTGCCAGCAATGACCTCCGGGGCTGGGTCATGAGCGCCGTGTCAGGCGTGGGTAAGTCTACCTTCTGTATAGTATTTAGTTTCACTAGCTAACATAGTCCAGCTTGTGTCTTGGGGTCGGCTGTCATTTGTGTGGATCTTGTTTTACGGCGATTGTCTCGCCGCAAAAGCTTCCAGATTGTCCATAATAATGGCTTCTTATCTGCGTCCCTGAGTCTGAGCGCGGGCGTTATGGTAGGTCTCTTTGACCAGTTGACCCTAATGTTGCTAGCATGCTGACCGCGCTAGCTTTACACTTCTCTCTATAGCATGCTACCTACTTCTCATCGGTACCTGACTCGAGCTGGCTTATCCCCCTCGCTCGCTGCATATGTGCTTATCGGTCTCTTTCTGGCGGGCGCGGTCGTCATCCGTTTGGCATCGGCACTATTGCATCGCTACATACCGTCACATGTCGTCGATTGTGCTCATACCCATGAGCCACACCCCACCTCTGATCATGAACACGGGGGCAAGCCAGACGGCCATCTACGCTCCCACGGCCCTAACCACCTGAATGAGCGAACTCCTCTTTTGACTCACAAGTCTTCCCCGGCTACTGTGACTGTCCCCGCTGCTGGAGACGACCCAGGCGCACTTCTGCGAAGGGAATCCCTGCGTATCCGCTTCACACGACGCCTCAGTCGTCTGGTTGGCGGAGTCAAGTCACAATGCGACGAGAATGGCCCTTGTTTTGGCTTTTCGCAGGCGTGCGGGCACGAATGCACCAAGACCCTCGAGGGACCGGAAATCTCTGTCCTGGATGACGGCACCGTGCGCCCGCCGCTGCCGCACCCCCACAGCATATCCGTGCAAGTGGACTCAGCACAACTGGATGATCTTGAGGCAAACCTACCATCCTCGCAAATTCGACGTCAAGAGGCGAGTTCCTCTTCGTCCCGGACCGGGCTTCTTGACGACCAGGATGTGGCGTCTGAGGACGGAACTAAGCCGCCGCCCAATCCCCAACACCATCATCATGTGCCACAGAACGCCTTTCTCTCCATCGGTCTGCAGACATCGATGGCGATTGCTCTGCACAAGTTGCCGGAGGGGTTTATCACCTACGCCACGAACCATGCGAGCCCGACTCTAGGCCTCACGGTTTTCTTGGCGCTTTTTATCCACAACATCAGCGAAGGATTCGCTATGGCCTTACCTCTGTATCTCGCGCTGCATTCGCGCGGCTGGGCGATGTTCTGGTCAAGTTTGCTAGGTGGTATCAGCCAACCCGCAGGCGCTGCGCTGGCAGCTCTCTGGATCTGGGGTGCTCGGCGTGCTAATGGTGACGACACCGCTGGCCCGTCCTGGGGTGTCTACGGCGGTATGTTTGCCGCGACGGCGGGAGTTATGATCTCGGTTGCTCTGCAGCTGTTCAGCGAAGGCCTTACCCTAACTCACAATCGGGGATTGTGCACTGGGTTCGCTATCGGAGGAATGGTCCTGATGGGGCTCAGTTTCGCCCTGACCGCATAGTCATATTGAACGGCGTTGGTGGTAAAAAGCAGTTCCAAGATGCAGCGCATTTTTATACTAGAACACTTAGTTAAAGAGATAGCATTGCCGGCGTTAGGTTCACGACTAAGAATGAGTAACGAAAGTCCAAATATACTGTCTCACTACTAGTACACTTGCTAGTTTCACCCCGTAATACAGACCGGTTGTTGCTGTTGTCTAAGCAGCCCAGTAATCATTCATTATATCGTACAACTATACAGAATCCATGTCCAACGCCAACTATATGCAATCTGCCACCCACGAAGTAATCAATCACGCCTTCTTCGCAGCAGCCTCGCGCTCCCTCTTTCTGGCCAAATACCTCTCCTTCGCACTCATGACATCTCCCTCGGTCTTGCGACTGCGACTCCGCTCCGCAATCTCCTTCTGCCGCGCCGCCTCTGCCTCCTCTTCCTGTCTCGCCCGCTCCTCCAACTGCGACGCAATCATCTCCGTCTGGCGCGCACGCTGTCCACCGCGTTCGGCCTGCCTCTGCGCCCCAAACCTCGAAGCCTGCACCGCTGCCCTCGACGCCGCCGCAGCCGCCGCGTCCTTCTCCCTCTGTGTCTGCTTCGGCTTCGGCGCGACATTCAACCCCGCCGACAACAATTGCCTCTTATCCACCACCTGTCCCTCATCATTAACCGCAATATGCGCCCCCTTGGCATTCAACTCCTCCGCCACCTGCGCCTCGCTCTTCTCCTTCTCTCCCTCCTCCTCTTCAACAACAGCTCCACCCTCCTTCACCTTCTTCGCCGCCTCCTCCGCAGCCTTCACAACAGCCTCATGCCTCTCTTCCCCGCGCGACAACATATCCCGATAAAAGTCCACCATCCCAGATCCCCCATTCTTCTTCCGTCTCTCCTCCTCCTCTTTCTCCCGCGCCTCTTCCTCCGCCTGCACCCGCCGTAACTCCTCCTGCTGCGCCTTGTACGCCGCCGTCACGAACTTCTCCTTGTCCGCGAACTCGTCGCCCTCTGCTTCACGCTCCTTCGCGAGCAGACGGTCCCGCGCTCGCATTTGGTCCCGTTTGCGGATCTCCGCACTGCGGAGCAAAGACGTCATGTACTTAGGTACTGTGGAGCCGCTCTCGCTGTCGGAGGCCTTCTTGTCCTTGTTGGGTTTCGCGTGTAGACTGTCGTACACGGCGTCGTACGAGTAGATGGTTGGGTCAAGTTCGGACGCTTCGACGGCGTGTTTGCGGCTGCTGTGGAGGGCCGAGAGGTTGGTGTAGGGTTTTGTGGTGTCGATATCTTTGGATTTGGGTTTGAGTTTGGATGTGGAGGGGTTGAGGCCGTAGGTTGGTGTGTTCGCTTCTTCGTTGTCATCGTCTGAGGCGTCCGCAAATATGGAGCTCTTGTTGAGCGGTTTCATGTTGGGTGGTTTGGGCGCTCCGGAAGATGCGCCGGGGGCGAGGAGCTTGCGTTTCGCGGGGCGCTCTTCTGTCTTCTCTTCTTCTTCTTGATTGTTGCTAGGTGTGAGATCGTCTAGTCCGCCTATTGTCGTAATTTCAATTGCGCCGCCGCCGCCGTTAGGACCTTTTTTGGTATTGGTAGTAGGTTGGGGTCCATCGTCGTCGGAGTCGTCGCCGAAGATAGGCTTCTTGCGTTTCGGCGCGGGGGGTTTAGGTCGAGAGGTGGGTTTGGAGGGGAGGTTGAGGCCGTAGCCTAGCTTTGGGGGAGGCATTGTATCCTTTAATTTCCTAGCTGGATCTATATCTTCCGTGACCCCTGAAGATGAGAAAGGAAGATGAAGATGAAGCTAGAAACCCATGATGCACGTCACGTGGACCCTACCCTCTGGTCCAGTTTGTTATCTTATCACACGTGACACGTAACTCCCTGGCCATCTCCGATTCCCCGAAAGCCACAAGTAAATAGTGGCCCGCAACCGACCCCGACCATCGAGAGTATACAGACAAACATACAGACGAACAACCAAAATGTCCTATTACTTCACAATTCTCTCCCCGACGGACGTCCCCCTCTTCAACATCGCCTTCGGCACATCCAAATCCGGGGGTGACGGGATCGCCCGTTTCCGATTCCCTGATACAGCGCAGTACATGAATCAGTTCATTATCCATTCGAGTTTGGATATTGTGGAGGAGGCGCAGTGGATGAATGGGAATATGTATATCCCCTTTTTCTTAATATATTGATAAGTACTGGGTGTAATTGGCCATTATGCTGATATCGATGTTGTTTCATGGCAGGTACCTAAAACACATCGACACCTACCCCCCCGCATCAGCATACATCTCCGCCTTCCTGACCCCCTCCGGGGCAAGGTTCCTTCTTCTGCATCAGCCGCCCCAGTTAGCTTCGAATAGCGGTCAGGGAGGGAGTGGGAGTGGTTCGATGGGCGGGTCGATGTCTGGGTCGCTGTTGTTGGGATCTTCGGGCGGGTCGTCGCGCGCGTCTGCGAGCTCGATAGCTAATAATCCGACGTCGCCGCAGACGGAGGAAGCCGTGCGTCAGTTTATGACTGAGGTGTATGAGAATTATGTGAAGACGGTCATGAGTCCGTTTTATAGACAGGGAATGGAGATTAAGAGCCCGGTGTTTAGGGGGAGGGTTACGGCTGCGGGGAGGAAGTGGTTATAGGGTTGATTTATTTTTGTTGCTATTGATTTGTTGATTGTAGTTTGATGCGGTTGGGTTAGGTTGAGGCGTTTAGTGGTTACTCTTTGTACATGGTGTTTGGAAGATACCAGTTTCATATTCAATGTATGCATGTCCATAAATCGTGTTCATAGCTTCGTTATGATATCTTGTCCTTGGCCGTCCTGATGATGGCTCCTCTAACCCAGTGGCAGCTCATTCCTCCAATGTTGATAGCGCTGAATGGTATCCCAGATTTGATCCCAATAAAGTCAGAAGGCCACTGTGGGCGAGTAGCAAAGAGGTAAAGAGAATAAGGCAAAAATTGAATCATCTCCACGCCACCTATCATACCGTCATCTGCGGAGCCAGCTTCTTCACAGTCACGGCTTTGAAGTTCTCCACTGCATGCATCACGTCCTCTAACTTGGCTACTGCCCCGAAGATTCCTCCCTCCATCTTGACTGACTCGATGGCACTCATGTGAAGGGATGGTTCGCTAGCTGCAGTTCCGTCTTCAAGCACCACGCAGTCAAAGCCCCGGTCATTGGCCTCGCGCATAGTCGTCGCAACACACACATCGGTCGTTACACCTACTAATACCAGGTTCTTGATGCCGCGATTGCGGAGGATAAGTTCGAAGTCGGTATGTGCAAAGGCACTCCGGCCAGGTTTGTCAATGACCGGTTCCCCGTGAACCGGGTACAGTTCGTCGACAGTGTCGTGACCCACCTCGCCACGTATCAGCAGACGGCCTAGGGGTCCGGGAGATCCAATTCCCATGCCAGAAGCATTATTTTGTGAGCGGTAGGCCTCTCTACTAGACAGTGTCGACAGATCGGGCCGATGCCCTGGACGACGTCAGTAATCGAAGGAAAAAGAAGGGAAAGTGCCGAGACTTTCACCTACCTTCCCGGGTGTGGTAGATGGGAAAACCGGATGAGCGAAATGCATTCAGCAGATGCTGTAATTTCGGAATTAGTGCCTGATTAGCCGATATGTCGTAGCCCTGAAGGCTCATGTATCCACCCGGCAAACAGACTGTGTTGGCATCCCATTAGTAAAAGGCTCAGCCAGGACCCACACGACCACATGGGATTATACGCACAGTCCTTTTGCATGTCAATAATTACTAACGCCGTCGTATAGGGGGTCAGCGTCGCATCGTGCGGCCAATCGTAGGGGACCGCTGCGATCTGGCCCTTCCGGACCTTATGATGAGGGACCTGCCGAGGCTTTTCGACAATCGGGCCGTGGTTGTGCGTGGCGTTCAAGACAGTCAGCGTCCAAATCCCAGGAGTTCCAGCTGCAACTAGCATGAACGGGCAATCCATCAACCGGGATGTTCGCCGCCGCTTCCTCGTCTCCTCAGTGAGCCCGTTGCGCGGGCGATAGTGGCCCCCGCGATCGCATCGCAACCAGACCTTAGCAGTCCGCCCCGGTTTCTTTTCCGTGGGAGTGCTGGACGACTTGACTACGACGTTGTATCCATGAGCTTTTCCGTGAGCTTGCACTGCTGCGAGAAGCGTCGCCCTTTAAGGAAGATCACCACGATGTGAGTTATCAGATCCACTATGGAGCCACAGCGGACCGATCCGCTACCCGACGTGTGGCAAGGGGCACAGAGAGGGTGGGAAAGGAGGAGAGGGAGTGAACGGGCCAAACTCACTTATCAGGATATGTCCCCTCCGGCGGGGGAAGCAGTTGCATGGACATGTCCGGAATATCCTGTAAATCACTGGGTGCATCCAGGTTCAGATCGGTAGGATCCGCCATGGTGACAAGTGGTGGGGAAGAGAGGGTCTGGCAGGACACATCAGCGTCATCAGACAGAGACCCATGACTTTCATTGGGACAGAGGATAGCGCGAGCAGAAAATAAAAAAAAAAAAAAATAATCAGGACCAGAAAGTCATCGTGTCCATGTGGAAACGGGGGTCCAGCAAGTGCGTGGAAGCACCTTCTTAAGACAGGGACGGGGACCGGGATTCAATATGTGCGTGGATATAGCGTCACGACTGGTGTATGCCTGGGAGGGCCGGGCTGTGGCGGGATCCCAAGCCAGAACACTGGGTTGGTGAAAGTCATAGAAGAGAAGAAATACATACAAGAGGGGGGTCACACGCGGGAGCAAATCTTCCCGAAACCAGTTCCTTCAAGCTCGAGTCGTGAACAGGCTCAACAGGGCGAAGATAATCAGCGCAGGAGCACGGCTCCGGGAGGACAGAACGGCGTGGCAGGAGAAAGTGAGTGAGTGAGTAGGAAGCCGTGTGTGTTCACAACCCCTCACGTGACTGTGGCCCGTGCCCACAGCTCTTCGGCTGTAGTCTTAAAAGCGCATCTTCCTCTTCACTGTTCGCAACACTCATCATCCCTTATTCACTTCATACTTCGACATCTCTTTCTATTCTCTCTCCCGATGAGACTCATCTCTTTCTCTCGCCTCATCTCTTTCTCTCGCCTCATCTCTTTCTCTCGCCTCATCTCTTTCTCTCGCCTCATCTCTTATCATCCCATACAAGGCTAGTGGTGGCTCTGTTTTCATCAGGTCCAGGTATGAAAAAGAACACTCCGCATCTTCATGGACATGCTGACCTTCAACTCAGATGAGAGGCAGAGAAGAGAAGAAACCAAACAAAAATCAAAGATGAAATGAAAGAAACTCAAAACAGCAACCGAACACGAGCCTCAGAAGAACAAGCTTATTCCTGCTTGTTCTTTTGAGGCTCGTGTTCGATGCTGTACTCAGCGTCTTCAAGCACCAAAGCCAAAGGGCAATCGCCGGCCGGAGGGTATGAGCAGATCTCTTCTCTGATTTGCGTGGCGGACGACTGTGGCAAAGTGTCACAGTCATCTGCTGGCATTTCTGCCGAGTAGAGAAACCGACACCACCACCCCTCTGCCGACGAATCAGTCTCGTTGGCAGAGGGGTCGGACAACGAGGGATCTGCCGCCTGGTAAACTTCGGCTTCATCTTCGCTGCCGCTGTTTGTGGCGCCCGTTGGCAGGTTACCCTGCTCTTCCGATGAATGAATGGTGTCACTGAGCGCAGTGTCTTCCGATTGATGAGCTGGAGATGAGTCATTAAGAGCACTTGTTTCGCCCAATTCCTGGGCCTCGGAGGCGGAATCTTCATCATTAACGCGCAAAAAGTCGAATCCATCCTCACCAATGAGCTGTAGCGTTTGCCGCAAGCCTCCGTTTGGAAGAACGAGTCTGGAATGCCCGTTAGCCAGAAACCCACATTGGTATCGGAGGACTTACTGTGTGTCCGCCTCGGCCCACATATCACCCTTGGACTTCTCGAACTTCAACCTGTGCTCACAGTACGTTCCTTGGTGATAAAAAATGCAATTTGCACAAGCCGCCCTGTGCAGGGCACGGCCACCAAAGCTAGGCGAAATCACGCACCTGACAAAAGGACCTTTTGTCTGGCACCGCACGCATCTCGCGACCTCCACTCCTCGGCGGTAAAGTAAAGCTGCAGTGATCGACTCTCTGCTTTTGATCCTACGTTCGACGGGTTGTCCATTTTCAAGAGCCCACTCAAGGGGTCTAACAACGTCAAGCACGGTAGCCACTTGTTTATCATACTTCGTTATTTTCGGCTGGCTGCCGGCCTGCTGGGTTGCGGTACTGTTCTGGGCTGGTGGTATGTGAGCAAACTGTTACGAGATATATGGGAGGCATCAGACCTTCAGGCAGACGCAGGGTATCCTCTTTCGCTTCTCTCATCGCAACAGCGATGCGCCTGTCCACCTCAGCTTGTCCGATGGCCGACATGTTGTCAACGGATCTGCTTCAGCCGAATCTCAAGTATTAAGGCAGAGAATTTTCAATATGGCTCTATACCACCTGAAATCTTCAAACGAGCTGTCGTGATACACTTATAACTAGGATAACTGAGGGTAAGAGGCAGCTAACCAAGAAGCGTTAGCGTCAGAGAGAGATGTTTTCAGGGAGGAAAACTGGGCCACGTGTTGCTTTTAGATCATAACAGAAGCAGTGAATGGAGTCTCGCTGGGCCAGTCATGGCTCATGGTTGTCCCAGCGAGTCAGCAGAAAAAATCACTGTCCCAGCAGACCCGCCGGGGTGCTCACAGTGCACCGTGTTGTGTCCTCGGTTGGGATGGTGGTTCAAGCACAAGGGCTAGTCAGTTCACAGATTCACATTTCATCTACAGAATGTGCAATAGCCTATATTCATGTGAGGGAGATCAATTCGCCCAGGCCAGCAGCTGGGGAGTGTTCACCAAGTGTCACGATATACTGTTGATAATACAGTTGGATATCACGCTTCTCAGTAGCCACATTAGAATCACCAAACATGCTGAAAGCACTATCTTTACTTCCACCCCTACAAATCTCCGTAGCCTTCATCATCTGGGACCTCGACCATATAGTAATATCTCTGTGCAGTCCATCCGCAAATGGGTGACCTCACCACCTATCGACCCTATAGTAGCTTCGATGAGTCCAAGATCCAATGCACCAAGCCCTCCGATCTTAAGTCTCAACGAAGCCAGCCTGCTACCCATCGTCTATGCCATCTCCAGCCTTCCACTTCATGTACTTTACATAAAGGTCTTGAACGAAACAATCCACTTTATGTGTCGATTACGCAAATCTTTTTTGGGGGTTTATATTCTCTTCTCGGTATTCCATCAAGCTAACGAAATCTTTTCTTTTGCTAGAGCCTAGGTAGCTACAGCAATTCAGTCATCTATATTGATTGATCCACAGCTAACTGACAAACCGGTATTTGCAGTCTCTCATATACAATTCTAGTTCAAAATCAAATCAAGCAGTACATTTTCAATATAGATTGTCAGTGTAATCATAGATGATGACCAGTACGCGGGAGCCTGCCATGTAAAAAAAGGGGATATCAAAGCGTTCGGTGTTTTCAATCAGGTGGCAAAAGGGCTGGAAATCTCCCCTCTATCGCTGCATATCGTCACTGACTTATTCCGTGGACACTTCGTCGATCCAAAGAGCATTGGGGTCTGCATCATTGAACGATGAATCTTTGTGATGAGTTTCATATTTTAGGTACTGCTATTGTAAGGCAATCTACTGTCATCTGAATCATTGTTGTTGTTAAGATGTAATAGTTTGTTCCCACAAATTGCTGCTTCTTAATTATGTGCAGAGAATGGAATGTCTTATTATGCTCTGATGATACGATCGAGTTCAAATACTATGTTTATTGATATGTGGTTTTGTTCTTCTTTTCGAAGACGGAGGAATCACATCAGGCAAATTTGAGACCCTTGTTTCAGATGGGATGATCTCTATGTATCAAATCGATCATTACAGAGAGCAGTCGAAATCATACCGTATGGCTGAGGTACCGGGCTGTATTCACCCTGAAGGTCAGAAGGGGGTAATACTACTTCTAGCAGTAGTTGGTTCTCACAATTAAAGAAGCCCGGGAGTCCATACTACTGTATAAGAATGGATATATAGCTATTACTAGTCTGGGTAGTTATCCGGGTTTCTACATTGCAAACGTTTTCGGCGCGTTTGGGTCACTGGCCCGAGCTTATTCTATATATTCTAGAGCCGGAGGAGTATCCTGAGACATACCTCAATATGCAAGAAGTTGATCGTTAGTGCCAAATATCATCTGATAGTATGGGAGCCCAGTGACCGAACTAGTCATAATCACGATCTAGATCTGGGCTGAGCAAGATTATGTACAAGAAAATGCGGTTCTGTGGATGTCACAAAAATCGTCAACCGAAGACACGTATACAAACGCGAGCTTGACGTCCTGGGACGATTTATGTTGGAGGACTAGCGTCGAGAGATCTGGGCATGTGAAAGCTGGAACTTAAGCATTTAGATGTATCTCCGGTCTCGCATCCGGGTGGAGAGCCTTCTTCGTGCTAATACATGGCGACATTTGCATGTTACAGGGCCGCGATGCCTTCAAATAAGGAAGAATGCTTCGGGTATAGTGCTACTAGGTCTAATAGCAGATTATAATCGCAACCGCGACTGCGACCGCTTAATGGTCGCCAGCAGTCCTATCAGATCCGAGAATGCTCTTGGGATGCCTGATGGCCATCTGATTGGTGCGCAAAAGTTCACTGGCGGCCGACCAAACACACCAATCGTGGGGAGACACCAGTCTACTAGTGCTAAGTAAGTAGTATACCTCACCTGGCTGAGGTGGTCATCTGAATGGAAGCGCACTAGTGAGTCGGGATCATATGTTGACGCTCCAAAAATTGAGGGAAACTAGTATAGAATATAGAGTTCAGTTCCATGGTTCAGGCAGAAAGGGATGTACTTCCAGAGGTCTGGGTAAGCATCTAGGGAATGCGGAATAGCAACTCAAATCCAGAGTGATGGAAAATTAGTAGAGCATACGATGAATAGATAGATGGATGGATGGATGGATGGCATCTGACTGTTGCCCAGGCAGAGGATGTTATTTTGGACTGTTGACGATCGGCAACCTCAGGCCGCGAGACCACGGGGGACTCGGGCGTAAGTTACGGTAACCCGTCACGACCGGTAAAGGCGGTTGTTGACAGCCAGACCCCGTGCCACTGCCGCCATTGGCTGATTGGATCTTGCGCCCGTCCCGTCCGCTCTGGATAGCATCACCATCCATCTACCCAACTACTCTCCCCTCAAAAACATTCTCCCTTCTTCCCCCCTCCCCTCCCCTCCCTCCCCTCTCTCCCCTATCCCTTTCCCTCTGTGAGGGATTCATCTAAGGTAAGTCAATTTGCTGAGGCCATTCTGGTCTTGGTATTCTTTCAGCGATCTGGTCCTTTTCACCTCCCGCTTCGTCCTGTCTCCTTCCTGGCGTCCACGCCTTCACACCGTCGCAAGCGTTCCCGGCTGCCTGCGACACCGCCTCGGCCCCTCCGACATCACCACCAGTTCACGCACGGTTGTTCTGACTACCCGCGTGTTCATGCTCTCGACCCTGGCCTCCCCTTCTCCCATCCAGACCATTCTATAAATCTCCCCCCCTTCTCCCGGGGTCTCTCTGACGTGGTCCCCTGGAGCGTGCGTTCCGATCGCCGGTTTCGTCTGCTGGTGCCGCAATCATGCCATCGGCCGACGCTTCTTCGTCCGCCCGCCCCAACGGGACCAGCTCGCGGTCTGATCAGCTCGCTTACTACAAGGCGCAATATGAACAGCTAGAAGCCGAACTGGCGGAGTTCCAGGCTTCCAGCCGGGAACTGGAAGCAGAGCTGGAGAAGGATATCGAGGCGTCAGAGAAGCGGGAGCGGGTGTTGAAGGAGAAACTGGAAAACCTGAGATACGAGGTCGACGAATGGAAGGTGAGCCTGACGTGTTCCTGGTCCCTCAAACTTCCCTCGTGGGAGGCTTGAAGATCTCCAAGGTTAACGGGAACCCCCTTGCAGTCCAAATTCAAGCAGTCCAAATCGGAGGCCAACACGGCCCAGAATTCGCTGCAGAAGGAAATCACAACCTTGCGAGATGCCAACCGAACCCTGCAGTTGAGACTACGTGATACTGAAGTTGCGAACGATGATTATGAGCGTCAGGCCCGCCACACCACTTCGTCCCTGGAGGATATGGAGCAGAAATATAACATGGCCATTGAGCGCAGCGTCCTGTTGGAAGACGAGGTGAAGGCCGGAGAGAAAGAGCGCGAGGCTCTCCGCATTCAATGCCAGCGTCTTCGGGATGAACTATCGGAGCAGAAACTCGACAACGAAATTCTTCAGGAGAAGCTTCGTCATGAGCAGTACGGCGGTCGGCGCAAGAAGCCAACGCCTTTGTCCCGCACGGCATCGTCAACACCGCAGGCCCCCGAGATTTTCGATCGCTCCCCGGGCACGTCCGCTGTGTCATCTCCCCTATTTGTTCGTACGCCGATGAAGTCCTCGTTGATGGGTGTTACTGCAGCTCCTCCATCGCCACCAATGTCCGAGACGTCGGTCAGTGTGACCAACATGATGGCCAACATGCGCAAGACAGTTCATGCTACTGCTGGATTTCCGCTCCAGAAAGCGTCAGGATCCGAGTCTCTCATGGGCTCCCGATCGATGTATGACGCCAGACCCAATAAGTCTTCCCGATCTCGCACCACTGGCAATGCAAGCAACAATACCCGTTCTTCCGCATCCACGGCCACGTCCCGCATTAGCTTGACGAAGCCCGCCAATTTTGGCAATTCGATCAGCTCGATCAATTCTCCGCGAAGCGAGAATGATAACCAACAGAGTAATCTGCCCAAATCGGGTTCGTTGTTCCAGATTCGGGGCCTCATCGGCAAGATGCAGCAGCTGGAAGAAAGAGTCCAGTCAGCCAAATCCAAGCTGCCTCCCCCGTCCGACTCGCCGTCTCGCACCTCTTCGCGTTCCGGATCGATCTCCGTGAATGGGGGAAGTCCCGTTGCTTCCACCATCACTATGCGCCGAAACTCGCGCAAGCGGTTGAGTGGTAGCAGTTTCAGTTCGTCGATCCGGGATAATGATGGCACGGCATCATCTGTCTCCAACAATCGACCATCCTTTGGCACCCGCAATGGAGGCGACAGCCGACCTAGCAGCCGTACTAGCTACTCCAGTGCCTTCAGCCAAAGTACACACCCAAGCATCGCGCCGTCGACACGCCCAGAGAGCCGCCAGAGCCGGACTAAGACTCCTTTGGGACATTATTCGACGAACCCTACCACGGAGAGCCGGCGGCCGCGGTCGTCGCTGAGCAATCCGTCGGGGCAGAATGGCTCGGTGAACGGCATGTCCAACATCGATGAAGATGAGGACCAAAGCCTAGCGTTCCGCTTGTCCGTTCAAGCCAAGATTAGCGAAGCCCGCGAGACCCGCTTCCCGCCATACTCTACGGCGACTCTGCCGAAAAGACGGACACCCAGCGGCATCCCGGCGCCACGCACCTTGCGAACCAGCACTGGCGGAGGCATGGCATCCCCAGACCCGAAGGCCACCAAGGTTGGCGACCTCGGCGAGACATTTTAAGCTTCTTCTTGTTCTTTCCCTTGTTCTTCTTTCAAATACCCCTCTTTTATCCCCGAACGGCAATTGATTTCAAGGGGGTTTATGATGTTCACGGCCGGTACGCAGGTTATTTTGATTCGCTTCTTTATTCCCCTTTAACCCTTGTCATCCCTCTTTTGCATCATTCTCATTTTCTCCTATTCATTGATTCCCTTCGACATTGTTCCATTTACATCGACTACCCCTGGCACGTTTTTTTTTTTTGAAAGAATGCCCCACCTAGAGGGGGTCCAGATCATTTGGCGGACTTGTTTAGACAGGTTCATAGACATCTGCTTTATCAAACTTATCGGAAGGTGGCATCCCATTTGTGTTGGGATGGCCTTCGAGTCTGTACAGTCAGTGGCGGCGGAGTTGGAATTGTGACCGGTTGACTGGCGCATGGAAGGTTCTTCTAGCCGGGAGGCTTGTCCTCCAACGGCGTCCAAGCTGTGTCTCAGCACCTGATTTCTTTGATGTTATTCTGTTGCTGTGTATTGAGAGAGTTGCCTAGGCGTTAGGTAAATACCCAGTGACTTGGATGAATGGTTTGCGTAGGCTGCACGATTCTTCAGTGGCAGACATTCTAGACCTGATCGTTATCTGGCACGTAGTTCTTAATGCGCCGATCTGCACGACCATAATCCAAAGTAGGGGATGCTGAAGGGACGTGTCACTGCATGGGTGGCACCCACCCATTACTTCATGTTGCAACACCCACCACACTTTTCCAGACGGCCACTAGTTATCTAATTCTGATTTGAAAGATCAAATTGTAGACTATACTCATCCTTTGCCGCAATAACATAGCCTCCCCTCTCTCACATAGTCTCTACAAACTGACATGCATCAGACAGAACTAACCTATTTCCTCAACCTTTTAAAAGTACTAGCAAGTAGTAAGAAAATAGTAATCATAATCATAATCATAACACCACCAAAACCCGGACACCCCCTCGGATTTTATACCCCCTGTCTCACCCCCATGGCCCCCAATTCGGCGCATTTATTCTCACCTAATCCTACCTTGCTAGAAATGTTAAACCCCGACACCATCCTTCCCACGTGAACCACGGCCCGAGACAAGCACAACAGGCCAGTCAGTCTAAAATCTGACGACAGAGCGATGGAATGGAAGATAATAGAATAACTAATCGATCGGTGATTTTTAAGTTTCGTGATTTGCTTGTTTCGGAGGTCGGGGGCCGGAAGCGATGTCAGACCATGAAACTCCGAATTGGCCGCGAAGGAACGGAGAATTGTATCTCGTTTTGATTTCTCATCCTGCAGGATTTCGGGGACTCGTATTGATTTTTTCCATGCTAGTGCAGGTGCAGGTGGAACGTGGGTTTGGGGTTTGGGTCAGTTTGGTATTTGGAGTAGTGGGTTCGAAGAGTTGTGGATGGTGGATGGGGAATGTAAGATGGTGGTGATGGTTACTAGTTTTGGTTAGTTGGTGTAGGATGATATGGCGGGGAGGGTAATGGGGGGTAAATTGGTGGTTTAAATTTACAGTGGTCAGTTAGTATAGTGTAGACTAATTCAGTTGAATCTGCTGCTAGTATTCAATTGAAGATTCGTATTTTGGGTTTCTGGGCAGTTGACAATAGTAGTAGATCTGCTGGGAACAGAAGCTAGTACGGGATATATAAAGTGGTAGTGGTACCACATAGTACTAGATGCACGGCAATGGCAGTGACAATGTTTTATAAAAGTTATCTACGATCACATTTAGTTATCAATCATTATAAAATATAGAATAATTATTTATACTAATTGTAAATATTATATAACCCGATTTATTATTACACACAACGTAGTATAAGAGTCCAAAATCTATAGAAACTATATATAACTAGTAAGAGCCGTCCGAGATGATCAACGAACCAGAAGCACTTAATGCCGGAAATTCTGTCATTCATTGTAGCAGAGCAGTAATTCTACTCTTATTTGTTGAACTGAAAAACATCAACATTATGCTAAGCAATCAACTGTGATGAGTGTCAGATGGTATCATATCATGTTCTCCTACTGTGTGGATAATAAATTGGTGGATATCTCAGATGTCCACGAAGTAGTATGGCCCTATGCAACGTCTTCCACTAACTATAATCAGACTGACAATTGACGATCTACTACCTCCGATGGAAGTCTCGAACCATCCTCTATCCAGTGGCTTATTCTACGCATTACAAGGATCAAATAGCAACCACAGGGGGAACCATGACTTGAGTTTGACGAGCTCAGCCCTGCTTCCGCCAAACAGATAGCGGATGCAAGATCGTTGAATCTAGAAAGACCCACGTCAGATCCGAGCAGAATACAGTAAGCCTGAAAAGGCAATCCCTATTTGATACCTTGGGGTGCCCACCACCGGCATCAGTTTCCTCAATCGACAAGGGGAACCCACTAATAATGAGGGATCCTTATTTCTTGAAAGTTTACGCTGGGACTAGACTAGTCTCTGCACGGCCTTTTTGACCATCAGGTCTCACCACAAGGCCATGTGTTCGAGGCCCGAGCCTGTGTTATTGGGAAATCAAGTACGTTGATTTACTTGATTGATACCTGGCAGACGGTGGCCACACGAGTCATGGAACCGGTCAACCGAATCCACCGCAACGTGTTTGTCAATGCCGTGGTGGGAGGCTCGGAGGAAGTGCCGATCCAGTTATTGTTCTCTGGCTGTGATTGATTGGTATTGAGCTTGCTCTGGGTTGAATTGAGGCGGAGGTTCTACCAGTTCACTTTTAGTGGAGTTCGGCTGGTGGTGACGAGTGGAATACTACAGTCCAAAGGTTAACTACGAATACGCTTGGGTACCTATCATCGACGATGGATGAACTGGGACTGTTCGGGATATTTATGATCAGATTGTCGAGGAGGTCGAACAAGATGCATGTCGAACCTCAGCACGAGCGTTTTTCCCAAAGAAGGCTAGTGGCCGGCAATTTTGATGAGAGCGGGCGTCCCGTGATTTCCCACGATCCCAACGGGATGACAACTCCATTGCACCTGATTGGCGGGAAACAGTGGGGTCGTCAACACAGTCCCAAAATGGTTAGTGTAGGGATGGGACTTTGCAGCAAACAATGTGGATCCAAGGTTTTTTTTTCCCCCTACGGATCCTTAGTACTATTGAAATGCACTTCCGAGTTGGCCAGTCGGGCACCATCCAGTCCAGACTGTCCAGTAGTCTAGTCGGTCTCTCTCATCCTCAACCCAGGAAGGGGATGGAACCCGGTACTATGGCTGGAGCCCCAAGCGCTTTGGGGTTGCAGGCAATCCTGGATGAGCGGGTCAGTCAGAATACAATGTCCCTGGTTATTGGAAATTTGTATCCTTCTGGGAGTAATGAACGAAGTCTGAATAAATTAAATCTATGATTAGTAGGAGATGAACCATTGTCACTAGATGCCACTATTAGATGCTAACTACTTACTGACTGCCTTATCAACAACTGCTATTATTACTTTATTTATCTATACTTATAGTATCTGCCAGTAATGGATGATCGGACCGGACTGATGGATATTGGATAGATGGAGGTCTGGATAAATTACCGGCTCCCCAATATAAGCTTGTATTATGCCGATGTGATCCCGTCAGGTTCTTGTTTCGCTCTCCGAGCCCCGGAGTATCTTTGCACTCAATTCGGAGCAAAGAACCCGCGTTCGGTCAAAATGCGATTTGCAATTCACATTCTATGTACTACGAACTACTATCTACCCGGCAGGAGGGACGGTCTGAATTGACAGCTCATGACGGGCCCCGACAATTCTCGACTAGTGACTTGAGTGGATTTGTTCCGAGCATGGCGGGAATGTTCACTCGGTGTTCAAGGCCAAAAGCCAAGGCCCGCCATGATGATCGTCCGGGTTTTGAGCGCCAACTTGAATCTGTTGGCTTGTCGGGGAATTCCCCAACTACCACTCCGAACTAGATACTAGCAGCTAGTAGACTGTCTAGACAGCACGCACGCACTCACTCACTCACTACTAGCGAGCAAGCTGGGTTCAACTCTGTCCTATCCGTCTTATCATGCGCCCCATGCACGTTACTTCGTACCTTGCTTGGTCTTTCACTTTTTGGCCCCCCCAAATCCTCTGGACTTGCATCCAGGGTGACATGGCATACTACGCGGTGAGACCGCCAATGAGTCGTCGGTGAGATTCGGCACATGCCTGCCTTGTTTCCATCCCTTCTTAGGTAGCAGTCAAAACCCGCATGAAAGGGAGAGGGGTTTTGTTGGAGAGCAGATAGTACAGGATGTAGTCAACTACTTACTACTGGACTAGATGTTCAGTGAGGAACCATGGACCGAATCGGGGAGGGATTGGCTGCAGCAGCGGATTGTTGACCCGACAAATGCTGGGGATCCAGCCAGACAAAACTGGTGGGAAGGCCCGACGTCATGGGCCCAACAAGCCGTACCGCTAGTTGGGAGTCTCTCTCTGTTTCGGTCCATCGGGGCGGCGGCCATCTGGTCTCGCGCTATTCTTCCCTTCCTTCAGTCCTTCTCTTTCTCGACACCTTTTGCCGGACTGTGGAAACCCACCTTTAGTTCCTTTTTGATAAAATAAATTATTTTTTTATTTTTATTTTTTTTTTATTTTTCTGTAAAAGATTTTTTTCGTCTTTTAAAAAATAATTTCTATTATTTCTTCTTTGGTGAACCATCCACCTCTCCGCGTATTTTTCCGTTCTGCACATTTCCCTGTACATTTACCGGTTCGAGCAATTATACGCCTCGTCCAGTAGTCCAGCTCCATTTATTATTTCTCTGCTCTTCCCTTTTCTTCTTCCCCGTCGACCTCTTTTCTTCTTCCACTTCCCCTTCTTCCTCCCCCCCCTTCTCCAAACCACTACTCCTCCTTATCCAAGTGCCATTGCTTGCTTGTTTGACTGTCCCAAGGTGGTCCCAGTAAGTTCTCCGTCTTACCCTTCCCAATGTTTTAACATTCCCTCCCGCACGTCCTCCGCGACTGGCCGCATGAAACTTTGTCGTCGACCTCACCCATCTCAAACCTACCCTGCGCCTTGCTTAAAGCTGACTTTCGCCCTCTCTTACTCAGCCCTGAGGAATTGAATCCTTCGTGTCTCATCTGCCCTCCCCCGCCTCTTTCTCCTATACATTCGCCATTCCTAGTTAGCTCTTGGAGGGCTTAATTTCGTCTACATTCTATACTACACCCACTTTTCCTCCGACGCCTCACGGACAGTCATTGCGCCTTCTCCCTCTTCTTTTCGCCTTGACGCTTTCTCAACACCTCGTCCTCCTCCTATTCTTCTTGAATAATCCGGCTTCTTCTATCGCATGGGAATTTTCTAATACCTAATATCCAACCTTGCATCATGAGCGCTCCCAACGGCCACCCCAGTGCGCGTGCCGCACAACACAACCTTGCTTCACATTTCATTGGTGGTAACAACCTGAATGCCGCACCGCCCAGCAGCGTCAAGGACTTCGTGGCCAGCCATGAGGGTCACTCCGTTATCAGCTCGGTGAGTCTTGCGGGGTACCGATGAGTTGGTCGGGCGAGAGTGCAGGAGCAACCCATTCTAACAGGCTTACCCCCAGGTTCTGATCGCCAACAACGGTATTGCCGCCGTCAAGGAGATTCGTTCCGTCCGGAAATGGGCTTATGAAACTTTCGGCAATGAGCGTGCCATCCAGTTCACAGTGATGGCCACGCCAGAAGATCTGCACGCCAATGCCGACTACATCCGTATGGCAGATCAATATGTTGAGGTGCGTGGTCATGCTGTGCAACCAGCATTTCCTCCCCGTGTGTGAGCATTCCGGCTGACAGGAATTCCAGGTTCCCGGAGGCACGAATAACAACAACTACGCCAACGTCGATCTGATCGTCGATGTCGCTGAACGTATGGACGTCCACGCCGTGTGGGCCGGTTGGGGTCACGCCTCTGAGAACCCCCGTTTACCCGAAGCTCTGGCTGCTTCCCCCAAGAGAATCATCTTCATTGGTCCCCCCGCCTCTGCGATGCGCTCGCTTGGTGACAAGATCTCCTCCACAATCGTCGCTCAGCATGCCGGTGTCCCTTGTATTCCCTGGTCTGGAACGGGTGTGGATGATGTCCGGATCGACGACAAGGGTATTGTGACCGTTGATGACGACGTCTACAACCGGGGTTGCACATTCTCGCCCGAGGAGGGTCTGGAGAAGGCCAAGGAGATTGGATTCCCGGTCATGATCAAGGCCTCCGAAGGTGGTGGTGGTAAGGGTATTCGTAAGGTTGAGCGGGAGGAGGATTTCATCAGCCTGTACAATGCCGCTGCCAACGAAATCCCCGGTTCCCCCATCTTCATCATGAAGCTCGCCGGTAACGCCCGCCACTTGGAAGTCCAGCTGCTGGCCGATCAGTACGGTAACAACATTTCCCTCTTCGGTCGTGATTGTTCCGTGCAGCGTCGTCACCAGAAGATTATCGAAGAGGCGCCCGTCACGATCGCCAAGCCCATCACTTTCCAGGCCATGGAGCGCGCCGCCGTGAGCCTTGGTCGGTTGGTCGGCTACGTCTCGGCTGGTACCGTGGAATATCTGTACTCCCACGCTGACGACAAGTTCTACTTCTTGGAAC